CCTATGTTTTCCATCTCAATGATACTGACCAAACAAAGTTACGCATTATTGATACACCTGGTTTTGGTGATACGCGAGGCATTGAACAAGATCATAAGAATATGCAACATATTTTAGAATATATTAATAATCTTACTCATCTAAATGCTATCTGTTTTCTTCTGAAACCGAATGCATCAAGGTTAAATATCTTCTTTCAATCATGTCTTACTCAATTATTCTCTCTGTTTGGTACAAATGCGCTCAACAACATTATCTTCTGTTTCACCAGTGCTCGGTCGACATTTTACACTCCTGGCGATACAGCACCGTTACTGAAAAAAATGCTTACCTCTCTATCGATCGGCAATGTTCCCTTCTCAAAGAAGAATGTCTTCTGTTTCGATAGTGAATCATTTCGTTATTTGGTTGCTCGACAAAATAATATTCGATTCGATAGTAACGAAAAGCAAGAATATGAAATGAGTTGGAAAACGTCAGTATCGGAATCGAAACGTCTTATTGATTATATGCATAAAGATGTTACAGTTTATCGTATTGATAATAGCCTACAATCGATGAAACACGCTCAATTTACAATTCTTGGTATGGTTCGTCCAATATTAGAAACGATGCGTAATATTCTTCGGAATCTTCTTCTAAAAAAGTTCTATCCATCGGAAGCATCAATTGAATTACATCCTAAGGTTCTTGATCATCCCATTACAGTTTGTTTACTATGTAAGGGTGACGTTAAGAAAATTGGTAATTTTTTATTTGCAATTGATATTTCTCATAAAATGAAAAAGAAATGTCGTACTTGTTCATGCTCGTTAAATAGACACATTACCCTTGAATACTTACTTGAGTATACGTTTGTTAGAAGTGCTCCGACACATAATGAAAGAGAGATCTTAGCTCAATTGCTTCGTGCAAGTGCTGAATTTTCTTATTTTTTAATTCATATTGCTCGTGCATCAGAAGATGATTTATTTCTGTCTGGTCTCTTACAAATGATTAAACATGAAGCTAATCTGGCTAACAATCAAAATATGAATGATATGAATTCGGAGTTAGTCGCAGCATTGAATGAGCTTCAAGTTGGATATGTAAACCGAATGAATGAAATCAAATCAAACAAAGAATTGAATAATTTATCATTTATTTATAAACGAATTAATGATATTAGTGAATATCCGATTATACGTGAGCAGTTGGCGGCTATTAAAGCAGGAAGGATGAGAATTATGATGAAAAATGAATATGAAGTACCAAAAAGAAACTAATGTCTAACATTTATCAGTAATGGATTCACAAACGTTTTTTAAACAATGAATTTTGTTTTAAAAAAAATACCGTTCATGTCTTCTTGCAGTAGATTAGGTTTATTGCAGAAAAAAAATCGTATGATTTGTAAAGTAAACCTTTCGAGAAAAATAACAAACAATGGTGTTCGTATGAATTCAATGGGTTGTTTGTCACGTAAACCAAATACAGTTGTTAGCTATCGACCGAGCTCTAGGCGGAAAAATGATGGTTATGTCCATATGAATGTATTTAGCAAACAGTTGTTTTTATAACTAGATCGATTGATATGGTGAATTCTGAACTTTGCGAGTGTTTGTTTTATTGCCACCCTGAACCAGTTCAACATCTCATTTATTTTCTTTTTAATTATCGTAAAATCTAGGAAAACACAACGAAAAATCATGATTTTATTCACAGAAAGGAATAACAATTACGTAGATATCGCTGCACATATTTTCATCATTATCAATAGACTAAAAAAAAGCAATATTTTACACTCACCTTTTTAGTTTTATCAAAATTCAATCACCCCAAGTCAAAAATGAGTGCGGTTAGGCTTCTTTTAGAAGAATTGTGTAATTTCAATTAGATTATGTTGTAAACATTCTGATAAATCCGTTAGAACATTTACCAAAGAACATATCCATTTTGATGACGCTAAGCTCATGATCTGTAATCATGGGCACATGCGCAGCCTCTTTACTGTTACGAATTATGTGCACTCGTCCCTCCTCGATATCGACTAAACCGATGTCATTTAGCTTTTATTATCATAAAATATTAATCGCGTAGTGTTCGTTGGTTTTGAGATTTTATACAGCTGTATTAGTTTTGATCAACACACCATGACTCATTTAATCAAGAAGAAACTCGACACCTGCTCTGTAGTTCCTATAAATAAAATTCAAATAATACCACAATCACAGAACCAGCGAAAATATGAAAATATTTCTATTATTCTTCGTTTTTTATTTCTCATCTATCTTTTTTCAAGGTAAAATGATCTTTTAAATAAAAACAAGAGCGATTAAATTTACTACTTTCTTTGCCTAAAATTCAGAAAGCAATGCCGAAATAGTTTGTAACAACTATGTCAGCGATATTGATATTATCAATCGAAATCCATTTTATGTTCGAACTTTTTGGTATGATTACATAACATCTGTTGGGTTGGACAGTAGACAACGAGTATCACAGTTTACTATAGCCAACAATGTTAATCCTGCGACAAACATATATTGTTTGAAAAATTTACTGAAACTTGTATTAATCAATACTAATTTATCGATCGTACCCGATATAAAAAATTTTCAAAATTTAAATTCCTTAATAATTCAATCAGACAATGGTTGTATTGGCCAACATTTGCCAGCTGAATTTGGGCAATTAACTTCTCTGACAAATTTAGAATTAACCGATATTAAAAATCTTGAAAATCTACCTAATGAAATTGAAGCTTTAATTCAATTACAATCATTAACATTAAAAAAAATTCCAAATCTTAACAAAATACCTGATGACAGTATTGGCAAATTAACAAATCTCAACGAATTAAATTTAATCGATTTACCAAATCTATCAAATGTTCCATCAACAATGAATAACTTTCAATCTCTACAACGATTAGTAATATCCAACTTGAATATTAATAGTTTACGATTAGATAATCTCGCTCGTTTGATGACTATATCCATAGGATCGAATTCATTATTGCAAACTATTCAACTTACAAATATGCTTCAATTTTCATCAATTGATATTCAAAAAAATACTGAATTATTAACATTAAAGTTACAAAATGTCTCTATGACAAACTCATTAACGGTATACGCAAATACAAAATTAACGTCTATAGTTATGGACAATGTATCTGGTTTACAAGTAATATCAATTACTAACAGTGAACAATTGAAAAAAATTTCAATAGAAAATGCCGATAGATTATATAGCTTATCGTTAAATTCGTTAGCGAATTTCGAATCAATTTCAATTCATAATGCACCATTATTGTCGACTGTTAGCATTCAATACAGTCCTCTATTACAAACTATTTTATTTAATAATACATCGTCAATGCAAACTCTCGATTTATCTGGATGTCAATTAACAACGTTTCCTGAAAGTATTTTAACAATAAAATCGTTAGTAACCTTAGTGTTGACAACAAATCGATTATCTGCATTACCATTAACATTATCAACTGATTTGCCTAATTTACTATTTCTCAATTTAGTCAATAATAAATTTCAAGGAGCAATTTTTCAACCACCGCTTATTTATCTGCGCGAACTTTATCTAAGTAATAATTCATTCACATCTTTGGATGGTATTGGAAGCTATCAATCACTTCAACGATTCGAATTAGATTTTAATCAAATATCATCGATTCCAACGGAAATCATGCAATTATCACCGATGTTACAGTCGTTACAAGCCAGATTTAACCAATTGACTACTATTCCATATTCAATGACAAATATGAGATCACTAACCTCGTTTTTCGCGGATAAGAATAATATTTCGTCTAGTGAACGGTTATACCTCATAAATGCATTCCAACAGTCACTCGTAAAACTTTATATTTAAAATTTAAAATGGTACTTTATTATATGGTGATTAATATTTATCTACTGAATACAAGACATATAATAACGAGAAAAAAAATTTCATGTACCAGTGATCTATTAAAAAAATAAATATCAAGCCTATATAGACCAGTAGGAAAATAAATTTTCAATGGACTTCCGAGAAAATTCATTTCCATCTCTACACACTTTTTGTATTCATATCTAATTATTAGTTAATGGCGTTTCTACTCTCACTGTAGTAAATTTCTCAATAGATATTAAAACAACCAAGTCAATTTAATAGCTTCGACATGCTCTGCATGATAGATGAATTATATTTGTTATTAAAGTTTCAAGTTTCCTCGTTTAGTAAAACACTAAAGTTGAATCTAATCATAATGAGAAGCCGTAAAATGATCTAAACTAGAGAGTAAGTACTCATTCTAATATAAAAAAAAAAGGAATGCTAATTTTGTCGAATATTACTGAACATACTTGATCATCGAAACAAAAATAGCGAGATCATTGCTTTAAATTTATTTTCAAAAGTACACTTCAGTAATCGTTTTAATACATGACAAGTATTCTTAGCTGAATTCAGCTTTAATAAATGAGGAAACATCGGATTCGTATCCGATTGTTATGTGTACTGCAAAAACTGAGTCGATTTATATATGTTTTGAATAATTCTGAGAAAAAAAAAATTTTTTTTGAAAAAATCCCTGTACCCCCCTCAGGGATGGTCTGGTTAATAATGACAACTTTTTCGATAACTCAGCCATTTCTTCACAGATTGCTTTCATCTTCGAACTCGACTGAGATATTGATGAGATCATTCTGTGTACAAAATTTCATGACAATTGGATGAGGCTTTCAAAAGTTATCGTGTTAACGGCCGGACACACTGACCGAATCTAGAGTGTACTCATTTTTTTGGAGTACACAAAAATCTACCAAATAATATTGTCTAATAATGACAAATAGAAAATTTCGCTTTTCTTCGATTGTTTTTATTGATTTTTATTAAAGCCGTTGATTCTTATTACCCTACGTTACAAAATAGGAGAGAGTTAAAATGAAGTAACATTTCACAGTTTTTGACGAACCTTAAAAAATCAAGAAGAGTTGGATGTGTAAGGAGGCATTTGCAAGACGGATAGGATCAAAACATAATGAAATTACAGACCAATGCTTTTTCGCTTGCACTTGCTCGCACCTTGCACAACTGCAAGACAAAAACACAGTGGACCAACGCAGACTCTCTTCCGCGAAAGAGAGACATGATAAAGAAATCGTACCATAAAATATATTTACCTTGCGTCGTGTTTGCTACTGTCGATAAGTGATAAGAATGTTTTACAGTCACATTCTGTCACTCTAAGTAATGTTAGGTAAAAGTAGAAAAACATCGTTGATATATGCAACTTTTCTATTAGCATAAAGAGGGACAAAAACTACCAAAACAACGTTTTCTTTTATATTCATTAGAGTTCATGGATCCTTTTTATTTTATGGAAAATAAATGACAATCTATTTTTGTCCATAGAAGTTCATCACATCACATAATGACGGTACTATTCGTCGGTCGAAATATACCTTGTACCCATTCGGTTTCCTGATGTCCGAAAACGTTATTGCGAAGATTGAGTATTTGAAAACCTTTGGCCGGATAAATTGAAACAGGTAGCTTTGAGAGCTGATTTCCAGATAAATCTAAGTATTCAATTGTTTGCATATTATTGAAGAAGTCATTTGAAATTGAGTTAATACTGTTGTTTGCAAATGACATTGAAATAGTAGAATTCGATTCAATTATATTTAGTCCATCGAGAGATGTGAGTAGATTATTGTTCAGTTCGATTGTACTCAAACTCAGAATGTTGGGTGGAAGGTTTGTAATAATACAGTGCGATCCTTGTAATGTTGTTAGCGACGTTGATCCGTTGAGAGCATTGAGCGAAGCAAGTCGAAGATTATTACTAACAGACAGCCTTTTAAGAGACGCCATTTTACCCAAAGCAGTAGGAAGACTAGTAAGTTGATTTTGATCGAGAGTCAATTCAGTGAGTTTATCAAGATTGATGATGTCTTCGGATAATGCTGTCAGGCTCGAATTGATAATAGAGAGCGTTGATAGAATAGTCATGTTGAATAATTCAGGCGGAAGTGTGAGCGATGTTGAAATGTTAGCCACAGTGAACGATGCGAGAGTGTCAGCAAGAAGAAGGAGCTCCGATGGAATTGATAGGTTAGTACAACCTATGATCGAGAGCACCTGCAAACTTTGTAAGCAGAAGAAAACAGATGGTACATCATCAATACCAATCAAATATAGTTCGATTACAGCTCCATATTTGTCAACTACTGCATAACTGGAAGTAGTTGGTGACGGTTGCGAAGGATTGATAGCGATATCGAGCAAGGTCGATTGAATAATTTCTTTGTCCGATGTGTACACATGACCATGCATTGAGCAATTTCGTTGTGGTGGTGGCGGTGGCGGTGGCGGTGGAGTTCCTGAACAAAGCGATATCTATTTGAATTCTTGATCTACCAGGAATAATCCAATGAAAATTTTCGGAAAAAAATGAGTACATTCATATCATGTCAATTCGTTTTCTATCAGAAACCAAATCGACTTTGCTAGACTGTATTTAGTTGAATTTTTAGGGTGAGTTTATATAATAAGGCACTATATCTAGAGTTAAAGAAAAACGGGAGTTTCCATTCACATATATTAATCTTCAATTAATAACGTTGAAGTTTCTGAAAAAAACTGACAGCTTTTTAGTTCTCGAGAGAAAGTCAGTAGCATTTTTACACACTTTGTCAAATAACTAGGATATATTCCTATTCGATTTCGCAGTCGTTTCTTTTTTTTACCGAAAATAGATCAAGAATCAGCTACCTAACGGGTGCCCCATAATAAATGGCCGGTTCTATCACCAACGAAAGTATATAGAGCTTATCTATATTTTCCACTTATTTATATATCATGTATTTCGACTATTCAAGACCTACACAAATACAAAAGATCAACTGTACAAGTGCTTTTCAGATTTAATTTAAATATAAAGTTTAAGGATATGTGAAAAGTAGTACTGCAAATGACTGATGATGGAATGTCATCACTACAAATTGCTGAACAACTACGAAAAGTGGTCAGTGAGCGAAAAGTCAGGCGATGGCAATATTCATATAGAAGCACCGGTACAGTTGACTTGAAAACACCTGCTGGTAGACCCAGAGTTATACGATCAAAAAATCTTATTCTAAAAGTGAAGAGTAATTTATTTACAAAAGCCGACAAACTGCAAGGAATTTAGCTAATTCACTTCGTATTTCGAAGGCGACAAACGGTCGCATTATTCATGACGATCTTAATTTGCATGCTTATCATGTTACAAATGTGCCAAATCTAAAGTATGAACATGAACAACGAAGAGTATCATTCTCATATTGGGCGCGAAAGTCGCTAAGAAAAAAGATCGAGAAAAAATCTTATGTACTGATAAAAAATACTTTGAATTTGATGGCATTTTCAATCGCCAAAATGACCGTGTTTATGCTCCCTGTCGACAAGATGCCGACGAACACAAAGGAACAAAGCCACCGGCCAAGTTTACAAAAAGAATTCTGGTATCGCTAGCTGCATCAAAAAATGGTCTTTCACTTCTAATTATTTTTGAGCCCGGTAAAACGTTAACGCATGAAAATTATATTGAAATTTTATTTTCCTAGATTCATTGATAAAAACAAATAGCCCACAATAGCCCAGACCTTAACGTTCTAGACTATTATGTGTGGGACGCTATAGATTATAATATACACTAGGATAAAGGCAAAAATTATAATTCATTAGCTGATGAAATTAAAAAGTTATAAATCGTGTACCGAAAAATTGTCTCTTTCGCAGTGTTCAAAACTGGTCAAGTAGAATTTTATCTATTTTAAAAGCAAAAGGTGCTTATATTAGATAACATTTTTTGTGCAGGTAATAGTAGAAACTATGATGTGTGCTATGCGACATTTTGATTTTAAACAAAGCTTGTCAGATGCTATAAAGCTTTAGAGCGAAAACCGACCATTTATGATGGGGCACCCATTACTTCATAACTTTACATTACTCGATTCCTATCGTTTTTTTTTATTCTAATGCCAAAAAGTAATTGCGTCTTATTCTTATCGAGGGCCATCAGAAAGTTTATTTCCAGTTCACCTACCTCCACATCCATCCCAACAAGCACATTTGTTTGTTAAACGCATTTTATAGTTATTTGTGCTAGATTCACCTAGAGCTTCTAGTTCGTCAGTTCCAGCCTTCGAACATACTAATGTAACAACTAAAGTCTTTGGACCATCTGTGTAGGTAACCGTAGGACTACCACCGATTCCTCCTGGATTCCACTTTGCAGTTTCTTGTTTACCAATGGAAAAGCTATATTTTCCATCCGTCGAAACTAAATGAAATACGAAGTCTAATAAATGAATCATGTTGAATTACTGACCTTGGCAACCGGCTACTCCTTGGCAAGAAGGTAGTTCAGTAAATGGTTTACATGGGTTGTAGCTATATTCTATATTAAATAAATACGTAACAATATACATATCAAGAATAAAATTAACTTACTATAGCCAGATCCAGTAGCCGGTACTTTATCGGGATATTTTGCTTTGTCATCCGTTCGTGCTAATGACGATAAATCAATCACTCCTTTTTCAGTCTGATATCGACATGGATCATCCGCAATAGTTACTGATGAGAAAGCAATGAAAATAGTGAATATTTTAAACCATGACATCATCGTAACGAGAAACTTTTATTCAACTAAAGTAAAACTATCAGCAGACAAATGAAATGCATCATTATCAGTTATCTTATATTTTGTGTTGTGTTATTGACTAACGCACTGTAATATTTTTCAAGACAACTAATTTTATCATGTTGTTATTTATCTTAAACGTAAAATTCACCTCAGAGAAAATTCAAGCCATAGAAATGAAACATATTCATCTAGCAAAGGGTTTAGTACGAACAGATATACACGTGCATGGACTCGTTGATAAAAGAAAAACGAAATTATGACAATAGTATAACTGTGTTTATCGTTTCCAAAAGTACAAGAGAATCTAATTCATTATCTACCATCGCCAGTTTTAGAAGAGATCTATGAGCAAATTGCAATACAACGAAATTTAGAAAAGAATACATCGGTATTCGTTCATTATTATTTGAAGCTTCTTATGCTCACCAGCCATTTCTCTACGGAGTCAAAATAAATCAGAAAGAATTCATGAAAAATCGAATGAAAACTATCATAGACACATAATCTTCACTAAATGTATGAACACTTTTTGTGCACAGAAATAAATCGTCTAAGAGAAATGAGGTCTAAAAACATTTTGAATATTATATTCCAAAGATGTGGAATGAGCTATGAATTATCATCTCATTCATGCTGAGTGCAAGATCTTTTGAAGTGGTTTGAATAACTTAGAGCCATTGCTTTTACATCATGGTATACCGATGGATACAAATTTACAACATTTTTTTCAGCAAGTCATTTCATTCATGTTTCTAGGGATATTATGTGTCCTTCAGGAGAGTTTGCTCTAACCGATACTTCGTGTCCAATTGCTCCACATTTTATTCATATCCGCTCATGCAAGAAGAATATCTTGAGCATCACCTTTCATTTTCCCACACAACAGCGCGTATAGTTTTGATGTTTCTACGTACCTGAGATTTCCCCTCTAAATGAAACGCTAGATAAGTGAAATTGGAGGCAAAATGAAATCGAAAGCCAATTCTACAACTCTATAGGACTATACTTTTCCGAATTTCTATTTCATTTTTCCTGAAAGCTAACTTTTATAGATCTGAATTCGTTGATTCTTCCGTCTTTATTTTTAATCAAAAACCCTGTAGAAATACGCCGACGAGATGAAATATCGTCCTAAGAATCGTTATTGTCAAATGTTTGTTATATTCTAGTATTTTCTATTACAACTTCATTTTATTTACAAAAATCTGTTTGAATATTTCCATTAATAATTCATATAAAAAAATAAACATTAAATTTAAAATCGCACGATTGTTACACGAGCCATTTTAATTATTTATATTTACGTTTAAAGCTGATAGAAAATATCTTATGATCCATATGTGAGTTATCTGATTAGCACATTATCCTATCGCATAAAATGCGTATTACTACTATCAAATAATCCAATATGCATGAATAATTATGTCGTTCCTATGAAATACATGGGAGATCATAATGTCTACATACAATTTTTGCAGGTCATACATTCTTTTGTAGTAACAGAATAGGGGGAAAAACATGTTTCCTTATGAGCTTTGAAGTGTGAAGACCCAATTTTCTATAGATTTACCGAAGGATAAACTCAGCTTTTCAGTTTTGTTAAACGACGCGGTATCGCTTTTTCTAAAAATGACTAAAAAAATTGTTCTTGGACGCTCTCATCATTGAGATTATTTTGAATGAATGATGGAAAAACAAATCTAGGTGATTGATGACTATTGCAGACAATGGCTAAAATTCTCCTACAATGTTAGTTCGTTTTCTATACGTTTGAGTTTGTTTTGCTAAATTTATTTAATTTAAAAGTCAAAAACAATCGAAGTTTGTTTTTGTTTGATCGCCATAATTGCTCACGTCGCACATTTTTTGTCAAATCCCTATTTATTTCGGAAAAAGAGTTCGAATTAATCGAAAACAAAGCTATTCGCAAAAATATTTTGCGAATTATTATTTTAACAGCAATATTTTTAATAAAATATTTATCTCATAAATGGGACTGATTTGAGATCTGTGGCTACTACATGCCGCTCAGGTACCTTGACATTATCAGAGTGCATCGAATTAAACACGATTCTGCCGGTTTTAACAGGCTCAAAAAATATTCAGACGTTTCTATACTATTCAAAATGGCGCATCACTATCATGAAAAACCGGCGGTAGAGCGCACATTCTACCGAACGCTGCACCGTCGGTATACCGCCGGTTTTTTTTTCGGCTTGAATCACATGGATAAGCATCAAATGTTTTCAAGTTGAAAAGCGTCATTGGAACGTTTTTTGTGACGTAATTTAACTTTGATCTTTTAATTTATTTCTGATTCATTCCACAACAGTAAGTTGCTGCAAAATTTAATTGATTTAGAAATCAGAATTATAGTTGAATGATTTGACGTGTTTTTCAAAGACTTTTGCATCACATACTTTGTTAACGCATAAGCGTACTCATTGAAATACATCGAGAAAAAGAATGTAGAAATTCTTTAGTTGTCTCCGATGTCGTCGCCCATGGCAAAAATTATTAACCATTTCAATGAACGAAAAATTAATGAAACAAACAATGGAAATTGCTTTTTCCCGTTTATTCTCAGGTAGCATGGTGTCTAGAATAACATTTTATTACTTTTAATAAGGACACTTGAAACCCATTCGATTGCTTGTCTTGATTAGAACAATTCCGATGAAGAAACAAACTCTATCGGTCAAACTCTTTTTTTGTTGCCCAAGCAAACTAGTAGAATTTCTTATGAATATTTAATTATTTCAATAGCAGAAAAACAACTTTAATTAAGTTTCATCTTTGTGGGTGAAATAAGCTTCTAACATAATGGAACTCTTAGACAGGATCTTTACGATTGTGATCTTCTTATGTAAGAGTGAAGTAAGAATTTCAGTAGGCATAACTAATGCAACTAAATAAAATATTCTTACGATTCAATTATTGCATGGGCTACGACTGAAGGAACAACTGCGCATTTTGGATCATATTTACTTAATTTTAATAGTATATTTTCAAAGTATTTTAATTATTCATGACTGAAAAATAGCAGCAATCCTCTCAAGATTATCTCAATCCCGACACGCAGCAACTTATATTGTTTCATCAGAAGAACTCAATCAACTTTAGCAGTTATCATCAAATAAATATTCTGATTTATCATAAACACAATGGTGCTGTTACTCTTTTTTCTTTTACAGTTCCCACCTTATGAATTTTTATTTGGAGACAAAAACAACATGTTCATCGATGAAGTGCATGTTTTTGGGCGTGAATTACATAGTTCTATATGAATAACTTGATATGACTTTTCTCCTCTTCTCGTTGCATTAAGAAGAATTAAGTATTCTTTTTGGCACTTGAGACACTTTTTTCTTCTCCTAACGCAAGGAGAAAAATATAATTTCATTCTCTGCTGAGTTCTCATTCATTTGACACGTCTTCATGTCGTCACTAATAAGAGAAAAACAGTCGCGTTCTCCATTATATGAGGTATCACAAAATACATTTGTTGACAACGCTGAACAACATTCTTCGATTTCACATTCAATGAAACATCGAGAAAAATTAACACAACAAATGGAGAAAGTTTATTTATATCATAATCAAATTCGACAAAGCGTGATTTGCGATAGAAAAGATTTTACGAATAATTTCCTTATGAAAAGAGTCGATGATTGGGAACGACAATCAATTCTCAAAATTCAACAAACAGCGAGTAATGTTCGACAAGAATTAACGCAGGCTTTTGCTAAACATACAACTGAAATGAGTGAAATTTTTGCAGAATTCAGTCAGCAACTCAACAAAGCTCGTGTACAAAATAATTATATTGAAAATGATATTAAATATTGGTTAGAAAAACTTGAACAATTTAAAACAGATTTTCAAACACCTAAAACAATCAATATAATCTCAGATGAACGGGCACCTGCGTTCATCCCGAAAATAAAACTTTCACTTGCATCAGTCGATTCATTTCATCATGCCAACGGTGACATTCAAGCAGGTTACCGTGGTTTTACTATTACTCATGGCCTATCGAATGGTGATGCAACAATTCATGGAAAAACAGAATATTATTCTGGAATTCATAAATTTCGTTTTCAAATTGAGAAATTAGGCACACCAAAATGGGTCTTCTTTGGTATAATATCAAAAAATGCAAGTTCACAAGGAAATATATATAGAACTCCGACAGCATATGGTTGGGCCGGTCATCATCAAGTTTGGCTCAATGGTGCTCATCATCATCAATATCTTGGTTATTCATGTGAATTTGATGTTAACCATATAGTTGAATTATTTATGGATTGTGATAAAAAGATTATACGTTTAACGAATGAAACGACTTCATTAACACACGAAATTGATGTACCGCCTATAAAATGTCCATTGCCATGGACACTTTATCTTGGTCTGTATGGTTCCGGCGATCAGGTTCGTCTTCTATTTGCTTGATGTCAATTGGTAAAACATAACAAACTCAATTGATTTTTGTGATTCATGTTACATTTTTTATTAGATCTATCTAAGAAAAAAAAAGAATATGAAATAAATATTATGTATAAAAGAGAAAGAAAGTCACATTGAATTCTTTAGATTTTTATCTATATGTTTTTTTGCCTCTTAATTAAATTAAAATATACGTAAACATGCTTTTAGACGAGAATTGCCACTTTTATTAATATTTATACTTCGATTAATTAGAAAACTGAAATAAAAGATTATTATTCCATATTTTTCAAGAAGTACTTCATCAATCAATCAATATCAGAAGAAAACTTATTTATGTAATAGAAGAAAAATATTTTCTCGGGGATGAAAAGGCTTTTCTTCTCAGAAATAACTACTTCACAGCTTGAAATCAATGCAGTTGAGATATTAATTTGATAATCGTATACATTCAAATTCTAAGACTTTTGTGTTATCGACTGACTCGTTAGTTTTCTTCCGTAGTAAGCACGTTTTTATAATGTTGTTTTTTTTGCCCAACAAATTATTTAAAAGTAGTCACTCGTCAAAAAAATATAAAATCTCACTAGAGAACGTACTTACCAAAATAGAAATAACTACGTTATCATGTAGATTATAGCGGGATGTAGTATTCTATTGATTGAATCATTCCCGCTGTTTCAAGATACGTGTCATTTCGAAACATGCTTAACATCTAAGTCAACTTTTCCCGGGTATCCACTTCAAATTGAGCTTTCCACTATTATTTATGGTTTTCATAAAAATCAAGTATCACTGGAAAATTAAAAATATGTTTTTCATCGAGTGCTGTCACCATTGGACCAACTAAAGTAGACCTCGATTTCCATTAAATAATTAAATGGTAAGTTGAAATCGCCCATTCCGATTATTTCCAAATGAATTTACTTCAATTAATGAAACAAAAGCTAAGAATCATACTATGCTTCCCTTATTTCTCTTCATCATCTTTTTCAATTTAACACAAACTAAAAGAAAGCAGCTGATGTCTACCATATCACTTAGTGTCGCATATTATTCAACCAGTAGAAGATTTTTTTGATTTTTAGATAATTAAAAAACTCGATTTATTTACTTCTACGAATAGAGCATATATGTATAGATAGATATTGCTAGAATATGACAGATGATCATAATCAAAAGGACGAAATATTTAATCTAACATATGTTTTCCACCATGCTGCTTGAAATTTCATGTTTTCTTTTCTGTTTATTCTAAGACGGAGCTAAAGACAAGGGTTAAGAATCGAGCCGTGAGGTTAGATTAATGATCATGCCAATGAAGCCAAAATGGAAAAAAGAGCCTAACAAAAAATCAGATCAACCTGACAAAATTATTCATATTTCGCATGATGCAGAGCGTTAGACATGTAAGAAGAATTCTATTGAGCATATAGAATTTATAACAGTACAATCAAATAAGATGAAATTCTTGTATAACAAAAATAAAATAAAATAATTTCACTACAAAACAATTCCTCGCACCGTTTGATAAAGAATATAGAAAATGATTAAACTGTAACTAGTTAAATAAAATTGTCGATGAGCATTGCTACGAGCTGTTGTAGTTGAAGAAAATATTGGTGTTGTCGAACTACTACTACTACTACTACTGCTGCTGGATATAGTTATAGTATATGTAGTTGTTGTCAATACTGTAGAAGTACTAGTGATCGTTGTTGTAGTTGTAGTAGTTGTAGTCGTTGAAGTCGTTGTAGTTGGTATAAGAGTACTGCATTGATCAATCTCAATATCATCAAATGCAACAGACACTTCTATAGTTTCAGGTTGAGAGACAGAAAAATAAAATGTTTCTTGGCAATTAAAATTCAACACAGGCACAATAGCCGTTTGCCACCCATTACTATCATCTAATGCTTGAAACCATAATCTTCCAGCGTAACATCCACCAGTAGACACACTGATAGACGTTGTATTCTTGTTAACTGCTAATGACTTTACGTAATAAGCAAATTTAATGCACATACCAGTGTTTTGTAGAATTGTTGGTGTTTGATCTACTGTGCCAAAGTCTCTCACAGTATATGGTAGTGTTCGATTCCATAGGAGAAAACCTCCTGATGATGAATTCGTTGTATGATCTCGAGTAGGACCAAGTTCTGGATTAGGTATTGTTTCACCAGTAAATATAGAAAAGTTATACGTAGGTATATTATATTTATCACCGTTAATCATATCACACATTGTCATATTATCAAACGAACATGCAAAGGAAAGAATTGAATTGTATGGACTAAGTTCAGTGGATGGATAATCACATGAAGTAATAGCAATATTATCAAGGGCATATGAACTTTGATAGACATCGTTACTATCGACACGAAATAGAAGCGAATAATTACCAATAGGCAGATTGATAATACCCCAAGTCCTAATGTAAAAATTAATTATATTATCATATTATTTTCGTTTGGTGACATGAGCTAGAAAATTTTCTTCTGTCAAGTTATGATTTACATTTTAATTGATCGATAAGAGATTCTTATCCAGAGGTAATTTTCTGAGGACACTCGTTTAATTGATTTTGTAAATCTATGTGTGTAACACATAGCAAATAGCCCCCGGACAAGACTAAGGCGTTATCCATAAGAACATTGCACTTATCTTTTGACTTACAAAACATTGTTTTATCTTTTTCTCACATTGAAAATAGGACTATATTTACAATCTATCAGAGTTGATTTATGTCTAGTTTAGATTTCTTCATGTGTCTTTGAGACTTACCACTGGCCTGTTGTGTATCTAAAATGAAAGAAAATAAATAAAATTATTGATTTATGATTCTTTCAATGTTATTTACACATATTGACTGGAGCTTGTTTTAGGCCATATGGATTGAACTGTTTTAGAATCATTTGAGGCCCACGAAAAAACTTGTAAACTACCTCCATACCAGGTCCCATAACCATAATATTCGAAATTTAAACAGTAAGAGTCGTTAGAGGTAATTTGCAATTCTTCTTGAAAATGAAGATAGCCAACTTTACCTTTCACAACTATTTTAGAATTAGGTAGTAATGAGTAATGCCCTGATTGATTACCAAATGTATAATCAACAGGTGGCGCTTTAGCTTCAATTTTCACAGCATCACTCGCTTCTAAGATTGACCATTGATACGGATATCCAGGTAAGGAAACGAAATCATTGGAGCAAGATGATTCAAAATCACAAGTATACAATACTTCTGGAGGTGAAGGACGTGGTCCATCGCAGTAATCTACAGAAATATCATCAAATGCTAAAGGTCCAACTGTATTATTTAATCGTATGAATATTTTTATTTTTTCATTTGGCAATGTTACATTAATTAATGTCCACTCATTAATTGAAGGATCTTTGCCTTTAATTGTAGCTGCAATACGTACTAATTGTCCATCGTCACCTTGTACAAGTTGAATGTTGAATGGAAACGACAAACGAGAAGTATAATACCACATTTGAAAACAGATAGCTCGATCAGTTTGAGGTTGTAACCAATCGCTAGTTTTGATTTCAGCTATTGTAGAACGTGAACCCCCTTGCGGATTGTAGAAAAGATAATGACCAGCACTTGTATTCAATGTATGGTCGTGATTGATAGGTTGAGGATGAAGACCATCTGTCAAACCCCAATTTCCATCCGCGACAAAATCATTGCAGACTGCTTCGAAATCACATTGCAGAATTGCAGCTCGGCACAGAAGTATGTTACAAAGAAAAATAATTAAAAATGAAAACATTTTCATGACTATCTGTTTTAAAAATCTGTTTATTTATATACGTTTTGTGAGTTTAGATATTACATGGATATTGTGCAAGAACTCATCTTGAGTAATAAAATAATAACGTAATTTAATGATAAGAACAAGAAAATAGTTAGCTATTTGAATTCTTTCGTCCTTTTGTTCTATGTGACAATAGTAATTTACACATATACGTATGTATCAAAGAGAGATGGAGACAACAAACACCACAGAAGCGATGAAAGCAAGGCATCGCAGAAGAAACTAGGCACATCAAGAAGGTAGATTTTAAATCTAGGAAACACAATTTATGACGTTAACCAAAATAGGTTGATGCAAATAAAACCAGCTCTTGAAACTGCGCCTGAGAGCTAAGTACCACGTCATGATGTGAATGCATGAGACAACCTCAATGAAAGGCATTTTTTCAAAATTTTCTTCGTTTGCTTACAATATAAAATGAGTTTTATACCGTATGAACTCTCTTGAAACAGAATAAAAAGATAAATAAAGCCAGCAGTATTTTTTATCAATCTATCTCTCCTAATACGAAAAGACTCATATAAATTATACATGCTTTTATAATGCTAGATTGAGTGTCTTCTTTTATATGAGCTTAAAAGGAAAAGGATAAATAATGGCTGCATTTCAAAGAAATCTCTACTTTTTTTAAACTAAATGACGAGAAGGATACTGGCATCCACAAGCAGTCATCCGTCCTCCCAGGCCCGGCTTCGAGGACAGAAGACAGTGTCATGCAACAGTCTCTAATTTAGACATAGTAACTACACGTAGGGTATTAAAAAAAAGAAACATTGGATTTTGCTTTTATGAGTCCAAACAGAGCAAAGTGCATAATTAATTTAGATGAATGACAGTCCAAAAATGCCTAGATGTAGTAAACTATAGCCAGCAAGTAAATGTAGGTTTTCATTGGTTGAAATTATTATTGAATACAAATATCAACTTACGATAAGAGAACGACTACCCGAAAATGTACCGTCATCTTCATTCATTATTACAAAGCATAGTCAGCGATGACACAAGTTCCAAGCGTTGCCGAGTCTATCGATCAACCTATAGGCGATATTGTTCCAAATTGGACGCCTAGTCTTCACCCACTTTCGCAAACACATCCACTTCAAGGTCAATATTGTCGACTCGAGTTACTGAATTCACAAACAAGTGATACAATTATTCAGCAACTTTTTGATGCATTTAAACCAACGGAGCAAACTCATTTTACTTATGTCGCATATGGACCATTTACAACAACTGATGAATTTAAAGAATTTATAAAATCAAAAGAATTACCAAGCAGCGGTACTGTTCTCTACTGTATTCTAGTTAATGACATTGCAGTAGGATTTATTAGTTTTTTGAGAATCAATCAACAAAATGGTAGCATTGAGATTGGAAATGTTAGCTTTAGCGAAAAATTACTTCGAACACGAGCAGCTACAGAAGCAAATTTTTTAATGCTGCAATATGCATTTGACATATTAGGTTATCGACGATTAGAATGGAAATGTAATGCTTTAAATGCCAAATCTTGTCGGGCAGCATTACGTTTAGGTTATCAATATGAATGCACATGGATCAAAGCAGAAGTTTGTAAAGGTCGATCGAGGGATAATGCATGGTTTAGCATAATCGATGATGAATGGGCCGTATTAAAGCCAGAATTTCAACGTTGGTTAAATTCGAATAATTTCGATAGCAACGGGCAACAATTAACAAAACTTAACTCAGCACAAATCAATCCACGTAGTCATAATGTTGGCTAACTAAGAAGTAAAAACATCATTTGTATTTTGATATAAGAATTTTCTTTATAATAGATTTTATTTTTTTCTCATAATTGATTGATAAAGTGCTAATAATAAAATCTATGGTGATCTTTTAAAAGTTCTCCTAATCTTATTCACTAGTTGATGATTTGTATCTTGTCAATAGATCAAAATGAATTCTCCAATAATGATTCAAATCGAAGAAAGAAGATAATCGAGTTTGACTAGCAATCTTAAAACATGACACTGTGTAAACAGGGCCCAATCCAATACTTGTTCGAGATCATTCCTATGTCAAGTTTTGATTTAAGTGCTTTCTAAAACCGAATAGAATTAAAAAGAAAATGACTTATTTCTTTTTGTAGTTTGAGTTGAATCGATCCAATTCTTTACAAGCCTCCAATGAAACGAATAAAGTCTCTCGTGGTTATGAAATATACTAAAAGCGTTTTCAATCTTAATGCACATCACGAGTAGTTATGATTTCGAGTACGAATATATCTTGAAAAATTTCATCTTTTATTGACATATCTCCTAGATCAAACGATTCAAAATAAACTTTTTATAGAGATAACAACAGTTTGTAAAACTTGATATTGCAATAAAAATTAAGATTATTTTGAGAAGATGAATTTGAACAAAAGCAGCAATTTTTGGTATTTCCATAGTTACAAAAAACTAGAGATTACAGAAATGCTCTTGGAATTTTCACTTTCGAGAAAGATGGACATGATTTCAACGCAGTAAACTATTCGAGATATGAACGAGCAATTTCTTGGGATAGCATTGAAATATTCTATGTTTTCCTTTAAGAAACCATTAAACTATCAAGATCAAATCAATAAGCATCCGGTTCGTATCTCTCCAGAACTCAAATGCAGTGTATTATATTTGTCTCTTGTTCTGAATAGTGATTTTATTATTTATATCTGACCTAAAATCCTACATAACGAAAGATTAACAATATGAGAAACCAGCTTAGCGATGACAGCAATAGGCGCTTACATTATGTTTCTGTAGTGAGTTTTATTTCTTGAAGGAATCCATAACAGGTAGTCTCCGAAAAACCTCAGGAAAAGAAATTTGATATTAACCCTTTCCGGCCCGCTGTTTGGAAATTGCCGTACCCCCTAGGGGAAAATGTTGCCATATGGCAACACCGGGCCGGAAAGGGTTAATTGGCTTTGTAGATATAAATAATAACATAAGGTAAGATCATTTCCCGTTGAAAAAAAAATAAAAACAGGAATTGGCAAAGTAGCATGGAAAACAGAAATGAAGAAAAATTCGTTTGAAAAATATCAACCGACGAACTCATGAAACTAAATATTCTCATTCACTGTAATTATCTTTGTTGTCTAGAAGCAGAAATAGGATCGAGTTGTTTTGAAATTGAGAAATAAGACATTGAACTAGTCGAGTTGCAAGTAAATATAAACCTGTCTCATCTATAAATAACAGACTTCTTAACATTTCCGTTTGCTCTCCGCTGTCTTCTTAGTTTATAATACGCCACCATCCAGTGTCATTTATAAGTATATTTATTTTGTACGTCTCGATGATCTTCAATTTGATTTTTGATGATCAAATTACAAATGAACGATAGACAACTAGAACAGAACAAAACGCAATAAAGTATAGAAAATGATTTTCCGAAGATCCGGAAAAAACGAATGACAAAACGGTCATTTTGACTTCATTTAACGATTCTGAAAACTAAGTACATTTTCCATTCAATAACATAATTAAAAATGATTCATAATATCAAGATTTAAGCATAGCGTCTTTTCTATTAGAAAAATAAGAATTAGCTTACATCAGAGATTTTATATTTCTTCCCTTTTTACAATTCATCATATTGTATATGTTTAGGAAGATGCAAAATCACTATGCATGAACTATATTTGGTAAAACGAGCTATTTTTATATTGAAATTTTAGTTTTCTGCATTTTCGAAATCATTCATTCGTGAGACTTGTATTTGTATCTCATACAAAATAAAATTGTACTAGAAGTTACAATCTACCAATGAGAGCTCATTTAAAATCTTTGAACAAACAATTTTTCGTTCTACTAACTAAGAGTGGGTCAAGAAAAATACTAATTTCGTATCTGTTATCAAGAAATTTTTCAGTATGATTCTCCAAAAAAGACTGCTCATGGCAGTACATAACACTCCGAGAATAATCAATATGTATCACTAAATAAACTGAGTCAGGCCATATTTTATCTATACCAAAATCTAAACTGCATTCGCCTCGTACAAACGCAACGATAAAAGAAATAGATTTTTACTTCAAGTGCACATCACACGCTTGCTGTGCTCCATTTTCTTACTAAAGCGAATCGTACCTATTTCTCGTTTGCTCTTAATTTAGTGATTGCTTGTTGCAAACATAAAATACATTATCAATGGTAATTTTTCATCAAATAACGCGAATACTCATCTATTTTCGATATACATTAGCATAGACGCTTGATTGTCTTTATCAAGCGACTCGATAAAATAAATCGATAACCAACACAAGTCTGCATCGATTTCTTTTCTCTTTCTGTTCAGTCATTTTTTTTTGTACCTCATCTTTTCTCAACCATGCATTATACTATTTATCGATTCATTTACTTACCTGAGTACGATTCGAATGTAATACATACATAACTGCAGCCAGTTATTTTTACGATATCAACATGATTGGTAACAGTACTGGTATTTTGTTTTACTATTTATCCAGAAAGTCTTTTCTAATAAAAATCTCTAGTGCAAAAAATTTTAATGGCCGATAGATTAGTTTACAATTAGCCGACCTGAATCTATTCTACATGAAAAGGAACTTATTGAACTGAAGTAATGCATTGAAGCAAACACTTTGACTGGCGCTTAAATAACAAACAATGATACGTGTCTCTTTTGCAAATCAGATTGATATATTTTGTCGAACTTGTTCAAATAGTTTTACGGCAAAATCAGGACTATTAATTTTCAAAGAATCAGCATTATTTTTGAATTTGTTTTTCCTTCAACTATTCTTATTAATGGTACAAAAACAAAAATGCGGCGAACAAAGATTTTTGTTTAACCTTAAAAATCGTTAATTACACACGAGGATACATCAATGCATTTTTAAATTAAATAAAAAAGTTTAATTCAATATATGCAACCCCAAAGTCTCAATTACGATTACTTGCCAGCGCATCAATAAATTCAACGAAGTAACGTATTATTTTCCCTTTTTTACTCTTTATTTTTGAAATCCTACATTATAGTCTTCACTGGTAACCTACTCGATTAGTTGAATTGATTCTGTTTACTATTCGGCACGAAACGAGACATATATTTAATATTTTAACAAAACAACTTCATCGGCCGACTTGTTAGCTTTCTTATGCAAGCGAAAATAAAGTAAATAAAATCTAGGTTTTAATTAATTTAAACAGAAAAGCAGCATTGAAATCATATGTATTGATCTTAAAAGTTTAATTGACTTCGAGTTTTTCTATCTGTGACGAAGAAAAATTCAAAAGAGATTTTCTTAAGTGTCGTGCACCAAAAACAGAGCGTTCCCCTGACATTCATGTACTGCCAACTGTTTGTCTAATCAATACATGATGGATATCGATCAGTTTCAAACCACTTGGGAAAGAAATTTTCGTGCAGTTTAAAAGCTGAGCATTTAAAAAAAAATTCCGAATCGAAAATTAGAAGTTCATTCAATATTTTAGTATATCTATGCAAGCAGTAACTCGTATGATGTACTGATAGTTTAGTTACCTAAACGTCAATTTTTATTCTCGGTGGATTCATTAATGAATGACATCACTAACTTATATCCAACAGCAACTGTAGTCGTGATAATAGACTTTTGTTTGTCAATTTTAGTTAACGTCTATAAACTATTGGCCATGACTATGACTCTTGATGACCCGTAAAACTAATTGTTAGAATCATCCCGAAAAATAAACTCAGAGTGTACGAGACATCTACATTTTCTTTTCAGTACTTTTCGGTTTCACATTTCTCTGTTCGACTTCTGTATACCACATCGTAAAGTTCTTGTTTGATAAGTGCATGTATTTCATTTCATCTGAATATCGTTTTTTTTTAGCTCATCATGAATTATATGTATCTGTGTTGTTTCATGTATGCCAAAGATTAAAACAAAGAGATATAAAGTCATCAATGGGTAAACCGAACAGGCACAATTTGTGACTATTGCGACATTTATTTGTGATAATCTGCTCTAACCAAAATTTTATTCAACAAGATATCTGCAGCTTTGATTGATTGTTGACCAGCCGCAAAAAAGCGTAATATTCAACCTTATTTCGTACAATCTTATTCAACTCGTCCAGCGACCGAATTCAAGTAAAGCTTTATAAAATATTATATACTTATTTAAAAAGATACTAATTTACCCACGGATCATTGACTATAATGAATTTTTTGCTACTACAAGAAAATCAAACGCTGTCCATTACTTTGGTTTTGTTTTCTACTAACTCATGCATATACGGTGTAGCATCGTCGAATCAAAAACATGTTACACCGAGTTAACTGGTGCTGTTTGTTTTCGTTTTAAATAAATTAAAATCAACTAATCTGTGAATAAGATAAATGAATTCAAATTTAGACTTTATATTGAACTACACAAGCTACAATTAGTAATAATTCATTTTTAAAGCTAGTTATCTTATTTTGATATACAAATTCTTCCTTATCTTTGAGTATTGAAATCTTGACAAGTGCCCTTGCGTTCTAGAAATACTTTCAGTTAATAGATAATATTTTCAACTATATGTAATTTAGAAAAAAAAATCTAAAGCTACTACAACTTAACAGAAGACATTTTAAAGATATCTGTAAGTCAAAATTCGAAAGAATAAGTATATTTTTTTCAAGTAATCAATTTTATTAGTTCATGCAATTTTCTCTTGGCCTCCATAGTTTCATTTGGTTATGTGACATCAGACTATACAAAAATATATGTATCTTTTTTTTTTGTTTAATTTTTAGTATGATCGATCCTATTGGCTACGCTTGATCTATCACAAAGAAAATAACGGCCATAATTATATTCACGACCTCCTGCAGCAAAGTGTTGATATGTATATAGCCAGCCGCTGTTTTATACACTCACCTGAATAAGTCAAATAAAATTTCTAGTAGAATCTTTACTGTTTTGATGAGTTTGCCTGACATGAAATTCCAGCGACACGTTTCTGGTATAGTATGGGTCATTAGTTGTACTAGATTTAGAATGATTATAATTATGAATCAATGTAAAAATGAATATTGTTTTACTATCAATAAGTGCATCCAAATGAGAGTACTCAAGACACGAACAATGGACCAATTGCTGTCTAACTTGAAAGTCAATTGCTTACAACGACTCCAATTCGAGTTCTGAATTTTATAAACGAAAATTCGAGTAACAAAAAAACATTAACTAGACTAGACTTTGAGCAAATGAACTTGTGAGAATGAATCACTCAACTTTTCAAGAAAATTAATTCTCACATTGTCTACGTCAGCAAAGTTAATTAAAATCAACAACGGTAAGAATTTTATTTTTGTTCCTGTTTACTATATTTTATTACTCTAAAAAAACAAAGAAATATAATAATCCACTCGATATGTAACTATTGCCTAGAGGATATCATCGCGATCTTAGTATGCTTTACTAATCGAGTATTTCCCAGTTTTCAATATTTCCCATTATTTTATTCTAAAATCAAGTGTGATTCGTCTAAATATGGATATGAGTATCCCCTAAAAAGCATCATTGATAAATCTAAAAATTAATTTTTTGTTCACTAATGAGTATCATCAAAACATTTGAATAGTAACATTTCTTCATAAATTAAAGTTTAAGCTAAGATACAAGTTTGTGCAGTTAACTGCATAAGTTCTCCAGAAGATATATCTGCGATGCAAAGTCAATTGAAATCGTCGCTGATTTTGATTTCAGCTAAGGAAAAATAATATCTTTCAGTTTATTTTATTGTAACAAAATTGATCTAGTTTTCTTTTCTTTTTAGCATCCTTACATGATCATGGACGTTGCTATTGGCTTATTTTCGTTTTATTTACAAACATGAGCAATTGACTAAAATATAGCGGGACTTGGTTTTATTTAAAAGAATGAGCATTTCTGATTCGAAATTGCTAGCATTTAATCGATATTTGATTTCCAAATAGAATTTCTTCCACACCGGTGCACAATTAAAGAATCTTTTCAAGTGTTTTCAAATAACTCCAAACATCTTCCAGCGAAGTTTTTATCTTTTTCGGAATTTTTCAATCAAAACGATACATTCATGGATATCAGGTTGAAAAATACTTACTACTTCAGCAACGTTAACCTCCGTTCAAGACAATTTTTCTTGCCTTATTTCGTTGTAAAAATCTGATTCTAATAAAATATTGAATCCAGTGGTTGAATACAAGTTTGCGTTGTGCTATTAATCGATACTTTTCTCAAACCGGCATCTTTGAATATGGTGCTGACTATATATCACTATCAATTATTAATAATTTCTATTTACATCATGTTATAGACAGCTAAATTCACCAAGTAAGAACAATAAATACTTTATAGATATCAAAACATTCCTAAAGAGAATCACAAACGTGTCGATGAATATTGGTTGTCACGTTACAAAACAAATTTCTTACATTGATCAGCAATCAACAATAGAACAAGCGGCGAAATGTGGAAATTAATTTTAACGAATTTATGAATGTATCTAGCACGAACATGATGACCTAGGAGAACGTCTGTTGTTTTATCAAGTAGGAATTTTCGTTCGATGCCCCTTAGAGTCGAATGATACATATTTGTTGTTTTGTTCTCGAACTAATTTTGAAAGAAAAAAATGTTGTAGATCGAGATTCTTGATGAACAAGAATAAAATATAGATAGCATTGAATTTATTAAATACAATAGAAAACTAAACATAACGGACGGTACTGCGGATATTGCATGTAGACGAATTAAGGGTACGGTGAACTTTGTAGACGAAAGAAAGATAGTGATATAGATTGATAATAAAAATGAGAATATGAAAAATGTCAACATAAATGAAAACTTTAATTCTCGAAAAATCACTAGAATAAAGTATTACTATGTCATATAGACTGCAGAAGTGCACAGTATGAAAATGTATTCTGGTCGTGTATGCTCAAATATCAAACCAATCAGTCTATATTTCTGTGTCTCACTTGCGAAATGTAATCAGTGTGTGTTCTTATGAGCAAGAAAACTTCAGGTAATAACTACCATTTTTTTATTCCCATGAAAAATATATCACAAAATTAAACAACTTCTACTCCTGAAAATCTTGTTCTTCGTAGGTTCATTTTCTCAAACAAACCAAAAGGGTAAATATATATTTTATTTTATTTGTCGCCTCTTCGAAATATCCAATAAAGAAGAGTCGATAGAATTAGAATAAATACTATGTTCGAAAATTTTGAAAGACTATTTGGAAATGGATTTTGTCGACATGTTATTAAATGTTGTTGATGACTTTCTCGAACTCCTTTCCATCCACAATTATTACTACACTTAATAATATACTTCGGACATGTACCAGAAATATGATCGTTGAAGTTCGATCGTTGAATACCTGTGTATTTGCATAATGCACATTGAACTAATAAACGATTTAATTGATTACGTACAACTCGACTTATAACAGGTTGAAAAGCAGCTCCAGTTTGTCGACATGATGGACATGATGCTTGTTTTTCTAACCATTTTAATATGCAGGATTTGCAATATGTATTTCCACATGTTGCACAGTTCATAGGCGCTTCAAATGGCTCATCGCATATTGTACATTTAAGTTCAATATCAATTTGGTCTTCATTGACATATTTGAACATCATACACTTTTCTTTTGAAGAGAAGTTTTCTTTAATGATGTACGTTTCTATTATACGGTCGATTATATTTTTTATTCGTTACATAGAAGACACAAGGAAACAAAAAAAGTCAAATAGTTTTCTTCCATGCACTGTGCTGTCTACCTTTATGTTGCTTTGAGACACGTGCCTTTATGTGACTGATTCTTGCTTTCTTTCTCTTTTTTTTACAGATTTGTTTGCTGTGTTAAACGAATAGAACACGTGAAATATTTTACTTCAAGTACATATATGACGTATATCATGAATTTTTGCTTTAGTACGCCATCATAGGATTAACCCAATCGAAGTCGTTGGAATCAGCAGTGAAAATATAGATATAGAGTTTGACAGAAGTCAAAACTATGTGATTGATCATTTTAGCTGGTTTCCATCATAGTATTAACCTTTCAGTGTAGAGAGCTTATAGCGACATCTGCTTCGCGCTACTTTATAGTTATGTAAAATATGCACTATTACCATAGTTCTATCATAAGATAAGAGTGTCGACCTAATCTGAAAATTTTCTAACAAACTATATTTGTTAAGATCTATCTTTATGCAAACTTTCGAGTTCAAATTCAAAGTAAGTTTTTTTGTATTCCGGTGAAAGATCATGAAATTATTTTTAAAAAATACCACAAAAATTCAAAATATCTCAATAGAAATAATCTAATCGGCCGAACTCTTTTTTTTTACGGTATTTCCAATTCACCTAGGTCTACATAGGGTATATAGTCTCGTTTCTAAAGCGATTTCACAGTTGGTGATCTTCTTGCAAAAGAAGTAAAGATAGATCGAAGGTGCTGAGATATTCATGTCTAAACAATTTTTGTTATGCCATGATGGAGTCTGCGCGTTTTTTGGACTCATTAATATCTACTCTTCTTCTATCGATTTCATATTTTTATAATGTTTTGCAGTGAGTGAAGATAATTTGTGACAGCTAGAGGAACAATTCGATAAATCTATTCTAAATTTTATTAGGACGGTAGGACCTGCTGTTTCTGCATTAGGTCAGTAGTGTTAGAACTTAAGACAATCCACTACTTTAGTCTCATTGTGGAAGAGAATTTTTTTCAAGACTCTGTTCTACCTACTAGTATTCATTCTCGATCTTGCTGAAGATCTTGATAGGAATTACAGAAAATATGCTCACCAAATGTTATCGATGCTTTCTAGATCTATGCACTATTATACTCTCAGGAGTTATAGCTGAATCAATGAAGAAATGTTTTTATCGATATTTTATGAAATATTTCTAGTCGAGATCTAATTATAATGGTAAGAGAAATATTGAATATGTGCACTTCTGTGTTTTCGCCAAACTAATCAGATAATTGTCTATGTTTTACGCAGATCTTTAGATAAATTTTAGTTTTAAATCGTAAATCTGATAATACAAGGGAAGAATGAATGCAATTTATTTTATTATTATTGTTTTCTTTTGTTTTCAAAGAGTATTTCATTACTCTCAAAAAACACTGAGATAGAACTTCAAAGCCACTATTCGAAAAGAATTCTAATTCAAGCACGTAGTTTTTTTCTTTACTTTTGTTGAAATACTTTTTAAAGGATAAAAAATAAGCAATAATTTCTGATAATCCGTTATTCCAATTCTTCTTTTTCTTCATATTAAAAAGTTATACTCATATATTCTCTCCTAGGAAACATTTTTGATTTACCACTAAACATAAGTTAATCTGAAATGAAAACAAAAAACATCGTCGGAATCAAGAGAAAATTTTACTGATACCGCAAGCTTAAGTTTATTCTAAAATATTCTATGATTTTTAAGAAGCTTATCTTGTCAATCGTACAAATCAGAATATAATTCAAGAGAGATAATTCGAAAAAAAAGATGAGTATTAGTCTTTCACTAAACAAATAAAAAATCAAGAAATATCAATCAGTAAACGCTGAAATTGTTTTATTCATCACGCGAGAAAATACTTTTCGAATCAAATTTTCATGCGCATGATTCATTCGAGAAAAATGATGGCACCGAAATTAAAATTTGAAAAACTATGAATCAAATCTATTTTTAGTTCTTCTCATTTCAGTGTTATTTACTGATTTAAACTGATATTCCCTAACTGAATCGGATGCCTAACTTGAACCATAACATGCATTTGGATATTAAATTTCATATCTTCATGTTCATAAATAATGAATCAGATCTTGATATTTTGAAATCTATTAACGTTAGTGAATTTTTTTTACAGCTAAACAAATACTTTAACTGACTTAGCGCATAGTTGCTTAATGATAGACCGAAACTATAACGCGAGAGCAAAAAGAAAATTTCTTACGACTATGATTTAAGAAATGCGTCATTTCTCTTTCCCTTCTGTACGAAACAGCAAGAGATATCTATTGCTGTCATTGCTAAATACGCTATTCGTAATCTCGCACAGGGAGAAAATAATAAATCCATCGTTGTAAAGATGGATCTTGCGTTTCGTTCATTCGTTCGATAGCAAAGAAATTTTTAATAATTATTTGTTGATCGAATGAAACATTGAATAAAATCAATTATCTAGTTAAATACAAAACATCTTATCAATTAAATGTAATCATAATCATTTTCTAGCACACTATAGGAAAGGGTTAAAACGAGATTTCACAATTTAACAACACATCATGAACTATATGTGATCGAATTTTTGAATAGGTATTTTTGGCACGCCTAAGACATTGATCACACTAATTACAAATATCGAAAATAAAACTTGTCTACAAACACGAATAAATATAAATAGACCCACCATTGCTCGTTTGTTTACTTAATCACAGACACGAGCTTCATTTTTTTCGTGCGTTCGTTCGATCACGTTCTCTTTTATTCCGTCGATAGCTACATATATCGAATATATTCAACGTGCATAACATTTTCATAAAGATAAGCATGGGCAATATCCTATCTTCTTCTTTTTGGTTTTCTTCTACAAGTGATAATTTAATATCATCAAGTTTAATATCATCTCAACTTATTCATCGTCATACACTTTCTACATGTTATGATTCAATATTTGATGTATCGTTATCAACAAAATCCAATTCAATACTTCTAAGTGACGATGGTAGACTTCGACTATTTAACATCGATCTAGAAAATGGTGGTCAACTAATTGAAACAACCACAGTATCCACAAAATTATCGACTCACGAGCAAATGCATGATATTGTGTGGAGTTCAAATCTCGACCGTTTTCTTGTTCTGACATCGAAACGTTTAGCAACATTTGATGATGAAAATAATTTAATTAATCTTAATCTTGAACTTGAAAAAGGTTATCTTATCGCTTTTAAACATAAACGATTGACATATCTAATTCTTGTTTTCTTTTTCTCAGGTAGTCCTCCATTCTGGCGTATGGCTTGTTGGTCATCGCATCTTATTGTAAATCTTGGTTTAGGTACATCGATTCGTTATCATAGATTAACGTCATCAATATCGTCACTTCCTTTAATTAATTCTTTTACACGCTCGTCTCTGGGCTATACAGATTCCGATTTACTTTCATCAATGGCACTTAGTCCACAATTAGTTCTTGCTATTAATGTTGAGTTAAATGATAATCATCATGTTATTGATTTATTTTCTATCAATGAGACAACGAAATTTCAACATCTGAAACGTTTCAATTCCTATGAGCCATGTTCATTCGATCTCATCACATCGTTACGTAACTGTACGTGGCTGTGCAAATCTCATTGGCCATCAGATGATTGTTTATGTATAATTGAATCGAATGGTCAAGTTAATAAAATTGATTTATCAGAACAAAATGGTTATATTCTTAATCTAAGATTATTAGCAGATCGGTCGCATTTAGTTATTGTACGAACACCCAATAAATTACCAAAAGAAATTGCTATTTCAGATTTGAATAAAATCGACATAGACGAAGACGAACAATCAAAACATGGACATAGACGACAAATTATTGGCAAACTACCGGGAAATCTTTTATTAGAGATTTATAAAGTTCCATCGGCATCGAAATAAATAAAGGACTTCTTTTTTTCCCTTGAACTTTTGTATATGATTTCGAAAGAATAAAACATTGAAACAGTTTTACTGATAGATCAACGATGGTTTTCTAAATGTACAATATCAAAATACTTCTATTCATCAGTAAAAGAATGGTAAAATTTAAAATGAAAAGCAGAAGACTATCACAGTAAGCATAGGAGATAGAGTACTACTATATTTTGAAACTTCGATCTAAGCTAAATACCGAATTCTGATCGATGCCGGCATTTTGTGAGAAAAACTAAAAATCTTAGTCTTACAACTTGACATTATAAATCAGTATCGGATTCATGGATCATTTTCTGAGCAACTTTCAATACGAATAATCACATTTCAAGAAAGGCATTCACATGAGTTAGACTCTAAATCAAAAGAATGCTTTTTTAAAATTTGTTCGAAAATATATGAGATAAATAATGTGATTTTATGGTTCATTCAATTAGAAATAGAAGAGTTTTTGCAAAACGCATTAATTTAATTGTTAACGAATCAGAAAATATCATGGCATAAAAAACAAAATTAGTATTATTCATGGGTTACATTTTGCTCAAAGAAAAACTCATGCGTGCCAAAGGATAATTCTCTAAATTAGTAACATCACGGTCCTTACACTTGTTGACGTAACCTTTGGGATAAACTAATTCATGTATAGAGTATTTTCAAGCGGAAGAAAAATTGTATTGAAAAAATTCAACGAACTTTTTACCTTGATATCGTGTTGTCTAGAAGCTTTTTTAATCAAGATAATCTGATTTTATTCAACCTATACTTCCCACTACTGTTTCAGCTTTTCTATGAAATGACTAGTTTCTCTGGATAAAGAAAACGCTGTACGAGTAGTACACGGTGACGCACTTCTTAAAACAATAATTGTTTTTTCATGAATAGTGCATCAAACACATGTGAAAAGAAATGCATTTCAATTGGCTAGTAGAAAGAAAACATGTTCTCGATTAGAAAAGGAAAAGGAAAAGGAAAAATCGTTGTTTTCTAATTGCATACGCAAAATAACTGCACAGATTATATGGAAATTCAGACTAATAAAAGAAAAATGAAAATTATTGAATTTCTATGGTTCTAAAAGAAATTTAAGTAAAATTGATCATTAATGAGTTAATGATAAGAACAAGTAGAAATATGTGGATCAATAGCACAACAAAGAAAAGCAAATCGGCAATTATGAGCAGTTTTGTTCAAAAAACTTTTTTTTATTTGAAATGAAAAACATGTGTCGAAAATCAATTGGTTTGCTATAGAAATTTCTTTGTGGGAAAATGAAATTGAAGTTGGAACAAAATTTTTTTAGTGAAGCGTTGAAAATCCATATTAGCTAAATTTCATATTTATAATCCATTAAACAAGATTCGATGACAAAATCTCTATACGATCATTAACGTCGTGCACATGACATTCGAGTTGCCATGGAAATGGACATCGATTGGTATCAACATCCATTGTACGTGTAATTTTTGTTTGTTCATTGAAATAGCTAATTTTACGATTATCACAATCGATTAAGAGGTCTAGCTTTAATGTTGTCTCGCCACGTAAATCTTTCTGTCCTGGATTAGTTTTACGGTCAATATCAGGATTGTTCATGGAGTCGTCAGTTCGCCAACCGTAGGGAAAACATCCGTTACTAGGTGACAGTCCTAATGTGCGAACAGATTTTGAAACAACATTAAACGAAGCCACATATGATGCAGTCTTGTTGATAATTAATCGAATTCTACACTTTCCATGCGAATACTCGCCTACCGCACGCGCATAGGCATCACTACGTTTGCTGCTACTGTGTGCTATTGAACGGCCGTTATCTTCAATAGTAATATTGCCCAAAGATTCTCCAAATCGTTCTTCAAATTTTGCTAGTTGTTGTATAGAAGAGATAGACATTTTAGGAACGAGTGCATTCTTTGAATCTTCAACAACAGTAAGCGAGCCCAGAATAGTGATCATTTCACTCTTTAATCCTTTAAGTTTTTTTGTCCATTTTTCAACATCAGTTTCAACATAATCATCATCTGTACGTGCTTTACGCAGTCGTTGAGCAAGATCATTTAGTTTCATTGATAGTATTTCTGAATTTTAAAGGTATTAATAAAAAACACAAAATTGACTTTTTCTTTTGCTCTACCTGTTTTTTCGTTGGTTAATTTATTAACTTGTTGTCGTGCTTCATTTGCTGTACGTTGAATCTTTGCAATTGCATCTTTTTCCCATGTTTTAATTTTTTCTAGAAGTTGTTGATAACTATTTTGTTCATCGTTATGTTCGGCAATCGACTTCTGCAAAGCGTCATGTTCGATAAAGAGCTCGTCTAATTGATGAGTAAGTTTATCTCTGTGTTCGGTAGAATGTTTTCGACAAAATACTTGAGCACATCCTTCGCATTTAAAAATGCCCAGACCATTTTTATCACAGGTTACACAAGGTACTTTCGGCACTGATGAATGCGACATGTGTTTCTTTTTCTATACCGTAAAAAAGAAAGTTTTTTTGTGTAAGCTACTTCAGTACGTTTCCTCCAGCAGATGATCAATATGAGAACGAAAAACAGCTATTTATACGTTAAGCTGCTTAGTGTTTTTTTTTCTTTCTTGTTTCTTCTGATTATGTAGTGAAAAATAGTTGGTTACCAAAATGTTTCCTTCAAAATACTTTGTTAGTGAAATATATTTGGAAACTATGCATACGATACAAATGATATTATAGATCTATGCAATAAAGTTTTGATCAAAATTGAAATAGCATCTGTTTGAGTGTTTACTCTCTTTCATCAATTTTAGGCAGTTCTACAAAAGACTAGTAAAAATGTGTATATCTATTTGGATGTGCTTTTTTCGAATATGTACATGGATCTGTTCAATATCAGTAAAAAAAAGCTCACTAAAATCATAGGATTGCTCTGATCGTTTAATCATTTCCCAATCAAATGAAGGATCACTTTGCTTGCAAGTGACATAATTAAAAAGAGAAATGCCTGTCGAAATTCTGAATAAAAAAATTGAAAAAAGTAATTTTTATTTGAATTTTAGATGATGTTTTATTGATTGGAAAATCTTGTTTTTCCTGAGTGTTTCAATTACAAGACTTGAAGTAAAGATGTTATTTAGGTTGTCAAGTCAATCGATTGATAAACCAACAGTAGTTGCATGTTAAGAATATCGTTTAGCATAATCATTAGAATATTTCGAAAAACATTTACAATAATAGCTAGTTAACTTCAAACTAATTTCATTTGTTACAAACATTTATTAGGCATTTATATTGATGTTCATTGTCTACATATGAACCAACTGCTGCTCTTCACAATTCTGATTAGTTTATGTCCATATAGTGTGAAACAATGTTGAAATGAAACAGGTACTGCTTTCTTTCTAGCATGGTGACGAATTCGCTGTAAAGAGCACTTGTAATATCATAGGCTATGCCCATGGAATTTTTATCGTTTCTTGTTTGTTTTACTATTGATCTTAGAGAACAAGATAATAAATATTAAAACTCTTGAGAACCTTCGAATAATTCATTCAGATAGAATCCCAGCCAAAAACTGATTGTTTTAACTATAAAAACTAAATAGACAATAGCATTTTTCTAAGCTCAAAAACATTAAGTAAAAATCACAGAAAATTTTTTGCACATTAACTGCCGTAGAATGAGAGATATTATAAATCCGTAACTAGTTCATATTGTCGAGAATAAAGATTAATAAAATAATCCAGCATGAAAAAATTCAACACATTACATTAACTATTTGACTGTTGATTTCACTCAAATGGAAGGAGGTCTACAATCAGCATCTATATAATTGCCCAAGTGGTTGAAACCGGAAAAAACCGGCGGTTCACCGTTCGGTATAATGTGCGCTCGACTGCCAATATACCACCGGCTTTTCATGAAAGTCATGCATCCTCTGCATAGTATAGAAACGGCTGACTATTTTTTAAGTCTGTTAAAACCGGCAGAATCGCATTGAATTCCGTGCACCTTGATCATGTCGATGTGCCTGAGCCGCCTGTAGTAGCCACTTAACACAAATCAGTCCCATTTATGAGATAAACATTTTGTTAAAGATGTCGCTGTAAAAATAATAATTCGCAAAATATATTTTAAAGTAGTTTTGTTTTCGATTAATTCGAATTCTATTTTTCAAAATAAATAGGGATTTGACAAAAAACGATTTCTGAAAGCTTTTTTAGCTGGGACCGGAGCTTATAAGCGCTACCGGCGGTAGTGACAAAGAATGTGCGCCACGGGTGGCGTTAACTTATAAAAAGCATTGCATGGTGACTGTTTTATTCAAAATATGAATCTTTGTTCAATAAACTAAAAAAATAGTTTTATTCCAGTTTTCAATTTAGTACGAGGCGAGTGCTCACATTGAATACATTCGGTCTTAATCTCAGATAGTCGACAAAAGTGAGATTCGGTTGATGTCGTTTTTCATCCGAACCATGGTATGCTGCGACGACACCAGCTTGTGCCTTGCTTCGATAAAGCATGTAAGTGTTGTGACTTCCAATATGTAATAGAACTCGAACTGTGTTCCTATCGTCTGTTGCAGCAACTATTCGTCCTGTACCTCTCCTGCCGAATCCGAGACGAGCCAATTTCACTGAGAAAGCGTCGAAGATTTCCCAACCACCACGATGATTGTGATAGATTTTGAGAGCTTCTTTCGCCTCTGGACTACATTGAATTAGCTTCCAAATTTTTTGATTGCAAAATGTCGGAAAATCTGAAGAGTTCAATGCACTAATGTTTGGTATTACATTTGCCCTTGGTTTACATTCCAAAATTTTGTTTAGATCGTCATCATACTGAAAGTAACGTCTTAAATCGACTAAAGCTATTTTGAATTTTTCTAATGCAGTTACTGAAGACATATCATCGTCTGTTGTCCATTCTTTTTTAATGCGTTGAGCCACATTTTGCCTCGATGTCGTTCCTTTAGGTTTTTGATCCTCATTGACGGTGTTACGTAAAATGTTTACGATCAATGATTTATTAATGCGTTTGTCAGGCCAATCTATTTCGTTCTGTTGAGATATAAGCTCAGCGACATCACGTATATCTAACTCGAATACATGTAATACAGTGAGACGAGCAAAACTGTCGTACCGAGAATCGTCATTGTCTCTGTTGATCTGAAATCCTAATGCACACTTTGTAATATATAATTTGCTTGTTATTGAATTATCTTTGATTTCTAAATGAGACGATCGAAATAATTGTATTCATTCGTCTGATCTTTCAAAAATGGTTGATCATTCAATGTTCGACATTTTTCTTGTTAGACTTCGACAGATTAGATTAAACCCTCATAGCGCATATAGACTGACTAGATTTTGTTTAAGACACATATTCTCTAACAAATTTTTAAATGGTTCAATGCTTTCAAACGGGAAAATCTATTTTTCTTTTTTTTTATAAATAAATTAGTAGAGACTTAGTTTTATCCTATGAAAACGATGCCAAAATGACCTGAGATAACATCACATATTACAAGTGAAATCTTGAGATGCAACATACGTTCCTGTGTCTCGTTGATGAATGAAATGGTTTCCTTTTTATGTTCATTTACAGAATTCATCTCAGCCTTTTTCTTCTCAGCAAGCATTGCAATTGTATGTTCTTCAATGATGGCCTTTAGTGCTTCGCTTATGTCTTGCATTGCTTGAACAAAAAATATCTCGATGTCCACAATTTTCTGAGAGTTATCATGCAAGCCAGTATAGCTATGTGCTAGTGACGTGTCTTCTGATAAAAGCTCGTTGAATTGTTCTGTATCAATAGTAACCACTACATTCGACAATGATGCAATCGCAAATTTATTGGATAGGATGTGCAAAATTCCACTCTATTTAAAGAAAAAAAAGTTCTACTATTATATTTAAAATACTTGCTTACTTTCTTGGTAGCACGCCGATAGTAAGCATCTAGTAAGACACATACGAGACCTGTAAGTGTTATAAAGCGATACCAATAAGTCCAAAGATCGTCTTCAACCAATTCACCGTGTGTTTTAGACCACATAATGAAGAGAGCACAAGACAATAAACGAGTCAATCGATTGAAAGTTGCTTCCACATCGAGACTCGAAATAAGATTCTCGTCATTAAATTTACAAAAATTACTATAGGCACATTTTAGAATCGGTTCTATGATTTGCTCGATAGTATAGACTTGATTGTCTGTTCTAGTATCTATAAATAGATGATTCTTAAGTTCTACCGAATTCATGATTTCGGGTGTATGTTTGCTTAGGAAATTTGCGACACATTGGTCATAGTATAAATTGTTGTTCTCAACGGCATCATCGCTGCGAGATTGAATATGCTTAAGTTTTTCGGATGACTTGACAACATACTTTGTCAGCACTGCAAATTCGCCCTGCATTACAGCGGCTAGTAATTTGTGTCGATCAAGTCTACTAGGCGCAGCCAACTGTAAGGACAGGATGGAAACTAAATTATTTGTTGATACTTTCAATTGGTATTGAATCATCTCGTCGGTTTGTTCGATTGGAAATAGACAGTTGAGTAGTCGGAAAATATTGTCATTCAACTGCTTACTCGTTGGTATGCGAAGCAATTTTATTTCGCTGGTTGAAACATCATCGTTTCCGTTCAGTTCGACACTATGTACTAACCCATTAAAAATAAGGTCATTCAAATTCAATGAGCTGATTTCCATTTCCTGTTTGTAGAGAAGAAAAAGAAAAATAAAATTTTGAGCAAATAAATCAATATCAACGATAGAATATTAATAGATGATGAATTTCAAATCAGAAACCGCGGTGATTTCTCAATAACAAAATATATTCAATTATGCTTTGCAAACACAAAGTCTATATATTTATTTATTCCTCTATATCTTAGTGTTAGCATCCGAAAGCTTACAAAAACTCGAGATTCAATGACGAAACGTCTCCGGACTAGTTTAATTATTCCGTTTGAAAATCACAGTTCATCAGTCAGCGAAAATTGTAAAAGAATTGTTATGTCGTATTTCTGGTATAGTAATTACCCGTAGATTTCCATTATCTGCAACAATCGTCGTCTGACTCAAGTTATTTTCCATGATCTAGATGCAACTGTGTTCAACTGCTATTTCTTTCTTCTAAAGGAAAATGGTCTTAATTCGATGTAGAAGAAAAAGTATGCCGTCGGTGATGTTTTTCTATGTAAAGTAAACTAGTCAGTCTGTGAATTGTACCAGAAAAGAAAATAATTCACACTTACTGGCTGCACCATAGAAAGGCAACCGATAAATTGTAGTTGACATTTCTTTTCTTTACTTGAAACTCTTACACGACTTTAAATTGACAGAAATGAGGAAAAAATGTGAAAATCAATTTTAAACCCTTTTTTTTACAACGACAGCACTTCTGTATAATAACAAAACAGTAGTTTCCACTGTTGCAGACGAGGATATATTATTGAGCTGATTGTTTCTAGATACATTTTGGTAGTGTTGAAAAACTTTAAGCTCTTATTTACTGACGTTACATAAAAAACTCTGGATAATGGCATATCTTCCTTGTACTATTTCTCTCTTCCCTAATATGATGTGTCAAAGAAAAAGAGATAACGTTAAGTTCATTTTGTTAACGCGATGTACCGAACTGGTCTCAAGGGTATTCGATTTTAATTAGGTAACTTTGTTCATATAACAACTCAATGTATCTCTCCTAGAAAATGATTATCATCATTGTTAAAAGCATCACAAGAAGGAAATGAAGAGTTAATATATTTCATATTAATTTTGAAAAAATTATTAAATCATATATTTAGAAATGTAATTTGAATTCTCTTTTTTCATAGCGCTTTGATAATTTCATTTCAACACACAACAATCATCGCGAGAAAAGATCAACAAACTATTAACACGTTTAGATTTGATTATGAATTTTTTTCTTTAGTCATACATACACTAGTACTGAAAAGCGTTCCTTCACTTGTTATCTTCTATAGCTATTTCGAAACACATATAGGTAATACATTTATCTATTCTTTTTCTGTGATGATTCATTCATGATTAGAGGCATAGCTAGAACAGAGTTTCGAATGGGATAGAATGGAATGAAAAATTTGTCTCATCTCATTGGAAAGCTCCTAATTTGTTGCATTCAATTTTGACTCATGCCTTGAGATGTAAAAAATGGCTACAAAACGAATTTCACCAATTCTATTAGGTTTTATTTTTATCTGAACTGCATATAATTCAACTCTATTTCAAGGTTCAAAAATCTTATGCCTGTAATTTGATAACTTAATCTCGTCAAACTTATGTGAACGAAGATCCGCAGCTTGTATCAGAGAACGGTACAAAGTATTTGTTTTATGTGAAAAAATGTTGTTCAACAAACACATTAATGTAGTATTTATAGTTTCCATCGGAAAAACCATCATATTTGTGACATTTAGAATGCTCTTTTTCGACAAGCATTATTTCAGTACATTATTTTAATGCATAATTAGACTTACAAATCAGAAGTCGCTTTATGCTTGAGAGATAATAAGTACGATTACTGTTGCATGCACAGTGATAACATGTTCTCACAGGTGTCTCTTATTGTGATGATTTGATGCAGACAAAAACTAGTACAAATAGATTTGGCCTTGAGTAGAGTGTAAGAGAATTCAACAGTGAAGACGATTGTATCTACCATGAGTATTTCACTTACAATAATATTTGGTTACAATTATGTCGAAATTTTTGCATGCTAAGAAAAATATTAGTGGTATGTGCTTTTGTTTTTATTAAAATATAAGATCTACTTAGTTCTTTATAGCGCTCTCAATTTTACATTTTCTTTCTGCAAAACAACTAATCATGCGTTCAGAAGTAAGCTACATCTTCGAACGGCGTCATTATCAATCGGAAGACATGTTGTTGTTGACCTTGACGTCGATTTTCGTTTGAGTGCGCGAGAGTACAGCGTTGCTCACATTTCTCGCAAAATATTAGCGAAGGACAATGTACACAATCGAATCGAATACCTCGAACTGTTTCATGACAACCGTCACATCTGTAAAAACAAATGATCATAGTCATATTGCAATAATAGATCTAGCATCTTCGTTGAACTCACGTGATATTCTCATGCACCACAAGTGGACTCTCAGGAGCTGGTAGTTCATTTGCTAATTGTTCAGGTTTACGGATAGCTACTGATTTATACTGCTTCGCTTGTTCCCATGTAAAGTTTTTTCCACAACCTGATTGTACATTGCCTCCGTGATAGTCTCTTCCGCATACCATAGAACCACATCCGTCCACACGTTCAACAACTCGCTTACAATGTGGGCAATAGCGACAGTTTTGTGCTTTGTATTTTTCATCTTCGACGGATGTTTCATACCGACGGCGTAACTCTTCATTTTGTTGTCTACTTGCTGCATGTTGTTTTTCATACTCAGTCAATTGAACTGCATAGTTAGCATCTTGTTTTGCTCGTTCAGTCAAATAGCGGCCGCGCTCTGTAAACAAAATCAGTGAAAGATAAATTTTCCTAGAACGCTACCTGTGCTACACCAGAAGAACCATCGTTCCGTGATTACGGCTAACTGTTCACAAAGTGTTCGATAGTGATACTGCTGATTACAGAGTGAGCAAAATTCATTCGCACACATGTGACAGATGACGCGAAAATGTTCATTTGGATTGCCTGGCTCGAATGCCCACGTACAGGCTTGATTCGGACATTTAATCACACCTCGACTACCACTCGCATAACGATCGAAAGTCTTCTGTACCTGATATTCGACAATGAGATTCCGTTGATCTGGTGATATTCGCAATTGCTTCAATTCACCATACTGCAGTTGATAAGGACAAGTAGCACAAGTAAGGACTTCATTATTATTCATCTTAACTGTACAAGATTGTTCGTAACATTTGTAACATAACTTATGACTTTCATCGCAACCAAATACAAAAATATCATCCAGAAAACACGATTCCATGCATACATCACAGTCACGAGTGGGAAGTTCCATCGGAAACACATCGTCTACAATAAGCCAATTATATCGATGTATAGGTCTCATGGGAAATCAAATAGAAAAAAAACTCACTGTACTCAGCTAGCTCTTCGACAATGGAAAGTGGATGAATAATAGAATGATGAACTTTCATTTTATTTTCGATAAAGAACTCGATTTGTTGTGCTCTGAATGGGTACTTAGTGCGAAGTAAAATGTAGTCGACCAATTTTTGTTGACGTCCTGTTCCATCACTAGCACACTGTTGGCGATGTTGTTCATATTCACTAAAATCCGTTGGGCAATAGCAGTATTCACAAGGAACCATATTTTCTGGATGACATGCCTCGATATGTTGATCAAGATCAGCAATCTGTTGGATTTCCACGTAAAAGCGACATCGAGGACATTGTGGACGTTGTTGGGTTTGAACAAGAGGTAAAATTTGTTGGAACATACGTTGTGTGAGAGGAATACACGCGAGATCGTAACGAGATAGTTGATAATCACAGAAAGCTGCATGACATACTGGTATCAGTTTTGAAGCAAGAAACTTTTTCATTGCAGTATACAAGCATTGAAAACAATAGATATGATTTAATCGGCAAGGAATAATAAAACCTGAATCAGCAGCTGAATTTACCAAGCATGAACTTAAGAAAAAAATAATAATTAATTCTCAAGTATTTATATTGATATGAGAGCTTTTTCATAGGCAGCGAATCCATTAGGCTTGGGGAGGTTCAAGCCTCCTCTAAAAAACGGAGAAGAAGGCTTAGGGACGCTCATTTAATTTGAAAAAAAGTTGTAGAAACAGACCACCTATTAGTACCAGATCTTTTTCGTTTTCAATTTCCCCTCTCATCATCCTCATCCTCTGAAAAACATTTGGATCCTCCCCTACATTGAAATCGTCCCGCCGCCGTTGGAGCTTTTGTTACGTACTAAAAATTACCATCGATCTATACATGCTTCGAGAGGTGAACCGGAAATTCTATGGGAGATGAACACTATACTCGTTATGATAAACAGAAATTTCTGTTAAAAAACATAGTATTGTAGGAATATTTTCATCGTCGAGAATATGATCGCCTATAGTAACTTATTCATCTTGGTATGTCTGCAGTTCAACGTAAAAATGATAGACTTAGAATTAATTTTCCGAAATACGGAATGTTTTTTAATATGAAAGTCAATAATAGTAGCAATTAGGAGATTTACATTGGTTTCTAAAGAATTCTTGAAACATGTTGAGAAGTTTGTAAAGAAATTTGACTCGGGTGTGAATCTTTTACAGACTTTGCAATTTTATGATTAATGGCACAAAAATAGTTTTAGATTACTTGGAAATTTACTCACCAATTGAGACAAGCTTCTTGTTTGCGCTGAAAAAATGTGCTTGCTCTACTAACATTCGGAGTTTTTGGCAGGCACGCTTGAACATGGGCTTCATAGTCGGCTTCTGAAATCAACTTGAAACACAAGATGCACTCTTTAACACTGTCTGTCGTACAGGCACTTGTTGTTTGTGAGTCGCGCTAAAAAATAATTTTTGAATTGTCATCATAGTAAAAATCAGACACCGGAGTAGAATTATTTTATTCGTGACCAACATTCTATATTTGTACTTTATATTGCATCATTGTTCCGAAGTCGTAAGTAATGGTAAATTTAAATACAACTCAAACGAGTACTATTCTCATTATGTTTGCCGATTCTATTTGAATGATGAATAATATAGAATGGTTACTATGATTCCACATTTAAGTGAATAGCCTAATGCTTTGAATTAGAAGTGTCTATCTACGCACGAGACTGTACCAATCCCAATGTTTCGTCTTATTTCTCGATCTGTATTATGTCGATATGATTCATTTTTTTACCTGTGGTGCAGAAGATTCCATGATCACTTCGTTATTTACAGTATTGAAATTGATCCCACGCGATTGTTGAGGTTCCAATAGATCTATTGCGATCTGGTTCGTAAATAAGCACGGTTTCTGACTATTATCTATGTTCATCTCATCTAATGGCTTTCTGGAGGCTTCATTAACCTTGTTTTCCATTCCCAATTAAATATTAATCTGTGGTCGGCAGACTGCTGAGTCACACGGATAAATAACACAATGGCTACTCTACTTTTGAGTATAATATTCAGTGGATGAAGAAGGATTCACTGTGGTGATTTTTTTGTCCAACTTTTTTACTGTCGATGATATGGTCTTGGTTACTTTTGCTGATAGAACTAATCTAGCAAGAAATTCGTCAATACTTATTCAACATAATATTGCTATCTAGTGTAGACAAACAAGAAAAGTGAAGAAAAAAAAGAAACCTTTCATAGTAATGGTGTAATTTTTTTTCTTCCAACATGACTATAGCTGGTGCAAGAAAAAATACGAATCATTATAGTATCAACAGAAATGAAAGAAAACAGCATGTTATGTGATTCGCATACGTCGAGTAGTCAGTAGGGAGCCATGTTTATAGTATCTTCGTTGTGGTATTGATATCCATATTATTTAAAAGTATAATTCTAATTAAGAACTTTAAAAAAAAGATTTCTACTATCAGATATTTGTCTCGACTCTGATTATCAATTATAAGATAGGCTTGAAAGAAACATAAAATATATTCCTATAATAAATTAATTTTCTATCAGTCGATTTCCATTTTGTACACTGATTGGTGTAGAGTGGTTTTTGTATTTCTACATATAGTTTTTTTTATACTTGGAGGAAAAAATGGGAGCTAGGACAGATGGTCGCAGGACGAAACGTTGCAGTATCTCTCAGAGTTTTACATTGCTAATTCCGAAATCAATTCGAAGAATTTACACTATGAACTTCGATATTATAGTTTGTATCGTAGTGCCCAGAAATCTCCCAGTAAGGGTATTCACATGACTATACATAAAGATATAAAAGATTCATAAGCCAGAAAGGAATCTGCATCCCGAATCAATGGCACGGCTACAGATATCGCGCACTCCTGATAACACCCAGAACTTGAGCTTGACCGGAAAACTACCTTTCAAACCCAAAACGTGGCAGCCACACCCGAGCAACAGCCTCAAAATCATATACACCCACACCCAAACCCACACCCCAAACTAAGAAACTATTGTAATATATTTATACGCAGTGGTTTCTGCTTTTTCTGGTCACATGTTGAGGACACAGTAAAATCTTTTATTCCAAGTAAAACAAAGAAAAGAAACATAGAGAAAAGAATGTCTACAATTGAAACGAAAATTTTGAGACATAGAAAAAGTCATGAAGAAAAAAATGAATACATTGTTGCTATTTGTATTTTTCGAGCACATGGTTCGAGTCGATTTACAATGTTTGAAGTTCGTCAAAATGCAAACATATTATCTTAGCAACGCAAAGCATTCATATATACAAGCTGATTAAAAAGGTTTCTCGTTCTATTTTTAAGGCTACTTATTTCTACAAAACAGAGCAACAACATCATGGTGCAAAATACGCAACAAGGTCAAACTAAGATTTAGTATTTTTTTAAATGTCGCGTATTGTTGCTATTCATGGAGCTCCAGGATCTGGTAAATCAACACTTGTACGTGCTGTGAAGGAACATTTGGGCAACGCGTGTTTGGCGATTGAAGAGAAGGTTGACGACATTCTATCAACTCCAAGCACGATTGATAGTGACGCGTCATGGTTTCAGCTTACAACAGCCATCAGTGCAAGTGACAATGCCACACAATTCATGATGGAAAAAATCAGTCCAACATCAGTACTGATCTGTTATTTCATCGTGTACTTGCTATTTGAAAGCGTATGGCCCTTGTTTATCGTTTTCATTGTTGGTTTTTCGATTTGTCGCATTTGCCGCTGGTTGGTCAGTCATATTCTGTCAAAAATGTGGCTGTACAATGTAGATCTGTTCGAAAATTGCCAAAAGAGAAGTAATCATCGTTGGGTTTGGCGAGACCGAACATGTGTCGATATTTATTCTTATTGCATTCTGAATCAAGCCACAGCAGTACCATCAAATTTACCAAAAATTATCATGAACCAGACATGTGCAACTACTGTAGCAATCCTTCTCGATCATCCACGGTATATCATTGAAAGTCATTTAAGAGAACGAGCATCATCAGCAACAGTGTCATTTTCAACGAGGTTGGCCACGCGACTCATTCTGTGTTTCGATGTGCCAATTCGATCTGCGATCGATGGACTTAAATTACTCGAACGTTGGTATTCACACTTGAAGACACCAGTCATAAAAATTAGTCAAATCAATAATCAATTAGATCACGATCCAATAACCAATGATATTCAATGGAGTGAACATTCGATTGAGGTTCTTCTAAAAAATATTGAGGAATTAATTCGAACATGTGAGCCTTCTTCTTCGAATATTGATGATTCGCATATTCCATGGCAAACTGCAAGAAATTCTCGTCTCTATCGATGAGAAACTGACCAATATCATAACGATGGAATTTTATTTTTCACATGAAGGATGCAAAATGAATAGAAAATTAGTCATGCTATTTCTTTTTAATCAGCATTGAAGAATAAATCGATAGTTAAGAAGCTAAAAGCATCAAATGTAGGGGTGCACCAAAACCATTTTTATGTGCACCCCTAATCAAATGTGGTCTACGATCTCTATAGTATTGCTTCCAAAGAAAAATGCATTTGACTAATAAATATCAGAAATGTTGTCTACTTACTAGGAAAATTAGTAGCATTTTATTTTTAGAAAACTTTTCGTACGATTGATCAACTCTAGTTGTTTTCTGTGTCTGAAGTATTTCAATCTGGTTTTTTATAGTATTATAAAGACATAAAAGGGTCACATGTATCGTATTAAAAGCCTTCTTCATAAACGAAAGCATGCAGAATTCTCTTCTTGGAAGCTTGCAAATTTCATTTAAACTATCGTCAACAACACTTGAAGACATGCATTGCCAAAATTTTGCATGTCCGTTCGATAACACAGCTAAACTCATATTCTAGAATAGAGTGTGTTTATGCAAATGAAGTTTAAGAAAATTTTCTCTAAGCACAAAAAATAAGCTTCATTTTTCGCACAAAAACGTTTTTGTCTACAAACTGCTGCTATTTTTTAGTCATGAGAAAATATTATAAATATCTGTCGATCAAATCCTATGATATTTGGATAAATTATAAACGAAGCTATGTTGACAGTTTTCGATACTCAAAACATCAATCTACTCTAGAATTTGGATTTTTAAAAGCATATTAATTATGTTTACCTCTCTACCTTTTATGTTTTTGTACTTATCGTTTTCTTCTGCATTTCATTTATTGTAATTACAATGAAAGGTGAAGTGCAGTAAAGAAAAAAAGGCCAACTGATAATTATAAAGAATGTTTTTTTCGATCATTCTTAAATACATACTTCAAAGAATATAGACAACCCTGAAAAAAATAAGAATCCGCTGATGAGATTGCTTCTGCAAGTTATTACCTATTGATAAGCGTTCGTTGGTTTTGTACTGGTCGTATGTAAAGTGTGATAGTGAATGTTCTGAATCATGTTCGTCATCGTACTACAGCTTCGATAACAGTGACATCAAAAGCGTACGAAAAAAAAACACCAGAGTCGTACTTTTCTTTCGTGCTTCTTTCTACCTCACCGGCACTCATTGGTTATAAAGGACGCTCATATTACTATATTAATGAAATGAAAACAGAAGAAACCTATCACTCTTCTTACATTCATCAACATACATTTACTTGATTCTCTGTAACATACAACTGAATAGCATGTTTGTCACAATCGTGTTGTTGCTAATTTGCATATGTGCTCTAGCTGCCTATCTATTGACATTAAAATCCCGTCACGATTATTTCGTGCGTCGCAACATTCCTGGTCCACGGCCGAAGTTTTTTTTCGGTCACTATCTTACACTGTGGAATACACCATCGTATTCTCGTACAATTCAAGGATGGAATCGTCAGTATGGTCCAATCTATGGTCTTTTCGAAGGAACACGCCCGATGTATGTCGTATCAGATGTTGAGTTTTTGCAAGAAGTGTTCATCAAGCAGTTTTCATCGTTTCATTCACGTCGTAACCACTTTTTGCAATCCATCCTACAAAAGAAAGGATCAAATTTATTTTCTGCAAAAGCCAATCAGTGGCGCCGCCAACGACACGTTATAAATCCAACCTTTACAACATTAAAATTGAAAACAATGACTCCTCTGATGAATAAATGTATTGAATCGATGATGTCAAAATTAAACGAGACTAACTGCAAAGAATTCAATATATACGTCATGTATAAACGACTGACAATGGATGTCATATGTAAGTACCGCACATGCAATTTTTTGTAGAAGTTTTCACAGATGCTAGATAAGGTTTCCAAATTCTTATATTCAGAATAGAATGTAGATAGAGATGATAAAAAAAGTGTGTTAAAACATTGCAAGCTCATACTCGAACCTATGAAAAATGTTAATACAATTTTTGCAAAGATGACACAAAAATAGATTGTTCTGAGTGTTGTAGCTAATTGACTGTATAAATAATCGCAAACAAGATCTATCTGGAACCAAAATCTAACAAAAAAAATACAAATTCTACTAAGATTTAAAATAAGCAGTCACGATGTCTAACAAAATCAATGTCAATTTGCTTATAAAGAAGATGTTTGTATTTTATGAACTTCAAAATCTTCAAGCATACCATCACAAATACGTTCCTTTCTAAGGTTTTCTTTTACAATCTGTAATAAATTTTTGAGTTTTTCAAACTATTTCAAAATTCTACTCTTTCCCATTTTACGTCACTAAAAGTAACGATATTCTATTTCAGGGCATTGCGCATTCGGCATTGATACTGACATGCAAAATGACATAAACAATATCTATATGCAAAAATCGATGGCCTGCTTTGCAACTGATGCCGAAAAAGTATTCATAGTGAAATTGTCCAATGTGATGCCGTTTCTTATTCCTCTATTAACTCGAGTTATCAACATTCGTATTAGCGTCGTCAATCAATTGCGTACATTATTGCCAAAACTGATGCATGATGTAGATGATATTCCAGCTTTGTGGATTATTAAGCAAGTGGAAAATGTTGTCAAAGAGCGATTAACATCTGGGAAAAGACATGTGGATTTACTTCAGTTGATGTTAGATGCAGCAACATACGATGAAATCAAGGTAGTATTAGGATGAACAATTTGAGATAACTGTAACTGAGAAATCTAGAAGAGGAACAAATTATTTTCTTAGCTTTGGAGTTTTGATTGTTATAACTTAATTAAACAATTTTAGGAACATGATACAGATGAACTTACATCAAAGCATCTTCACTACACGGAAGTAGTGATGAATGTCTTTCTATTTATGTTGGCTGGCTTTGAAACGACTTCAACTTTCCTTGCATATTCTACCTATGTTTTGGCGACAAGATCTGATATTCAGAATAAATTACAGATAGAAATCGATGAAAATTGGCAAGAAGATCAAGAACTTGATTATGAGAAAATAGTAGATATGGAATATATGGACTTGTTCATCCGAGAAGTATTAAGAATGTATAGATCATCGGGTCGAGCAAGTACGCGAATTAGTAATCAGGCAACAACCATTTGTGGACATCAGATTGACGAAGGTGAGTGAACTATCGCGTATGTCTGAATGTTTTACACTGACTAGCTTACTGGGAATTAGTATTTTTTTCGATAGTTTGTCCTTTTAAATTTTCTTTTTATTTGGAGTAGTCTTAAATCTCTAAATATTAATTACAGTCATTTATGAATTTATACGGGGATAAAATTCGAGTTTTGTTTTCAGCGCTGTCGATTTATTTGGTTGAAAATATGATTAGAATTTTGTTTTGTACAACAAAATTTTCATTTTTTAGGTTGCGTAATCTTAGCAGATGTTGCTTCTATTCATTACAATGCTGATTTATGGGGACCTGACGATCCGAATGTTTTCATTCCCGAACGACACAAGACTAAGCGTCATCCTCTTGCTTACATGCCATTTGGTGTTGGACCTCGTAACTGCGTTGGAATGAGATTTGCCTTGATGGAATTGAAAATGTGCTTGACACGTGTGCTACATAAATACAATATTCTGCCAGGTACAAAACTAGACATTGGCATGACTCGGCAAGAGTCATTCATAGTAACTCCGGAAGCAATCAATATCAGACTTGAAAAACGAGAACACTAATTAAATAAGCTCACAGATTTTATTATATGTATTATTTTGATAATAAAATTCATTAAAAACACAATAAACTACTTATGGATTTCGCTTCAACTCCATGTCTTCTACTGCTTTTCTTTTCAATGCATATTTATTCCTGTTATTGCATCCTACTCAAGTTATCGCTGATTTACGTGTGAATGAAACCAAATATGATTGCTATGTTAAAATAAAACTAACCATCTTTGTTATTCTTGCAGCATCACACGTAACGGCATGGGTTATTAGACTTGGATGAAATGAGTATATTCTTCATTTAGATACAAACGAACAATCGAAACTATAATAATTTCGATAATGTTGTCATAGAAAAACGCTGATGAAAATTATGAAGTCAGTTCTACTATTAAACTGATTGTTTATAATTTATTTGTCCCATGAAAAGTGTTTGCGCCACCAGAAATAATTTTTCACATACTTACCAGTCGAATAAAAATGAATTTCTTATATAGATTTGAGCAGATATTTACTCATTATGCTATCTACAAAATAGTATTGATGTATTCAATTGTTGTGAGACAGAAGTGCATCGCTTGGCATCCACTTGTATAGATTTCATTACTGGAATATGCTGTGGTGACTTCTAGGGATACTTTATTTTAGTTAAAAAGAAAATAGAAGGAAGAGGACACACACGAAAGAGATAGAAAATTGAACGGTTCTTTCAGTTTTGTCAACAGCGATCTATTTTAGCAGGTATTAGAGAGTAGATTGAGCTTAACTAGCATACTGTTTGCGATGGTGTACATGGATCCGCTGGTATCAAAGCTCACACCGACGAAATTTTTATTACCCCAATAACGACTAGAGCCCACTAGTGATGCATTAAAAAGGATTGACATGTTCATAGAACCAGATGCCAATCTTGTGATATATGATCCACCGATGTATAGTGAACCCATAGAGTCGCCTTTCATAGGTACAACATTACGGTACAGGAAGTCCATGGGGACACCAGGTATGCTAATAGCTGTCCGATTCCCCGATACGAACTTTTGCAGTCGTCTTAAAGGTTCAGTTAATTAAAAGATGACACGAAAAACAAATGCATGTAGTATTCTATTTTATCGAAATTGTTCAATAAACTTACCCATTAAGCCCATCTAAAACAAACAGCGTTTGATTTTCATCCACATAAATTCCACCAGGATAGCTCAGTTGATCGGGTTGAGACCCACTGATACCATTTGTTCCAGCAAGTAAAGCTATTGAACCAGTTGTGGTGTTGTACAATAAAACCCGATTGTTTTCCGAATCGGAAATGTAAAGCGAACCCGAACGATCGGCATATATACCGCTACATCCACAAAGTTGATTTAACGCTGCTCCACACTTCCCTGCTCCCCCGAGAAGCGTTATACCATATATATTTCCTTGTGTGTACTTCTGGACGCGCCCATAGAGCATTACACCGTACTAAACAGAAAGCAGTATTTGTATTCTAACTTTACATCAACAGTAAAAAAAGCATACAGCATTTTCACAAGAATAGATAGTTTCAGCACCATCGACATAGATGACAGTGGGTTGAAATGGTGATGTACTGGCTACTGTTGTTCCAATCGCACTGCTGCTATTAAATTTCTGAATTCGATAGTTGCCGTAATCAGCAACGTAAATCATGTTGTTTTGGTCTATAAAAACATCGTACGGATTTGAAAACATTGTTGCATTCCTTCCCGTAGCGCCATTGGCCCCACTAATGATGGAGAAGTTCGGATCCCACGTAGCATTGTTGCAAAGACGAATTGATGCACTGAGTGGACGAATAGGTACAAGTGCAGTATCCGGTGCTACACCGGACGGCGGTGGTGTTGTTGTTACATATGTTGCTAAAAAGAAACAATTTGATAAATTGCCAAGCATATCATAAAAGGAATGGGTAATTTCTCATAAATCTTCGAATATCCTATCATGCGGCATCAAAGAAACATTATATATTTGAATATCTATTGTAACTATCTCTTGAGTTCTCTCTATCAAGTTACTGTTTCTTACATCGATCGAATATTGAAGAGCGTGAAGTGGTCTTCTGTCATTGTTTTCTCTATCGCAGCAGACTATTGAGTTTCGTTTGTGTGATATAGCACGTTTTTTTTCTAGATTTCTACTGTTATATCAGTGATACACTGCTTCTTGGAGAGCAATCAACTATCAAAGTATTAACTATCCTCAATAAATTGTACTTTGCCAACGGGGTAATATCTTGCCGCCAATTCATCGTTTCACCAATTGCAGTTTTCGCCGATTGGGGAAATTTCTCACGAAATTCGCCAATGGGCGAGCCAAGGAATGCGAAAATATTTTATTTATTGGCGAATGCCACACTAGTTATTCGCCAAATTGGTGAATTTCGTGAGGAAGTTCGCCAACAACAAATATACAATTGGCGAAATTACATAGACTCTTGTCAACTTACTACACTGACAGTGTATGGGTCGTATCTGACAGATTTGAAGCATCTATCTAATTATATGTTTAGCTAATTTTCAGCTGTGAGCTTGTCTAATCAAACAATGAATATTACATCTAGCATGGTCGACAGAAGTTAATTTCCTAGGTAGCTAGAATCTTGTACCAATTATTTTTTTTAAAGCATTCATTGACAGTATAAATAAATATTTTAGATTAATTCTCTATGAAGTTTTACTTACGCGGATAGACCGTAGCACTCGCGTTTGAAGCAACACAAGCACTGGCAAGAGCTCTAGGCATACAAATAGGTTGAGAGCAACAGCTATTTAGGATGCAGATGGATGTGTTCGTTGCACAGCGAGTTCCACTAATACATAGATCGAATAGAGAGCATTGGACTTGTGGAGCGCATAGTGTTTCATTAGCACTCTGAAAATTGAAACACGGTGCCGATCCTGAACAGCTACCACTGGTTCCACCATTGGAAACTCCACAAATGGGAACTGTACAACTGGATGAGAATTTGACAGTAGATTGACCTATTAATTAAACACCAGTATAAGCATAGGGTGCGTGCCTTTTCTTACAGACCTTTAATATTAGCGATGAAAATCGTTCCAATTATCAACAGAATCGTATGCAGCATAGCTGTTTGATTTAATCGTTTTTTTTAATAGAATGATTTAGAATACTATAATCGATAGGTTTTATATTTCTAGCTTGTTTATATGGTATCCAAAAGAAGTAGTCTTGCCAACCGTAGGTGAGCCCGTCAAAGAAAAAACAAAACTTATTTTTCTCTTCATCGAAAGTTTATTTTATGACATTTTTACAGGAAACTAGGTTTTTCTACTTCAGACTGACAAGTTTATTTTTAAATTTGAAGCTGTTTCATGATTTATGCATTTCATTTGAATAAACACAACCTGTGATCGTGTTGTTTTCTTTACTACGGTTCGCCCTATGATCGTTTTTCATGTTTCGCGGATTTTTCAAGTTAAGCTTATTTTGCATTTTCATTTTTATCGTATTTGGCAATTGAGCAAATCATTGAAACTTGTCAACTCTTATCGTGATCGAGCCGGTGTTTGGCTTCCCCTATCATAATAAACTGACAGAATTGTTTTTGTAATTCATGGTGAAACTGGTAGGAAGTAGTCAAACATCACGGAGTAATGCTGACGCGTTACATTCAATGTATTTAAAAGTATTTCACTATGAAATGAAGAGAACCTCGAAACGAGAATGCTGTTTAATTTAAACGAGGGTGAATAAAAAAATCATATCCAACATACTGATAAAGATAATCAACAACTTACTTTTCAATATATTATGAGAAGAACGACAGTTTGTCGATAAGACAGACAAATATACTTCCACAGAGCCATGCGGCTTATCAACAAGTCAAATTGTCTTGAGTATAACTCCGAAAACTGTAGGATGTATATTGTTTCGATATTTTTCTTATCTCTTCGTCACTCATAATCTGAACTTGACAGGAGAATACTTTTAGTACCACATTCAAGATAGTATTTGTTATAAATTACATGCTGAAATCAGTAGTCCTGTTTAAGACATAGTGCAAGAAGCACCAAGATTAAGGACTTGTCTAAAAAGATCTTATACTCACACTCTAATTGTAAGAAAAGTGATTAAAAACATGATTTTCGAATAATCTAAGTAGAATTATAGCTGGTACATAATCTTCTAAGAAGCATTTGCCTTATAGTGTATCATTTAGTTCTCAAAAACATATAGTATAGTTTACTTCATTTTATCTGATACATATAGCATCGCGACTTGAACAATTATGCGAAGACGTATTTTTTAAATTTTAAATCTTAACCTGTAAAAATATTTCAAGGTGTTAAGGACACAAATGTTTTGATAAAATGCTCCTAGTCAAAAAAACATGACACTTCAAATAAACGCGTAGATATTTTTTTAAGTCAAAGTTGAATAGAACAACAACTTCGTGAATGTTACTAGTCACAATCGTTGAACAGGCATTGAACTTCTATCACATACATTTGCAAAAGTATGTTGCTGTATTGATATTGAACATATCATCAAGATATCATATTGTTTTCGAATAGAAAAAGTAAGTGTGATTTCACTACACATGTTTCCAGTTATATCGTTCAAGACGTCTGTCAAAAGTTATTAAAAATAGGACCTTTTTTGTATCTCATTTAACGATATGAAAAAAGTAAATATACGGTTTCGTATGCACAGAATCACACATTTTCAGTTGTTAATATTATGTTTGACAGAAAACGAATCAAGTAGATGCGTTAATTTAAGAAAAGCAAGAACTCTCTCTTGGATAGTATGAAATACAACCGCTGTCTGCATTAGAACTTTGCAGTATGATATAATAGTAGAGCAACGATATTTTCGAATAGTTTCTTTCATTAGCAATGTTGCATTTAACAAGACAGATATTATGTAGATGAAAGGAAGCATTCTGTTTGATTACAATCAGACAAAGGCATGGAATAAAGAGTACTTTTACAATTCTAAAAATAAATTGGAACAATCGTGAAAGTTTTAACAACTTGTTAACAAAGTGAGTTATATTTACAGAATAAAAACAGCATATTATATCGAGTTCGTTGTATTTACAAGTCCAACGACATTTATTTGACACCAATCTCAGTGCAACAGATTAAGTTCTAGCCGTTTTTTTTAGATATTGCAAGAAGAAATACAATGAATCTGTAATAGCGAGCACCTCGTATTGAATCACCCTCATTCATCTTTGTCTTTTGTCTTTTGATAATCGAATGAATCGAGACAACATTATAATTATCTCCTGTTCAGTTCTAACCATCGCATGTTTCTGACATGATGTAAATTACTTTGATAACAACGAAGATTATTTATACGACGTTAATATCAGTTACCCGTGTTGTCACGTCATGTTATCCTTCTATAGTGCTGATTATGCAACTTCTATTCTCCATTCGAATTTCATTGAATCGTCTTAAGATAGTTCAAGTACATCAGACTGAAAGGACTCTAAATTAACCATTGAATTAATTCACATGAAACTGAATTGACATAGATCTATGCTCTATGATTAAAATTTAGATTTGTGATCAAGGACAGAAATTATTTTCAATCGACAACTCAAATATATAGGATGTCATCGATGGACACTAATCATGTATCAGATGTTCCGAATGAATTTTTACAAAATTGGTGGACCAATACTAATTATTCTGGGAAGTATCGGTGGATTTCTTTTTCTCTGTGTCTTTGGAAAGAAATCAATGCGTAAGAATCTCAGTTCCATCTATTTGATTGCATTCAACATTTCCAATATTCTTTTAACCCTTTCCGGCCAGCTATTTGAAGAAAAATACCGTGCGCCCCTACGGGAAAATGTTTCCACTTGGACACATCCAACCGGAAAGGGTTAATATGGACCAGTCTTGTTCCATTTGTGTATCAATACATGACTGGTATCGATCTAACTCTACTCAGTCTAATCTATTGCCGTCTGCGAAGATATATGTTGAATGTGTTCATCATAATACCACCATCCTATCTTATTTTGGCTTTAATCGATCGAAATTTTCTTACTTCTCGCAAATGCACGAACAAGACAGCGAAGTACACATCGTTTAGTTTCCTGGACAATCAGCGGAACAACTCTTCTATGGTTTCTTTACTATTGTCCCATTTGATTTCTTGTCCATATTCAATCGCTTGGTCCTGGTGTTAGCTTATGTTTCTTCGATTCAGGCATATATTTTGTTTTCATGAGCTATTCTACGATGACACTTACTGATTCTCTACCACCATTACTAATGGGAATCTTCGGCTTGATGACATTGAGAAATTCACGACAGTTTCCAGTTCAACCCTCATCTAGTGACAATGGAATTATCCAACTATCATCAAAAGATCGTCAATTACCTATTATGTTATTAATCGAAATCGTAATTTCTCTTGTCTTTTCCACAGTTGGATCGATTCCTCCTAGATTTTGTCTTAGGACTTGTATTCATACAAACTTCGATACGTTCATATTCGAATTTCATCGTTTCAAAGCATTTTCGTAAACATCTTCATAAGATATTTATGAAAAGAATACATCATTATTGTTGTATACAGCAAATAAATGATGGACTTGTGGCGTCATCTAATACAAAGACTATGATAGCTACGGCATGGATGATTCAACTGCACACTTTAATTAAACATTGATAACATGTAGAAATACTCTTACAGACATTTTCTTTTCTATTTTTTTCTATATTCGAATTCGAATAGATTTGTGAATGAATATGTACATATCTGTATTATTCTAGTTTCAATAAATCATATTATAGTAGATACTCATAGCGTGAGAAAACACTCGAATCACCAGAAAAGTGCTTTTCAGTATATTCAAGACGTTCTTTCGAAATGATTTAGAATTTTAATTCTTTACACTAATGCCAAATAAAAACTAATATCTATCGCTTTTGTAATCCATACGTTTTATCAAATAATAAAGAAAAACCTTCCCATACGAAAGAGTCAATCAATGTATGCGCAGGCATGGCGTGTCAAAATGACGCCTTGCAATAGGCATTCAATAGTTTCAAAATAGAATGTGCACATCTATCTGCGCTTCACCAATCTCTACTGGCAAAGTCTCATTATATTATACACTTTCGTATTCACTTCACACCATCGCGATCAAGTCAACTGTGAACGATATCGCATCAAATTTGTTTTCCGAAATTTTATTAGAAATTATCAATTTTGCGTTCATCGGTTATAGCAATTTTTTTACATCAGCCATTAAGAATGCATAGTTATCCACTGAACTGTTCGAACATATCATGCTTAACCCAAGTTGGTGTTTTCAGTATTTGTCCTCTTCCAATGACATACAATGGCGTTAAATCTGTTTCATTTAAAACAAGAACATCAGCATCATAACCTTCCCCTAAAAATCCTTTTCCTTTCAAATTTAGGTATGTTGCCGGATTTGATGTAGAAAATTGAATTGCTTCTGCGATAGGCCATGAATATTTCAATACTAGATTTTGTATTGTCTTCAAAGTTAAATCTGGAAGACCCATGCTGTAGGAAACTAAGCGACCTGATGAATCATATTCTGGAAATGATCTAAACAAGAAAGTGTGTTTTGTTTTCAATTATATACATTTAAGTTCGGCTAAAAAATACACTAGTCTGGATCTGTTTTCTTAAATCATATGCTACTTTTCAAAACGATCACCTGGAGAGAAATCAAATAAAACGATTTTGAAAATATTGAATACTGTAAAGATACAATCTTATACTACACTTGAAATCGAATCCTATTTGTTCCATTACGTTTTCTTTATTTCCATTGAATTAAGTCATCATTTTCACTAGTCTATAATCTATCGTTGAATTGCCTATTGACCTGAATTGTGCTGAAGGAATTTCAACACTTTTCAGAAAATCAAATGCAGTATGCTTTCAAAATAGCTCCCTTGTCATGCAATAAATGCAATTCAACTCATAGGCAAAACAAGAAAAATCTGAAGACGATACTGTTTCCGGACGGATAAAAAAATTTCCGATGACCTATCGCAATAAATTATAGTTTAGTGTGAGATTATATGCATACCCATAAGCATCACTGGATACTGTAATTTGCTTCAATGGCAATTTCTCTGCTCGAAATTTATTCAATGTTTCGATTGTTGCAGTTTCATTGAGAACTTCAGCATCGGCAGTAAAATCGCACATACCACCGGCTTGAATCCATTTTTTAGCCTCTTCAATGAGAGCATCTCCTCGTGATGACATATGAGTCAAGTACATGTGTTGAATTGGAATGGCTGTTTCGTTTAAAATTTGCCAAAGCAAATCAATTTTTGTCGGAGCTGAACCCATATGAAAATGAATTACACCTGCTTTGCCACTTAACATTCCGGCTACTCGTACGTCACTAAGTAACTGTTTGAGTTCATCTTTTGAGGGCCAACTTGATCGATGATCACTCAACGCTAGTTCACCAGCTCCTATAATTTTATCAATCAAGAGCACATCTTGTTGAAGCGATCCGGTGAGTGTAACAATTGGAATACGATAACTACCAGTCCACATCCATGTTGTAAGCCCATCGTGTTGGAGACTCTGAAATAGCAAAACGGATTTAAAAACGAATAAAGCAAGACGAGGCGTGTTCAATGAAGATCACGCTTTTTTCTATGCTGTTCATACTGAAACATTCAAATACTCAGAAACACGAATTCTTGAATTTGGAGAAATTCCGCTATTGAATTTGAATTCTTTCTCAAGTTGAGAATTATTGATACAACGGACTTACTTTCATTTTTTGCAACAACGATGAAAGACTAAAGTAAAAGACAATATTTTATTTAGAGATGCTTTCAAAATCTATCAAAACTCCAAGGCTTTCTTCAAAAACTAATACTGAGTATCAAAAGCACTGCGTGAATGACTTTAACGTCTGAATAGTGTTCAAATAATCTATTAGAAAAGAATATCTTAACAGTTGACTAACCTTCTTGTAACACCATCCGTTCCCAATATTCCAACAATGGTTGTCAGCCCACCATTGATCAATTGCGATAAACGACTTTCAGGAGTTCGTGAATACGGTCCTGAAAGAAAGAATATCAAGGAAATTTGTGTGTCTCTAATAAAAGTATTGTGCTACTGTAGATCATCGCTTCTTAGCGCAAAAATGAATGAGATCAGTCTGAATTTTCTGGAAACATATTGTGAAAAATACGAATGCAAAGATCAATCACACGTAACAAACCTTGTTCTCCGCCACCTCCAATTGCATGTACATGAACATCGACAAGTCCTGGTATAACGATGTGGTCTTGAACCGAAATAGGCAGAATGGTTAACTTGCTCTCTCGAATCGAATTTACGAATGCAGTTGTTTGCGATGGATCCATTATACTCAATATTTTCCCGCTTGCAATAACCACATCTTTTCGTTCTGGCGTACATGTATACTCGGTTTCTGAATTCGAGTTCGTTGAAAGTCCATAAACTTTTCCGCCGGTTAAAACAACGAATTGATAAGATTCGTTGAAGGGAGGTGGTGATTGAGAACGAGTGGAAGGACCATTCGGTTGTTTGTACGGCTGAAAAAAAGAAGTAAAACATACGTCGTAGCAAAAGTATTCCATCAGATAAAAATCTGAGTTTACTACACGAATCAAGCACTATTATGGAACTATTTTTCAGTCAGATATTTTTTTTCAATGACTTGCTATTGATAGATCTACGTTAAAAAGCAGATAATTGAACTTTTATTCAATAATCTAAATGTTGTATAATATTTTCGTCTCTCATCTCAATCAAGCTATTATTTATTAAACAAAGAGAAAGCAAAAGAATTCCTGCTGTTTGCTAGTTACCAATGGAATTTGCGCATGTTTGAAAATTCGTCCCTTGCTGAAAACGAGATTGAACGTTTTCAAGTCAACAAAGATAGGTTTTTTGCTAGGGTTTCTCTAAGCGCAGCAATATTAGTGATGGTTCTAGCAATGCTTGTCGTATCAATTTCGTAGGTAATTGCCGTACTACCGATTGATTAGACAGCAACTTAATTCAAGACGTCATTTCAATTGAGTTATTATGACGACTGAGGCCAACTTTTTCTTCTGTACGATAAACTTTATTAGTTTTATTTTATCTATTCACAAATTAAAACAAGTTTTAGCGAATGTTATAACTTACGCTGTTATCTTGAAATGCTCCTGAACCATTGGTTATAATGAATACAAATATATAAAATAGATTCCACATGTATCTATTGAACATTGAATATGTAATGTATGAATTTTATCTCACAATACAAAAAGAAAATGTTCTGATTATGTCGATGTACTTTTCTCTTTATAAAACTAACACTTATAAATATAGGGCTTGGTGCGAAGAAAGGTAGGTAAATATTTGACAATGTGTGCGCATAGATTACTGATATACGAAAAGTGAAGCTTTATCTGACACATGTCACAGAAAAACGAAACAAAGTTCATATCTCCTTGTGTAGGAATAATCAAATGTTCTACTGGCATTTATCATTGTAGTTAGCCGAATGGATTGAAGAAATGAGCTTGTCTAATAACAGCATTTCAGAGTTCGTAGGAGAGTTCGAAAAAATTCCAGACATCTTATCAAATGAAAGTATAAAACAATTAAAACTCAAGATCAGCGTCAAATGGTACCTTTTATGCTTGTCTCTAGGAATAGATAATTGAAATTCGCAGACACAAGAAAAAAAACTGTAAATAAGATTGACAATGTAGACATGATTTAAACAATCATATAGGAGTTTCTTCGAAAAAAAGTAAATATCTACCAGATGAGATCTCAAGGAGAGAACTTGTAGAAAATGATAGTCTTCATCGTCGTTTACGCCGAATTTAAGCTTTTATTTAAATCATAAAACAAATTTAGTCAAGAGATCAATAATATTCTTTTCAAGATTCACCAAAATCCAATCACCTATGTTAAAATACTGACATACTTCTAATAGAGACTTTCTGAAATCTGTTGATCATAAAATGAAATCAATGAAACAAAGCAAAAGACTGAAAACTTATCCTTTTTAGTTGAATTTAAAATGCTCATAATATCATAAAAAATCAAATACATGTAAATCAACACACAGATAAGATTAAAATAGTATGTCTATGTTGTCATGTTGAGTCATTCATTTCAATTCAAGTTTAACCAAAAACATGATCTGCAATATCTACTGAAATTTGGCCATCGAATATGCTAAAGCATGCATTAATCAAACTCTGAAGTATGCCATATTCTGCAAGTAATAGCAAATAAATTCTGCTGTAGAGTTTCGTTGACACAAGAATTTACGTTTGATACAAAAAAAAGCTGAGTTAAGTCCCAGTCTAAAACTTTTGGCATGCATACGAATTCTAACTAATAATACAATTATCAAATAAGTTGACTTTTTTCTCTGTTGAACTTTCATTGTTGAGTCATAAAAGTCAACAAAATAATGATATAACTAACCATGTAAGTAACTTTGTTTCTTCATTTGCTAATCATGATTTTCGTTTGTTTTTGGTTAGCGGGGGGNTTTGAATGTATACATTGATATTGCGAGCTTTTGCTCTTCCTGGATGCATGAAAAAGTTTTGAACAATATCATCTAAATGAAAATAGATCAATGTAAAAGAGAAAACTGATTGGTATAAAGGAGAAACTAGATGATTGCCTTTGGTAGGCTTTATTCAGTCTACGAATAAATTAAAATCGTCTACAAAGTCGCAAAGAAAATTTCCAGGGAGAAAGCTATAACGCAAAAAATTTGAGCGGGGATATTTCCCCCCCGCTCATCGTAAACTATGTTTGCTTACATTGTATAATTTACATGCTTTCTATTACTATGCTAAATTTAGTGTATCATATATACTCATTATTAATCAAATATAATTATGAATGAAATATCATATTGATTAAGCATTCAATTCAAACGAGTACATTCAGATAGAAAAATAAAATAGTGCCTTCTTGAATTTTCAAAAGGAAATTTCGCTTCTATGATCCTCATGATAACGTCCTTTATCCGTTTATGTATCGACCTGATTTGAATTAGCCCACATCCGTAATGTAATAACGATCTAATTGCTTGCATTGATCCTTTTATGACATTTTAATTTTAAAATGCATGACCCTTTTGAGTGATATGTATTCTTGTACTACATAGAATCTCGAACTCGTATATAAAATTCCAATGCACAAATATTTGAGAATAGTTTGATTCGATCAGTTGTTTTTAGATATTAATGAAAATTTTTCATGCCTGATAGGAAAGTTATCGTTTGGGTTCAGCTTCAGCTTTACATATATTCTAAATATCGCTGGTGGTTAAACTTTTGTATTGTATTAATATTAACAGCTTAAGTGTGCGCTTTATGATAATTTGATGGGTCCTTGACAATCATTTTACTGTTATTGCAAATGCAAACTTTATCTAATCAAATAGTGGATATCAGATTTCTGTTAATTTATGAAATTTTTCCGTTCATGATCAATGTAGCCGTTTTGAAACAGCAACAGCTGCAAGAGGAATTTCTTCGATAGATTACTTCCGTGATATTTTGCTGAATGTTTCTTTCGCGTAGTTCTTTTTTCTATACCAATATTTCTATGAAAGAATGCATCCTAAATAATTTGTTTAGCAATCATTCTACTATCTACTATGATTTTTGAGTTTTGACTAAACCGAAGGGTTTCCAAGAATCTTTTGTTCTGTGTTCACTTGAAAACATATCGATACATTTTACGTACTTAAAATGACGTTCATCGAGTATTTTCATATTTTATTACGAGAAAATTGTCATGATCACGGTTTCATAGGTGGCTACGGGATAACTTTTACCGAAAACTTATCTTCGCATTGCTTATGAAAAACAAATAGTAATGTTTTCCTATTTAATTATTAATCGAATTAACTTGATGATAATTCTTATTAGTAAACCGAAAATATGAAAACAGAATTTCATTATGAAATTATTATTTTCTTTTATTTTCAATATAATACGCAATGCTACAGAAAAAACACTAAATATTGTTATTTAATTCAATAACAATTTTTCTAAATGAAGTCACATAGAAATTCTCAGAAAAACAAAATCTCATAATTATTCTTCGTTAACAAAAAAACGAACACTTGGTTGCCATGGCAATGGACATTTCGTTGTATCAATTCCTAATTCATATCGTTGACGCGTTCGTTCATTGGTTAAAGTAATAATTTCCCGGTCACAATTAATTCCAAGCATCAAAATGTCATCTGTTTGAATATCACTTTTGTATCCACGATAATTTTGATATAGCTCACCAGCACGATAAACACTATTTTCTCCTGTCCAACCGTAAAGTGTTGGATTATCAAATGGATTTGTTATGCCGGAAGCATCCTTTGATGTAATTCCAAATAGAATCGAACTATTTCGATCATATTGGTCAATTTTAAACCGAATTGAATGTTCACCTTCGGAATATTCAGTTTGTTCTTTCATATCTGAATAATCTTCACATTCATCTTGAATATCATCGTCATAATTTGTTGCATATGATGGTTCATTCGTTGATTGTACAAGACTATCATTTGATAAATCATGAAGTGAAATTTTTGAAATAAATGGAACGGAATTTTTATCAATATTTATTTTTATTTTTTGTTGTTTAGTAAGAAGCGGTTGAAATTTTTTAAGTTTGTCTGACCATTCTTTTAAATCATTTTCAAAAAATTCTCCATCTTGACGAGCTCGTTTTAATTGTGCTGTAATCTGTGATACTTTATCTTTAATATTTTCTGTACGATCTCGAACAATAATTGCTAATTGTTGTCGAGTATCATTAGCTACTTGTTGAATTTTACGAATGGATTCTTGTTCCCAACGTCCAATTTGTTGCATCAGCGATTGCTGAAATTCTTCCGTCGATGGTCCTGATATTGCTTGTTTAAATTGATCATGAATATGAGTAATATTATCCATTTGTTTTTCAATAGCTGCTCGATGCTCATTCGTATGAGGTAAGCAAAAATTCTCTGAACATCCACGACATGTAAATATACCTGCTGTTTTGCCGCATGTTGCACAAGAGATATTTTGTCGCCTTGAAGAAGCCATTAAACTTCTCTTCTAGATAGTTATCGTATATCAAATAACAAGTGTATAAGTATGCACAAGGTGCCTAATGGTTATCTTTGTTTAATATCAATCTTAGTAGAAGAATGAAGATGTGTGAAAATTTTAGGCTTGTAATATCATGCTTAGCGTTCGTTTTTTATCTTAATTTGTTGAAGATAGTATAGATACTAATACGACGTACATTGATTTGTAAACGAGAGGAATTCGTGCAATGTTAAAATGTTTATAAGAATTGAATTCTTTGGTCTCTATGTTAATTGGAAAGGATGTCTGCAGATTGGTGTATACAGATTACAGACTATTGACATAGGTAAATCGACCTTTATGAAGATTTGCTGTTCTTTAAACAGAGCCTCAGATTAAGTTGAATTCTTCTTTTTGTGAAATATCTTCTGAATAAATTTCAGTGTTCTAATCGAAACATAGGAATATTGTTATTTCAAGTTCGGTCTTTTTATTCTTTACCGAAAAAATATTCATCTTCCTAATCATGAACTTGACTTTATATTTCGTACACTTATATTTATTAGGCATCAGGCTTACGATTGAACTTGTGTTTTACTGAAACAATCTACCACTTGAAAAATCTCACTAAGGAACTTCTGTGTATCTTCGAGAGATTATTTGTATAAAAATATATCAGAGAAAAATTCACAGATCTAACCTAATCGAAAGATCTGTTTTCTATCATGATGTATTTTTCTATGAAAATAAATATCAATAAAAAAATCGAAAGAGATATATCGAATTCTGCTGTTCAAATGCATTCATTTCAGGCACGGAATATCTCCATCGATTTCGATGTGCTTTTTTTCTTCTGATTATTGTCGAACTTATCATAATGCAGTGTATTACCGTATTAATCGATGTGTACTAATAATGTTGCTGGTTTCTTTTTGCTAAGATTCTCAACTTTCTTTCCATATATATATATATCTACGTAAACACTGCCAAGCGTGACAAACACGATCAATTTTATCCTTGTGAAAGTAGGTCATTTGAAGGAGTTATTGAAAATAACTTTACATCTATTGTAAATCAATTCTATATCAGTATAGTTATTGTAAATATTCGACTCACGATAATACAGCCACTGATAAATCCAATCCTGCTGATAAACTAAGAGTATATGACGAACTAGTTCAGATCGAATTGAAGACATATTTTGCTGACCTCAATTAAATCGCATAGAAATGCTTTTGTTTTATTTCTTCTCTGAATAAAGAATACTCTAAACTAAAAATTGAAATATAAACAATCACAATTCGATCAGTAGAAAAAATAGCAGCCAATTAGATGTTATCAAGTTGTTTTGCTGGTTACAAACAAAATTTTTCAGTTTTGACCAGCAACAGATTTCAGGGCCTGAAGAAAACTATTAAACAGACAAGAATGCGCATTGTGCGTGCAAAATGATCTTAGAAAGTCACTACTCGTCGATAATATGCACAAATATAAGAACCGTATTTTTTTAATAAAAGCAAAATGCGATTTAGATTGAACACAAGAGAATAGAGAGTTGATGAGTTTTATCCCAATTTGAAAGCAAATTTTGTAGAGCAGTTTCAATATTGCCGGTGCTCATCTGATTCATAGTAGTAAATGATTGATTAGCATCCATCATAATGACAGTGAAGGATGTCAAATAACTAGGATTCCAATATATTTCATTGCAATTATATGGGAAGGAGTTCACTGATGATATACGTTCAAAAGGGCGTTGGTACGAGCATTTGACTAGAATACTGATGATTATATGCATGTTACACTAGTTTAAATAAGAAATTAATGATGAAATTAGCGTTAAGCTTCTCCAAACTAAACAAAGAAACCAAAAAATATTGAAATATATTTTATGCTTTCTCTCTCTCTCTCTCTCTCTCTCTGCCTGAATCGATATATCGAGAATAAGCATCTTCATCAGTTGCAACAATATGATTAATTTGCATTTTTTAAATGCATTCATAATCATTGAATATGAGTACATCCTAAAAAAGTAAACATTCTTTTTTGACTACGTACATGTTTATAATATAGAATTGAGAAATCCTGAGCAGCTCTATTTTCACTATTGTTTTTCTTTGTTTGTAAGCAAACATGAGATCGTTCATTATTTTAGTTATTCCTCTATTCACATTCATTCCAACGATAAAAAGGAAGCCATATTTTAACTAATGAAAAAACTATTGGCGTTGACACAATAGAGTAAGAACTGAATCTCAAAAGCGCACATCATATAAAGTGTAACACACAATTGGGGTCACCTCCTAAATCAATTGCATCAATCCCATCGTATGTCGTAGCACAGCGACCGAATCAATCTTTATCTGTTGAAAACAACACCGTACAGGTCCGTGAAGTATCAAGCAACGATTCTAATCCCATGAATCACATTAGTGTTACGCGAATAAATCAAGCTTAGGTTCAATCTCAAAATGACAGAAAACTGAAAAGGAAGCGAAAATCAAACTATTTGACTGCGAATGGCCACGTCACGATCGATCGTCTTCCCTATGACGATGTTTTCACATCTTGGAGTAGTGATTCTATTGAAATCGAAGAGGAAGAAGTGCAACAATCTAAGAGAAGTCTGATTAATGTCACCATTCAAGATAGTGATGATCGTCAGGAAAATTTGCGTTGTTTACCTGAAAAAGGACATATTAGTATTGAACGTGTTCCCAAAGATGAACTTCCGTTGTCTTCACGTAGCAGCAATGAAAATTCAATCTTACAAAAACAAGTCCAGCAAATCAATCAACATGACGTTCGAGTCAGCCATGTGAGTTCAACTGGACTTCCATCTCTGCACAAGATTAGCATGAGCAACAGAAAAAGTGACTATTTCACAGTTCAAGGACATGTTATTGTGAGCAGCGGTTCACCAATTGACTTCACTATTTCTTCAAAATCTCATAAAAAAGGTAGTAGAGATACTAAACTGAAACCAGTCACTGAAAAACAAGTTTCTGTTACTCATATTAAGCCAAGTGAACTTCAACTTTCATCAATATAGAAAGAAGAAGAGCGCAAAAAGAATCAAGAGTATTTAACTGTACACGGCCATGTCACTGTTGATCATCCATTCAAAGATGAACTTCGAACTACTGAGAGCAGCAGCTATAATCCAATTGTAAATAATTCAGCACAAAATCACACTCAAAACAAAATTATAGTTAGCCATGTACCTTCATCTGAACTGCAGTCCTCTCCTCGCAAGAATGACATACTCAAGATGAATGGAGATTATTTGTCAAGCCAAAATCATGCGATTGTAAAAAAAGTCGCAAAAGATGACTCACCGTTTTCACGATCCATCGATAATAATATTAGTAAGGAAAGAGAGTCATAGCAGCTATTACAAAACCAAGTTATATTCAGTCATATTAATCCGCGTGATCTTCAAGTTTCATCAATGTACAAAGAAGAAGAACGGATTAACAATCAGGAGTATTTAACTGCGCATAGCCACGTTACTGTTGGTCATGCTTCTAAGGATGAGCTTACGATTGCTTCGGGCAACAACTATAATCCAACTATACAATACGAAGCACAAAATGCTCCTCAAAATTATGTTCGAATTAGGCATAGAAATCTAACTGAAAATGAATTTCAGCCTTCTTTTCATGAGAGTTGCGCATTGAACAAGAATGGTCACTATTCAGCAACTCAAAATCATGTCACTGTAAAAATTGGCGCAAAAGTTGATTCGTCTGTTCTTTCTGTTATCAATGTAAACAGTAGTGATAAAAGAGAGCCACAACAACGATTTAAACCCCAAGTCAACTGGAACTTGCCTCTATCCATAAGGAAGAAGTACGTATAAAGAATCAAGAGTATTTGGCTGCAAACAGACAAGTTACCATCAATGGTGCTTTAAAGAGTGATCTTTTAGCATCTCAAAATGTTGGCGAATTGATCACCAGTTAAAACCGAAAACAACCAAAAGCTGATTACGCTACTGTGCGCTATCGTCGGGAAAATGATGTAGAATCAGATGAACCTACTGTTATGGCAAATGTTGAAACAACGAATGAGAAATCCGTAACCAAAAATGAAAACCGATCGGAAATCGATGCTAACAGTGTTAATATACGATTGTCCACCGTGAGAAATAACTCAAGTAAGTAAGATATTTCTGATTTTCTTTCATTTCAGGGCACAGGTCAAAGTCAAATTAGTAGCCGTCTGAACAGGGTTTCGCCACTGAACATACACGCTCATTATCTAGATCAAAATGCATCGAGAAACCGAAGAAGGCAAGTTACGTAAGCTATGAACAAAAATATGACCGTTCTATATGTCTTGAATATCGCTTAATATTTGGATCATTGCAGAGTATTACGAAAGGAAAACAAGCACTCCTCTCAATTGTGCTATTTTACTTGTTTTTGCATAGAGCCATTTTTCGTAGATTAAGATCATGAAGCTTCAGAATTATTTGATTGACTAATGAAAACCATACAAAAGAAATAGTCGGTCGGGTTTATTGGATTATTTTTACAGAAAATATGTAGGCTGCTGATTTAATCGTTCTGAAACATAGATATAGGAGTATGAACTAGACTATCATTACTGGTTCAAACTTTTTTCATATACAGACGATGATGAATAATATCTCTTAGGGTTTTAACTAGTTGTTAAAATCTGAATATATCGATGTTTGCCTGTTTTAGCACGAGAAATTAAAAAAACGATTTAATCTTGGATTTTTTTCGTATGATGCTCCTGTTAATCATAACTTAGTAATTTTACTTGCAAGACAATGCCTCTCATGAAATTTTAGAGTTCTTTATTTTTAAATTATGGCAATATTTAAATAGATTAAATCTATCCTATGTATTGGGAGTAGATATTGAATTTCTAATGGACAAGTATTATCTCGGTTGCGTGATTAAGATAAAAAGATAGATTCGCTCAACAATAAAAGTAATCCATCGTTTTCACATAAGTGTTGAAGGAATAAGAAATATCAACACTATGAGTAAAGTTGGAGTTGAACAGGTAATATAAGCTATCAGTAGTGTTCGTTTTCTCAATTTTCAACAAGTTTCCCACTTGGGTCGGAGACCTATTTCACAGCAAAAACCCCATATAGACTTGAAATATTATTTGATTGTGAGCGAATCGTAGGATATTCATTATCTTACAACATGATGTGCGGACAAAATATTTTTCCATTTTCTGTTACAGTCTAAACATTCGCCACAGACCAGTGTGCCTATTCATTTTGGCAACAATCACGATTCTCATAATCGGCGGAATTACAGCTCTTGTACTTGCCTTATTACTACGTATGTTTGCTTACAAGTATGTTGCGACCTCATATAAAATATTTAATGGTAGCATGAACATTTGGTGCAACTACCACAGTTACTACGGCAACGACAACAACAACAACCACGAGCGCAACAAGTAAGGAACCATAATATGGAAGAGCAATTTTTTTACCGATCTACAATATTGAGTTGAAATTTCATTGGCAGAGAGAACAAACTAGCATAGCTCTTATAATTATGTTCCTGCGTTTTCGCAATTGTAACAAAATATCAGTCAACAAATTTGAATTTTCCTAGAACTTTCTTTTACAATAAGCGCTACTGTTAATATGAAGAGTAGTTTTATTTTAAACGTAAATCATGTTTTATTCCAAACAGTGCTCTAAAGATTCTACGTATTACTCAATGTTGACATTATTTTTAAAGATTTCAAGATTTATAAAAACTGGATACATACGAGCTATCGTACAATACGCCCTCCAGACATTCTCACTCTTTAATTTCAGCTACAACAGCAACTACTTCAACTTCTACCACGATTACTTGGTCAACCAGCGCAAGTAAGGCACTTTTTATCCAGAAAAAAAGTAAAATAAAGTTAATTTTGTAGGTACAACATCGTCTACAACCACAACCTCAACAAGCACCACATTGACAAGTATGATGAATTTTGAATATTAATTTTAAAAATAATTTCAACTGATTGATACTTTTTCTAAACTAAATAATCTTCTACACTAGAATGTTTACTAGACCGAAACATAATTCATAGTTTTATATTTCGTTCTATGTTCGTATGACTATAAAGCAAATGCAAATTTCTATCAAGTCACCAATGGATCGGCGTTTAATGAAAGAAATTTTAAAACTGTTTCTAGAAGAAAAAAATACTAAAGAGATCTCACCAAAGAGAATAGGAGCGGTTCAGGTATATACACCTTCGAAAATTTATATTAATACAAATTAGCGTAGCTAAAATATACATGTAGATAAAAGTACATGTTGAATGTCGCATATGTGAATTTTCGTTAACAAAATCTAGTACTTAGAGACGTAATTTGAATAACGTTTCTGTATCCCAATGGAATAGAATCATATTCCAAGGATGAAAAATGTGCTTCAGTATAAAAATTTGATTAGCAGTTCAAACCGAGCAAACACAGCAATGACTACGTATAATTGCGCTCCTTTCATAGGTACCACTTCTACAACAAGTTCTCCAATAACGATTATCACAACATCGACAGCAACAACGATATCAGCAAGTAGCACCAGTACTACGACGACAACAACAACAACAGCTAGTACAAGTACCACGTTAACGTCTACAACAACATCAACCACATCCAACACAAGTACTACTTCAACGATCAACAGCGCATCAAAGCCTACGACAGCAACATCCAGCACGAGCAGTACTACAACCACCAGCACAACATCAGAAACAACAACAACAACAACAACGACATCTACTATGAGTACTTCCACCACTATCAGCACTGCACCAGCGACGACTACACCGAGAAGTATGTAAAATTGATTTAGCTTAGATTCGTGACTGCTCTTAAATTTTAATAGCCGCGATATGTAGTTCAGCTTAGGAGTGGCACTTTAACTTCACTTTAAAAAATAAAATTTCAAGTCTACTTTAAACTTTAAGAGTCAAAGTTAAAGTATCATACTTTAAAACTTTAATTTTAATAAAAGTACTGTAAAAATGAAAAATAATTTTTAGCTCTTTATGTGCAATTTTATGTGGTTTTTAGAGTAACTTTAAATTTAAAACTTTAATAAACAGAGTTTAAAGTTTAAAATTACTGTAAAAACCATATAGAAAGTTGACTTTAAACTTTAATCTTTAAAGTAAAGTTAAAGTGCCACCTCCAATTTTGATAGAAAAAAAATCGGTTTGTTTACGAAGAAGTCTTTTTTTTGGAAACACGCTATTCAAGTACCATCATTTGCCAATCACGGTGAAGTATCATATGAACGTTGCAGTCAGCTACCTATGACGAGTTTCAATCAGCATTTATTGTTTTTGAATACGGCAATGCCATTCAATTTAGAGATTGTACATCAGATGTACACTAATTTTTTGAATGAAAAGAAAGAAATTAAATCATTTCAGTTCAACCCATGTACGTATCTCAGATATTGCTTGTTTCTTTTATTTTAAGACAAGCGAACCACTTCAGTAAAAGTAAATACTGTTCGAGTGTACAAATGTAAATTAACAATATGAGTATAGATTATTAGAAAATTTTGAAAAGTCTTTAGCTAATTTTTACAGAAATTTGTATGATTATAAAGTGCAAGATTTTTAGTACTCCGGTAAATTATGTTTATTTCAGTGTGAGTATCTCTCAATGGATTAGAAATCATAGTAAGCGTGTAATCACAATGTCATACTGTCAGTGCAGTGATAAATAGAGTTTTTGTTTTTGCTTGTGATATGCACTATTTCAAAGAAATAGAATTTCTTAGATTCAATCAAGATCATATTTGTTTTAATATTCTTTCGATTTTAGGATCCGTATTTATATAGCAGATCGAACGTGTGCTTATGATAGTTGTATGAATCTAATACACTATTTCCTGAGATTTTTAGTAATTCAGAGCTGTTTGAAAGAATTAAATGGGATTCTTCTGATCAAGATAACATTTGTGGTTGCAAAAAGAAATACTGATGATAAAGTTGTATCAAGAACAAGAAAGAAAAAGATAACATATCAGGAAAAAAAGCAACTTGTTTACTAAAGGTACCGAAAACTGAAAGAAAAAAATATATAATAGATCTAAATGACTACTTTAATAGACAAATAGTGAAAATTAACATTCGATAAGTCTCAAAAATATTTTATTTATTAAACCTATTTCAAGAAAAAATTACACATAATCAAATAAAAAAAATTAAATCACAAAAACATTTTTTCAATAAATTGTTCAGTCATTTTTCATGATAATACGAACATTGGGTTGCCATGGAAATGAACACTTCGTCGTATCAACGTCTAATTCATATGAAGTATCTGTTCGTTCGTTTTTTAGTCGAAGTTGTTTTTGTTCGCAATCAATTAGGAGGCTATATATATCACCTGGTTGGAAGTCGCTTTTATATCCATGATAATTGGTTTTTATATCACCGCCTAGATAAACTGCATTTTTTTCTGACCATCCATAAAATGTTGGATTTTCACGTACGAATGCATCAATCGGTTTACGTTTCGATACAACACCAAAGACAACTGAACTAGTTGGTCCATATTGATCAATTCTAAATCGAAGTGTATGCCGTCCTGATGAATAACTATCTTGATTGTGGTCTTCGGGATCGTCATTAGGTTTCTTTGAAGTATCATACTGATGATCTCCTGGCGAACTATAATATGGGGGTTTATTGCTTGACTTAGGATACTCTGACGGTGGCACGGTCGTCGCATTATTGTCACGGATATTATTATTTGCTAGGATTGGCTTATTCGGCGAAGTAATCCCTGGGGCTGAATCGGTCGATATAGGCTTTATCGAAATTGTTGGAATAAATGGCCTTGAATCGGCATCTTCTTCAATTTTCAATTTTTCCGGCTGAGAAGCCAAATTTTGCAATTCATGAAGTCTTCGTGACCATTCTTTTAAATCATCTTCATAAAAACCTCCATCTTCACTAGCTTTACGTAATTGTTCTTGTAATTGTTCTATTTTTTCTTTGAGATCACTTGCATTATCTACAGGAAGAGCTGATATTTGTTGTCGAATATCTTCAGCTAATCGACGAATTTTCTCTGTAGATCGTTTTTCCCAGTTGCCAATCTGATCTAACAAAGAATTGCGATACCCTGGTACGTTTTGTCCTTGAATATCATATTTTAATCGGTCCAAATTATCGTTGATATCATTCATACCTTGTTGAAGATGATCTCGATGGTCACGTGTATGATTTAAACAAAACTTCTGCTGACATCCTGGACAGAGGAAGACCCCAACCATATCACCACATGTTGTACACCAATTCTTTTGTTGTCTTGTAGTAGCCATACGATAGTTATCTTTAGTTTATGATGATGATGAATGTAATGAGCGAGAAATAACGGTGCACGACTATGATAAAAAAATAGTTTTAATCTAATATCAACTTGTGCAAAAAAAGAATACAGACATTCATATCTGTGGTTTTTTTGCGTTCGAGAATGAATTTGTGTGGTGTTGTTTTTTTTAATAGTGTCCTTCTGCAGGTTTCTTATCGTAATTTATTTTAAAAAAATATGCAGCAACAATGTGGGCTCGAAAAATTCTATTTGATCAGAGCTCGCTATACAGGAATTTTATTTTATATACCGTTTTTCTGACGAGTACATTAGGATTTTAGTAAATTATCACTATGGCATCACGCAAAAACAAAGGTTGTCATCTCCCATTTTCGAGAACTCTGAATGGATTTTATGGAAAAATGTTTTTTAAATATCATAAGTGTCAACTAGCGGCATTAGAAAATAAAATTCATAGACATATGAGAGAATTGAATTTCGTATGCTAAATAGAGGGATTCATACGGTGAAACTATCAGAATATTCGAAAGAGAAGAAAACAAAAGAATGTTTTTACGTAACTCAACTGATCAGCATTGCATAAATGCATGTGCTCAGAAATTTAAAATTAACCAAAACGAATTAAACAATATAATCCTTTTGCATCTGATATCATATACGTTAGTTTTTCGGATATTTATTGCACTCAATCTTATTTTCATTGGCTGATTTTCTGAAAATTTAATAATACTTCAAAGTGTCGATTACAAATATCGATATATAAGTAATCATAATTTTTAATTCTGAGCGTATCTTAAGTTGACATTGCCTTAACTAAAAGATTTACTCAACAGATTCTTTATCAAGTCTATATAGTAATGTGTAGCTTGTTTAGAGATAACGATAAATAATAATCGTTTGTTACAATAATATAATAGTAACACCTTTTATAAGTTTTATTCTCGTAGCAATGAATCATTGATCCAGTTCTCATACATTCTGAATAAACATTAATTAAACTTATCTCCGTCCGCCATTTTCTTTTTCATCTTTGTTCGGAAAACCATTACTTTTGACTACAACGATGTATCAAACAATAAATACTAGCTATAGAATGCATTATTCAAATGAAAGTTTTTTTTATTATCTTCTATTTACATCATTCAATTGAATTGTTATTTCCGATATAGCGCAGATACTTCTCAGTTGCTTTCATTTATCATTACAACCGAACATTATTCAGCATGTTCTATCACAACTCCAGTGCACATGCCTTGATTGGGCGTTTTTTCTAGTAATAGATAGAGAAAAGAACACAATTGTTGGAATTTACATTCATCCAATTTATATTCTTTGTAGATAAATGTAGTCGAGACCATGTGGAGCATAACTACAATTCAGTAACATTCGTTTTCATACTGATTGCTGTAATAGGCGTGTCAATCGTGCGTAATGACGTCACTCCAACTGTCAATAAATCATATAAACTATATTTAACCCCGTCTATTCTATCTATCTGATCTACTGACTGATGTGAATGGATCATTCCAGTATTTCTAAAATGAATTCATTTAGCTATGCATTTGTGTAGTTGACTTTTAAGTCTGCGGGAAATAAAAAAAAAATTATACATAAAAATTAGGCGTAGCTCACAATATTTTTCTATAATAGTTTCGTTCTGATGTGTTTCTACTTTTTTAAGTCTCTTAGTGTCATTTACTACCGACATCATAGATATTCTTCGTTTCATTGGCTCTGTTGCAATTAAACGGGTAAGCAACAGTAGCAAACAGGCCAATAGAATGATATTCTTACATATATATCACTGATTCCATATCAGTTCCACAGTAACCCTCTATCGTGAAACCAAATTATCTAGTGTCACCTATTCATTTTTCATGGAGCGCCAGCAAAATATATATCACACTGTGTTCCTCGTTTTATGCTGATTCCAAATATATATAAATATTAATATATGACCCAGTTCTAAAAACAAATATTCGGTCAATGCATTTAGAAATAGCCAGTAAAAAACAAGCTTCTTCCTTCCTTCATCAGTCAGTAGATCGATCATTGGATAATGCTTCGTCTTTTTCTCGACAGTATATAACACATTGTTTGGCTATCGATCGGTCAACATTTATCCATTCTTTTCTCAACGAACATACACGCAGCATTCGATTGCATTTTAACGTTATCACATATTATTTCATCATGTTTAACGTACGCCTTGTTTCTTGCATTATACTTATTTCGCTTGTGTTGTCATCATTCGCAGCAATTGAAGCACCATGTCAATGGTATGGAACAGCTCCATTATGTTTTATTGGAAATTCATGTCCTACCAATTGTCCGCAACTGAAGTCTGACAATCGTGGTGATGGTGCAAGATGTTGGTTTGGTGTGAAAAATTATTGTTGTTGTGCTAAGAAGACCATCGATTCAATTATTAACACTATTGCCAACGCTTAATGATAAATCTTGATTCTCTTACCCTAAGTTTCTTGTTTTCTGTATGATTATTGATAATAAAATGATGTAGCGATTGTATTCTCAATGTATAAGACACTTCTTTTTTTTTAGGATTTTCTTAATCGAATGATTTTATTCAATTTTGATTAAAAAGACTTAGATTTTCGCATCAAGATGAATGTATTTCGGTCTGATTATACGCGAAAGAAATAGAAATAATTCATAAGAATGATTTACTACTGCCATCGGAAAAAAAATTCTGCATCTATTTTCGTTCAGATGCATTCTATCAATATTTCATCAGAGTTTTTTGTGTGGAAGGAAAGTATTATTGTTGTGGACAAACTAATTTTTGTGATACAGATAATAGAGTTACGGTACAAAAGAATAAATCATAAAAATATGTTTTTAGTCGAAGATCCGCTAAGAGTATCAGATTTTATGAACTATAATTGATTAAAATAAACAAGTAATTTTATTTTAATTATTATAAATTTCAAATATGAACTATGTTACAAATGAAATAGTAAGTGTCATATTATTTCATTGATAAATAATGCTATAAAGGTATGCTATGAAAGATTAAGACGTACTACATGTACGTTTAACAACAATTATTTATATTGATGGAATAATATAATCTGCACTTATATAAAAAATGCAAACTATTTAATGATCAGTTAGAAAAAGAAGCATAATAAAATCACTCTTCGAGAAGTGATTATTAGGTTCATATCACAGTTCAACTGTCTTTTGTTACAGATTTATGCTCCTTTTTATCAATTACGAACTCGTTTTTTTCCCTCGTTTTGGAGCATGTGAGAGTATCGTATCAGTTCTTGGTATTTGCATTCTTTTTCTTGGGTATTTTTTTTGCATAGCTACATATCTATCAGCAATAACTTAAGACGCGTTATCTAGTATTTCTTTCAGCGTCATTAGTTAATCTACGGCGCAATACGTTTGTCAGTAAGAGAAATATGCCCGACAAGCTGGAGGAAGAAAATAACGATTATATACATATAACATACGGTTACATTGCTTCATTTATCTTTTCTTCTTCTGTCTATTAAAAGCTACATACAGATTTCGAGTGAGTCGTCTTCATTAAAATATATAGAAATTTTTTCTTATTCCGTAGTTTAGATTAACTATGGTTTCGTTGAAAATAGCAACGACTCTTGTGTTCCTTCTACTTTTAACAGTAGGTCAAACATCAGCTGATTCATTGTGCAAGTGGTATGGTATTGGTCCATTTTGCTTTCTTGGTAACACATGTCCTGATGGATGCGCCATGGTGGCAGAAAGCAACAAAGGTGATGGTATGACATGTTGGTTTTCGCAAAAAAAATATTGTTGCTGCATATCATTTGGTCGATAAATACGATGATGATGTCGGACAAAATACGACATGTTGAAAAAATATAAATTCAATGATTACTTTCTTTGCTTTCATTTGAATTAATTATTATATGTAGATTGTATTGAATTTTTTTAGATAAGCTGTAGATTTCATCATGAAATTCTACTGCATATATTTAGCATGAGTCGAAATAAAATCTTTGAAAAATTGTAGAAATACAGATCAGCGTATGTCTTTACTCGTGGGTCGAAAAATGGCATGAATAGAGTTCAACTGAAAACATATACAAAACGAGAATATTTAAAAAAAAATCAAATTCAGCTCTTTTAACACATTCTATCATACTAATTCCTGTTTAAAATTAAATGATAATAATTAACAGTGACATAATTTCTTCAAAAATATCTTTGATTTGAAATATCTACATGTAAGGCATTGCCATGCTTATAGCGTTCTCATATAATCAAAGTATAAACAATAGGGAATTAATAAAAACACAAAGTTCAATTCTAAGACTATGATGATTAGTGTTTCAAGTTAAAAAAGATGATCATGCATATAATTCTACATTGTTCAAAGTTCCATGAGCCATATAGCCACCAGTAACTAAGACTTTTCCATTGGTTAGCACTAGTGCTGTATGATATTGTCGTTGAAAACTCATATTGCTAGTTTTTGTCCAAAACCCCGTTACTTGATCGTATAGTTCCACCGCATTTAAATAGCAACTCGAACTGTATCCACCCGTCACTATAACATTTCCATTATTTAGCAACGATGACGAGTGGCGCTGTCGTTTAAAGTTCATGCTACCAGTTATTGTCCAAACTCGTGTCAATGGGTTGTAGAGCTCTGTACTATTCAGATTACCATCGTAAGCATATCCACCAACAACCAGGACCTTTCCGTCCGCTAGTATAGATGCTGTGTGATAGTATCGACCAGTATTCAAGCTCCCAGTTCTCGTCCAAATATTTGTTGATGATTCGTATAATTCTACACTATTCAAACTACTACCATAACCATATCCACCGGCAACTAAGACTTTTCCATCAGTGAGCACCGATGCTGTGTGATGCTGTCGTTGAAAGCTCATATTGCTTGCTGTCGTCCAAACTTCTGTTGTTGGATCGTACAGTTCTGCAGTATTGAGAGGACTAATATTGTCAACTCCTCCAACAACTAAAACCTTTCCATTCCTTAGTATCGATGCTGTATGACAGAATCGTTGAGAATTCATATCACCAGTTCTCGTCCAAACCCCAGTCGATGGATCGTACAGTTCTGCAGTGTTTGAATAACCACTGTAAACATAGCCACCAGCAACTAAGACCTTTCCGTTGCTAAGTACTGATGCTGTATGATAGAACCGTCGAAAAATCATATTGCCGGTACTCGTCCAAATGTCTGTTAGTGGATCGTACAATTCTGAAGAATTAGTAGAGCCACTAGAGTCCATTCCACCGGTAACTAAAACTTTTCCATCGGCTAATATAGATGCTGTGTGTCCGTATCGTGCAAAATTCATACTACTGACATTCAACCATCCTAGAAAGATTTGTTTTCAATACAAAAATCAAAGAATGTGCCCATACAAAAGTTTATTTTTAAATAATTGTTTAATTTTTAATGATATTTATAAATATACAAGCCATCGTACGCGAATGAAAATCTAGTCAAATACCGAAGTATTATTGATTATTGAGAAAATGTTTTTGAATTCTGCGATGAAATAAACTTCACTGTTACGAATAATGTACAGAGCTGTACAAAATCAAATAAACGCATGATTTTCGTCTACTCTCAGAAATGACGCAGCAAATCTCGTCGATATACAGTGAACAAATTTCGTTTCTTTCTGATAGCTTTTCTGAAACATTCAGTGCGACAACATTTATATTCAGCGGTGTTTTACCGATTGGAGGCGAGTATCAATCAATCCTCTTCTCGTATCACTTACTGCTAGGTACATAGGCCGTTGTCGGTGTAACCGAATTTGATGCAGTAGCAGTGGTGGATGATGCCAGATTCGTAGTTGGTAATGGTATCGTCGAACCTTGATTTTATAAAACATACAAAAAATCATACCTTTATTCGAGATTCCGTGAAATATTTATATACTGAAGATTTCTCTATGTTCGACACTCTTTCACCGTCTCTCGAAGTGATTTTGTACCTAAGGAGGAACCTGCTGATTAGGAGTATCAATAGAGTTAGATAGCAAATACAAGTACTTGTAGTAGAGGGTGTGGTTAAGCATGAGTGAAACAATATTCACCAATCATTTCACGATGATTTATCTAATCGTCATAAAATGCGTCTGAATAAGACTCTTGGTTTCAATTCGAGTTTCAGAATATATATGATATTGTTTACTTGAAGCTAGGATAACTCCTTACCAATAAATTCCAAACTTTCCTCTATCGTATTCTCTAATATACTTTGCTATCTATGAAGACTTTTGTTTTCAAACACGAAATCGATTGAATGACAGCCCTGGTCAATTTATTCCTTGAAAGTGAGCTACATGTTTTGATGGAAAAATATCATTATAGTAAAAACATCTGGCTACAAGCTAATTCTATACATTTTCATTAGATTTACAATACTGACCTACTGTTAAAATTGAAGTTCTTGAAGTCACCGGCGGACATCGATCAGAAGACGTATAGTAGACAGGATAGCAAACAGGAATTCTGCATCGAGTATAAGCGACACATATAGTGGTGGGATCTGTACATGTTTTATTATCGCTTTCACACGGTAGCAAATTTTTACACGAAACGACTGTATCAGCACATATCCCTTGTTCAGTTTTCGTCATCAGAAGGCATTGGCAATCGAAATTTGTTGAGCATGGTACTCGTTTTTCGCGGCATGGTGGCGGTGGGCAACATTCACAATTATAGAATCGTTTATCAATTTTGTCGTTGCCTTAAATGAAGTTCATTAAAACAGAGTATGCATGATATAAAGAAAGAGAAAAAAAAAGAATTTAACGAAAACTATGTTTAATATAAGCTAAATACTGAACGCTTGATTACATGATTCAATAAAATTAATTTTTCGTACCTTTGGCAACATGAAAACTGTATCTAAATAGAGAATTGGATCATATTGTTGAAATGTCATAACGCAATCACTTACAATATTATCGAGAGTTGAATGAAAAATAGTTGCATTGTTGAATTGAAAAAATATCATTTGATGAGGACAGTTTTTACTTTTATATACGAAGGTGTTCTCTTTAAGATATTTATTTGCATAAATAAAAAAAATGCATCACCAGGAGTCCCAATTACGTTTCTTCACATCGAGTAGAGGACTCCAGCAGCGAAGTTCTGTTAACAAAATTGCCACATACGAGGACAAATCGGTAAAAAAATACGTTTTGCTTTCGTCTTAAATAATGGTTAGACGCGATAGAAAAATAAAAGCAGTAGATTTTTTTTCAAAAACGGTCACGAGTTTTATATGCGTACGTAGTCGAAAACAAGAATTCAATAAGCGAAATGTACCGATTAATTTTATGCGCAGTACGTATTGAGAGCAATGTATTAACGTTATGTAGGATCTGATTTTGGATACTTTGATACTTGTATTATTCATCGTTTGGCTTTCTAAACTTTAACTTAAGTTTGTACTGCTAACAAAATCTATTCAAAAATATGATTCTCTCATTTGTGTTTGCTCGAGATTTAGAATCCGCTGAAACGAGAAGAACTTGAGTGTTGCTTCTTTTAAAAGACATCCGTGAATATATCAATGTAATCATTAAATTAAACTACCAACTTTAGTACTACAAGAGCAAAAAAACAAAGAACGCAATGTGATTACATATTAAAATAATTTAATTCAGGCTAGTTAATGAAATTCATATAAGAAATCTGTAAGACGTGCACTGTTTTACATCGAACAACTATTCGATTCTCCATGTTTTAACAGATGTTAAATATTATTTCAAGAGATGCACTTTGAATTCTGTCTCTTTTATAACTTTATATATTTATGATTTTTATCTTACTCTAACGAATTTTAATAGAAGAAGATAAGAATCAAAATAGGTAACTACATATAAAACAATAGATTGATTTCAAACGAAAAAATCTTTTTTTTGCTGTTACTACTAATGAGTACAAGTGGACCTTGTCTGTTGATAATCATCGTTCTAGCTGCTCTATTCGTCATAATATCAATTACTTTAAATGCTGCTACTTTAGGCATAGTCATCAATAGATTTGATCAATTAAAGAAAACCAATGATAATCAAGAGCCAACAACAATGAGTACAACAACTAATCGAATTCTATTGAATTCGAGCCTAGTTGAGGCGATTCGTATTACCGATGTAATGGAACATCTGAGTCAATTCTATCGTATAGCTTTGACTGAAAATGGTACTCGAGCGATAAATACGAAAGGTTTCAATCGCACTATTGATTACATAGCAGATTATCTTTCTATCAATACTAATTATTACATAAACAAAACTTATTTTCCTATTCGAACTTTTCAACTTGCTAGCAATCCTATATTACTTACTTCGATTAACGGTGTAATCATTAATCGTACATATTCGACTGATCTTACTAAAGCAGAATTTTTTCATATACAGTATTCTACAGCTATCAATCTAACCGATTTTACTACTCTTACTGTTATTCCGAATGGTGGCTGTTTAGATGAAGATTGGCTCAGTGCAAATCCATCGCCGATGGGTCGAATAGTACTTGTCAAACGAGGTTTGTGTGATTTTCTTCCAAAGGCTGCTTTTGCTACTAAGTATCAAGCAAAAACTCTTCTATTCTACAATGATGGCACATCATCTGATCGTAATAATCCGATATTCATTAGTCTGGATCGAAGCAATGAATTGCCAGCACTTTTCCTATCGTTCGATCTTGGTCAAGAGCTCGCTAATGCGTTTCTGAATTCGACAAACAATGTAAGTGTTTGTCTAATCATCGATTTAGTCAATATACCACAATTTCCAGTTGCAAATATATGTGCTGATACTCCAACAGGAGACATTACTCAAACCATTCTAGTTGGTAGTCATAGTGATAGTGTACCAGATGGACCCGGCATTAATGATAATGGTTAGTTTGAGAGCTTACATATATAGCATTCAGTTTAGAAATATGTTTTCTTATCTATAGGTAGTGGGAGTGCAGCTAATCTTGCATTAGCTGTAGCTCTTTTTCAAACATCGATCTATACGACATTAAAATATCGTATACGATTTTGCTGGTGGGGTGCAGAAGAAATAGGTCTTATTGGTTCAGATTTTTATGTGAAACAAGCTAAACTTTCAACGATCATCGGCGAACGACTCAGTGATAATTTAGTAAATCTTAATTTCGATATGCTGGGTTCACCGAATTATGTATTCGGAATTTATAATGGTGAAACTATAACAAATGCGACACCTGAAATTGCTGTTCCTGGTAGTATTAAAGTTACTTCATTATTTCGCGATTGGTTTAATAGTCAAAAATTACCTTGGAATAATAGTACTCTAGGTAGTGGTAGTGATTATGCTCCGTTTTTAGCAGCTGGCGTTGCTGCAGGAGGACTTCTTTCAGGTGCAAGTGGAATAAAAACAAAAGAACAGTGCGATCGTTATGCATTACTTCTTGGTCCCGATCCGTATTGCACACCGAATATTGCACAAGATCCATGTTATCATAGATCATGTGATACTATATGGAATATCAATGTGTTTGCTTATGAGAAAATGGTAAAAGCAGCAGGTTATGTTATCGAATCTTTAGCTCGTACGGATAATTTAAAAGAATGGCTTTATCCAACGCAAGAAATTCAAAATTTGAAATCTTCCCGTAAGAACAAACGAGAATACAATTCAATTAGTGAATACTTCGGATTGGCTACCGTCTGATTTTTCGGAAGGAATTCTTCTAATAGCTTAATAAAATGCGAAGTAACTTCAATTGTATGTTCCATTATTATTTATCAAATAAATTGAAATTATAGAGTGATCTATCGAAAATTTTAATAAGTTTGGCTAATAATTCTGATCCCGCCCGCGTCATTATTTTAGCGTTTTGTTGATATTTTATTTTTACTTCTTCATGTAATATTCACAATTTGTTTTACGCTATATTTTTATAGGCGACCGCGTTCAACGTATGTATGCAGTTGCTTTTGCAGTTCTTCTGTTTATTTTTTCTTTCATTTTACGTAGATGCTGTACAAATGTTTTTCTTCCTCTCTCTCTCTCTCTCAAATATTCACCAACTTCGCATTGGTATTCACCTCTGACTTTTCAAATGGATGTTTTTATAAATTATAGAAATCAAATTATTTTTCATAAGAAGTTGAATATTAAAATAATGAATAACTAGTAATTCATTTTATACTTTTAGTACCTTACAAAGAGTTATTAATGATGAACTAGCGTGTGGTATGAATTACAATAATTGCAGTAGTGTCAAACTTGAAACTTGAATTCAGCTGAAAATAGAAAATTTCAACTTTCAACTTTCAACTTATGGCGATATATGTGTGAGCCACCATTCTTCAGAATGCTATTGGTTGAAAAGTTGAAAATTGAAAATTTCAATTTTCAATTGAATTCAAGTTTCAAGTTGCACATATCTGAATAATCGAATCTTATTTCTGACAATATTATGCGTTAAATCTTTTGGCATAGAGAATCTATTGACTATTGGTTTAAATATCAGATTATATCATTTGTAGGCAACTAGTAGCTAGGAAACGATGATGAACTCGAGACTTTGAAAGTATAACTAATCGAACTGTTTGCTGATTCAATGAAATTATTTAAATTGTGTTTTACAAGTATTATTTCACGCTTTACTATATTATTAAAACAAGAAAAGAAAAAATTACAGGAGTTTTAATTCGTTAATTAAATAAATAGTCTTTTCTATTGTATGATGCCAACGATGATGCATCGTTTGTGGCCGTATGGAAGCTAGTAAATATCTTTCTAAGCATCTATTTTCAATTATACCAATAGCCAATAGCTAAATAAACTATATCTATACTAAAAACAGTTAAGGATAAATTCGAACAACTGATTGAATTGTGTGTCTGCATACAGGACATGTTTGAAGGCTGTATCCACATACAACACAAGCACATACGTGTCCACAGGGCAAGCAAGCTAGTTGTCTTCCTTCCGTAATGCATACAACGCATTCTGCTAATTTTGTTTGCGCCATGTTACTTGAGCTGACTGGTATCTGGCTTTGTGAAGGAACTATTAATTTATTTTTATCACCTTGACAAGCATCAATTTGTTGCCGAAGAATAAAACAAGCTATCATTAGGTCACTATCTGACGAAAAGTCATCATTATTCATTTTCCATTGATCTTCAATACATCTTCTTACAATAGAAATTCCATACTTTGCGCTTAGACGTCGAGTCAAAGGTAGATCAAGTCTTGCTTGAATAAGACGCTTTAGAATTTCGTCATCAATACGGTTATTTTGTATTTCGAGTTGATTTTTACGAATTTGGATTCGCTCATAAAGATCATCACCAGATAAATGTTTAGCATAAAGACAATTTGGAAACCATCGACAATGTTCTACCTTCGGGTTATCGTTAGCACCCCAGTGCTTTAATGACCCGCCACAGTAAAAGCAAATTACTAGATTTCCATAACCAGCATAGAAAAATCCAGCTTCCGCTAAATCATGGACAGTCGGTGACGTGTATGTCCAAGTGTTGTTATTGAATGTTTCTTGTCGTTCCAACATTGTACGCATCAATGGATGACGTGGTTGGAAATCTCCTTCAACATTTTGAGTAACCAATGCAGGGGCTTCTTTCGTTGTCGGCGTAGCTGATACAACGAAGGGACATTTGGGGGCAAGTCTAGCATGAACTTCAAACGGATCATCCGTATTGATCCATTTATGACACACTGTGTTGCAATATATGCAAATAACTCGATCGTTAAAATTAGTATAGAACCAACCACTTGAGGACATTACTTTACGGTTAGGCGTGCTGTGAGGCCACGATGCATAAGTTCGTAAGCGAGCTGTTGGAATAATGTCTATTTCTTGTAGTGAATTTCGTTCCAATGATACAGGAACAGTTGCATCTGGAATGCTAGCAAGCTGACGACGACTTTCTTTATTTCTTTTTATTGCATTTGCAAGATAAGAACAGCGTGTATGTAGCGCGTCATTTTTCAAATTTCCCATTTTTGTACTATGATTCGCTCAGAATTCAGTTAAATATAGTGTAGTCTGAGGTAATTTTGATTGACATATAGATATACGAAACAAGTTTTATATATTGATTTATGTTGGAAACATTTATTTCAGATTCTTCTTGGAAAAAACCTTCACATCATAACATGCGGTTTATAAAGCTTGGAAAGTAAGCAAGTGTTCTCTTTTTTATGAGTCATATTTTGTCTGACAGAACGAAAAAATGTTAATCATTTGATAGTCATGTTGAGAACTAAAACTAAATAATTAAGTGAGTTATAGATGTGCTTAATACAATTGTTCATATTAGGCTGAAACTATAATTCAATATAGTTGTGGTTAGATGAACTCTATTGTGTGTATTGTTGCCAGGTCGACAATATAACGTTTTCAGTAATTTAAAAAATCAACAAGTTTTTGTGCCATATCAGTTTTAGCGGCAGTTTGTCGTAAGATTTTGTTCTTGAAAATATATTATCTCTCGATCAACGCGTATCTTTCATCGTCACTGACTCATACTGAAACTAGGGTAAGTTCATATCAATTACGATCTTGCGAAGTGTTCTAAGATTTATTTTCAATACGAACTAATCTGTATGGCGCTTAACTTTGAATGCACTCTTCCGACTAGACAGCTTGTTTTACCGTGTAAATTATATTTGTTATTGCCACATTGAATATCATATTTCTGAAACAGGTTTTGAAGTGTCTTGGAACAATCTACTCATTAGTTCTATATTTTAATCAGGAACAGGTTTATCGAACTAAGGCCTGTTATAGATCTAAACAACAGTATGTTCGTCTCTCTTCTATTTGATTTCAATAGTTGGAATCATTGAAAATCAGTTACTTCGTCTTTAGTATGCCAATTGCATCTGTTTTCTTTATTAAAATTTACCACGGATAAACAGCTGATATAGACGAAGAATTTAACAGTTACACATTCGATTGATTCCAACATTATGACAGAGATAAGCATTGCTTTCAGTGAGTGATAAAACCCAGCATTTTTCTTATCGTTTTCTATTGACCTTCAAAGAAAAATTTACTTTTCTGAATGGCAACGAAAATAATTTCGTGACAGCAGAGTAAGAAAAAACAGAAGCATAGACAAGACATGATTTGTGACACAACGATAGTATTGCGGAAAATTTCCATGCAACAACGTCATTGCTTTTTCTTGATTTATCCGCTCAACATTTTTCTCTATGGATTTGGTGTTGATTGACACCACTGCCTGGAAAAGTATCATAGGCATATGATTTAAAGTTCAAACAACCATTTATCTCACTGCACTATTTACCACCTGGAAAGAGAAAAATCCCTCGTTGTTTTTTTTCTGTCAAAATTATTGATAGATGTGAGAAATTCTTGACTAATGACAATATTTACTGCAGATATGGTGTCGCAATCATACAAACTAATTGCTTTTTTCTGTCATGTTTCAGTGCGTGAACTCCATATATTTCCAAGCTTCCCAACAAGGATATCTGGAATAAATCATTGCGAACATTTTACATATATGCAAAGGCGTAGTTTTCATTTGGAAATATTCTATTTTAGTGGTGCACGCTCAAAGCGTTAATTTAACGTTCAAGATGTACGATTAGAAAAATAATACTTCCAGGAGAGAAAACAAACAAACCGTTGGCTTCAAACCTACGAAATGCACAATGAAGATGTTCATATAAACAGATCCTAATCGATTCAACTTGTGGCTATTGCCGAGACTCGATATTTTAGCTTTTCATTAATATAGATTATAACTTTCTTTATAGAAAAGTAAATTTGTAACATGACAGATTCAGTGATTTTCGCATACACAATATAAATTGTTTTGACTTGCATTTATATGCGACATTCAACTATTGTAATGTACGACGAACTATATGTATTACATAAGAAGGAATTTCACAATACAGATCTTTACTTCTCTACAAAAACACAAATATCTATTTCGTAGATAATTAAAAAAGTTTACTTCTACCAATTTCTTCACAATTTCGCATGCCATATAAGTGCCAACTAAAATTTAAATATAATTCACGTGTTCTTCTAATTTGAAATTCCTTTTTGTTTTGCAAGTAAATCTCTCTATACTAGTTATAAACATCCAATATATAATTAAACTAATTTCTCTCCTTTGGATAATAACTGCTTATATAAATCTGGATTTCTTTTATATCATCAGGTTTTGCTTTTTAATTACAGTTGTTTTCCTCTACAATACTCACGCATGGTTCCTACAAAAAAAGAGTTCGCTCTGCCATTCGCTAACGCTGCAAAACTAAAGGATTCATATTTGTTCTTATTATTCATTAATATGAATGTTCGGTGCTCTGTTCTCTCCATTTCTTTATCGTTTTTTGCCATTTGTTTGCTTTCAAAAGAAAAAAAGTTGTCAAGGTAAGAAAGAATGAAAAGAAAAACATGACCAGTAAAGCGCTATTGATATTATTTTTTTCTCTCTCGTTCTGCGCTTACTTAGATCGACAATCATGTGTATTTGTTTCACCAGAAATAATTGTTATAAAGCACAAAAAGATATAGTTTTATAGTAAAACGTAACAAAATGGTATTAAAAAATCTTGTTCGGTATATTATTAATAAGTATTTAAAAGAATATATTGAAGAATTAGATTATGCAAAAGTAACACTTGATCTTAAAAATGGTATGTTTTTTTTTCTATTGTACGACGTATGAATGATATATTATTTTTCTTCGGTTATAAATAGGACATGTTTCTCTGGAAAAACTTCATTTAAAACCTGAAGCTCTCGTAAAGTCTTCTATTATAAAATACTTGCTTTATATGTATTCGATTTTAGACCGATCTTAGTCTTCCTGTAACTGTAGCTACTGGTCTTATTGGTAAGTTTTATTAGATTTTATTCGATAAACAAGAACATTTTATTATAGACAAATTGACACTTGTAATACCATGGAAAAATTTATATAGCATGCCAACAAAAGTTCACATCAATGGATTTTATATGTTGATTGTACCAAAAAATGGTAAAGAAAAAAATTTAAAAACAAAACGATGGTTTCTATTGTTTCTAAATTAATGTCATCTATAGACTTTCACGTGTACGACAGAATTTGTGGCAATATTTTCTTTTTCTTAAAAAACAAAATAAGCATCGTAGGGGAAGCTTAAGTGTCAGTTACATTTCTTGTTCGAATGGACCAATATTTGAGATAGTTCTGTTAGCGCAAGTATTCACACGTAATATGATAGAAAAAAATCTGTAGACTATTCACACAACAGATAACAGGTGACAATTGAAGCGAAAATGCGGAAAAGCATTTTATTTCCTATATTTTTCTATGAACAACATACTCAATTTTTATCCCTTTAAAAATTTTAATATTCCGCAATGGTAAGAGAAAAATAGTTTTCTCTCATTAGAGCGACTTAATGATATGCATCACGTTAAAGACATCTGCAATCGGTTTTTTTATTATCTTCAACAAATGCAATGTCATGCGTGCTGAAGTTCATTTTCAATCTAATGAGCGACTGAGACGATAAAGGAAAGACTCGCTGTGTTTCCGGCGAGTACTAACGAGTAGAAAAAAAATCTATACTTAGAACATTTTTCTTGAAGTAATTCGAATAAATTAACTTCTTAAATTTTTTCTCTGGATATTAATCATGCATTTTACTGCCGTGATGATCAAGAATCGCTAATAAGTATCATTAAGATAGATGAAAAGAAAATTTTTCATTTGGTAAACGAACAAAAGAGAAAAAAAACGAGTAGATCCATTTGATTCTGATAAGTAAAATAAAATGCTAAAGAATGATTCATTGGTATCGGTCTTATTTTTATTTTTTTTGGTATTTTTACGATATCTACACACAGGCGAACGATGAAAATCTTCATTCAAAGAGTACCATAAAAATTCTAATTTACTTAATGAGCGTTTAACAAAGAAGATCTGCTTTTTTTTACCAGGATTACTTGTAAAAAAGAAAAGAATGAGTACTGTCTCAAGAATTATATACAAGTCATTTGTATCATTGTCCTACTTAGCGTTTGCTTCCGGCACATTGTTCGAATTCTAAATCATTATTTCTAGGTCATATTCGATTGCAAGAAACGATTTTTCAACGTTTAAAAAATACAAAACTAAGATTTCATAATAGAATATTTTTCATTTCTTGAAAATTTATCTGTTGTAAGTAAAAACTGCAAGTAATGCTCCTACTACGAACATAACAAAATAGCACTCATGATTAAATACGAAGTTTGCAGTATTGATTTCAACATGAATTGAGTTTCTATAAAAGAAATTGAATGATTCTTTGTAATCTTATTTTCACAAAAAAACAAAATTTGCTCAGCTCAGTTTTCATCAGAGAGCAATATTATTCAAAACAGATCTTCTTTTTCATTGTTGTAGAAGTTCGCCGAGATTTAACTGAATATTATGATGAAAAAATGCAACGTGTTCAACGAAAAGTTGATAATTTACGAAAAGCAGCATCCTGTTAGTATTGCAATTTTTTTTGTTCTTCTATTTATAATCTAAATGTTTCAGGTAATAAAAAACTTGATGAAAAGGACACCACATTTCTTGAAAGAATGCGATTGCAAATAATGCAAAATCTTGAAATAACTGTTGAAAATCTTCATATCAGCTATGAAACAATATCAACAACAAAACTAGGACATCCGTTTTCGTTTGGAATTACTCTACATCATCTTGAAATGACTGTAAAGTATTCAACTAATATAAGAAATTTTTAAAGAATTCCTTTTTTAGACAACAACCAATCGTCAACCTATCGGAAGAACTAAAGAGAATTCTCTGGTCATTTTTAAGGTTAGTGTTCTTTAGTTGTTTTATTGCATTTTGTTCTGATAATCGTTATTCTAGATGAAACAAATAAATTCACTTTCACTCTATTGGAATACTCAATGTAAATCAAGAATTGATATGTCATTTGATGATGTTGTGGTTAGTATTTCATAGTAATATTTTAATTTTAATGGTATTCTTCAGAAAATTATGCGAGTCAAACTCTTACTTCAAAAATTTGAGATACGTAGAAAATCAATATTTTATATAACCTATACTGAAATAGAGATTTCAATTGATAGTTGCAAGTTATCATGATGAAAATAGACTTTGATACTTTCACAGTATGAATGGCAAGCACTGAAGTTGATCAGAATATTCATTCATTGAAGAATTAGTAGTCTAATTTTGTTTTAAATCGATTAAATCACGGAGGATTGAATGAGAAGCGTACAGATACTATCATGTCTTATGACTTAATCGAATAATTTTTGTCGATAATCATTACCATAAATAGAGAAATAAGCCGATGCATAGAGCAGTCATAATAGGCTTACCTCTAGAGTTGTTCGTTTCCTATTTAGTAGTGAAGGCGAAAGCTTCTGTGACAATTTTTTTTGTATCTCCTGAATTCAAAGAATGTCTTGAAAAAAAGAAAATGATTAAAAAACTGAACATAGTGAGGTAAAATTTTTAAATATATTAATACAAACAGACATCAACATTTGATGTCAGGTTTCATAGAAGAAATGTTCCTGTCAGAAACTAGAGCATATACGCACCTTTTTTTATTAAAAATTTTCAACCAAGGGGGAAAAAGCGGATTTTTGGGATTTTCAAAATCCCAAAATCCCATAAATTGAAAGCATTTTCCCCTCTGTGAATGGCGTAGTTTCGAACTGAAAGTCTTCCCATATATAGGTTTCATGGTCCATAAAAGATCCTAAAAGTTTCAACTCGAATAAATTTTTCCTTCTTAAAATATTGAATTTTCAAAAAAACTGGATTTTCTGACCGTGCCGTGAAATAAATATTTCTTGCGCATTCATTATCTTGAGAAGGAAACGTCTGTTTGCGCTGAAAATTTTAGAATATTCTAAGAATCACGAGACTTACGTATGGGGAAAAATTCAGATGGAAATTCCATCATTCACGTTTTGGATTTTTGGATTTTGAAAATTCCAAAAATCCAAAAATCTGAAATCCGCCTTGTTTTCAACTCTAATAACAAGCGCTTCAAAATTTTTCTCCCTATACGAAGTTTTCTTGTTCTCACTAATGTTTGCATGTTGTGTACAAAAACAAGTTCTCTCACATAAATGTTTTATCATATTTTAGGAGGATTTAAAATGTAAAATAGCTACAAATAATTATATACCAAACATTGACGAGATGAACTACAGTCTGTATATTCTCTTTAAGATAAATACCATTCTTAATTGATATATATTTTGTATTTCGAATAGTTCTCTATCCCATAAATCTTTCCATTGATTTAATTATGACATTACAACCGGGAGAATATAATTTCGAACGTCCAGCATATGATGTTGATGTTCATATTGAAAAATTAAGTCTTAATATTAATCCAAAGCAATTTTCTGATTTACTTGATTTTATTAAATTTCAAAATTATAGTAAAATTTACGGTAAAATAACTGTCTTGTGTATAATCGAATTCATTGATATTTTTTTAAATTTACGAAAGATCGTTGTCGAGAATATCGTGAATTCCAACAAACACTAAATACTACGAAATTAACATTAGAACAAGAAGAACGTTTAAAAGTAATATAGTTTTTGTTTAAATGTTCCAATTCATAATATAATTCTATTGTTTCATATAAAAGTATCTCGAATTAAAATTGGATGTATTCAATCTAGCTTATATTCAATATAGTGCTGAGATGGAAGCAAATCCTAATCTAATACCTAAAGAAGTTAGCCATCAACATAATCATCATCGGCATCACAATTACAACCATTACCATCATCATCACTATCATCGACGTCATTCAATAAAAACTAATCGATTAGCGACTTCTCCGGTTACTACTGTCAACAACCATAAATGGTGGAATTCTTGGTGGAAAACAACAAAAGCTCATTCGAAAGAAGGTGACTATCATTCGAAATGCATATTCTAATTTGCAACTTCAACTAATGTAGTTAATTTTGTATAGTAGATCACCGAAAGTCATCAACATCGAGTTCTACAACAACTGGTGGAGACTTTTTTTCTGATGATGTAAGTTATTCTTGATTACGTTCATTTAAATAATCTGTGCCAATCATAGTCGCCCAATATGAATTTTGAAATTAAAGTAAAAAATCTGGCATTAAATTTATCGTTACCAAAGACGAATAACAACTCGAAAATGGTTCAGTCGCTAGAAAATGAAACTCTTTGCCCAATTGAAATTATTGATGCTCGAATAGATTTCAAACGTCGAGCTATTTCATCAAATATATTGTACGAATAATTATATATATATATATATATATGTATTTACTTTTCATTATTGTTTTCCTTCTTTTTCTATTTTCTCATTCAGATTTAAAGTTGATCTTCAATCGTTTTCATTATTTGGTATGCAAACTGATAATAACCACCGGCCACCGTTAGTAATGGCCGCTTCCGTATCATCGCTTCCATTGATACACATCGAATTGGAATTATCTGCAATTGATAAAAAATCTGATTATCGTCTTTTTCTAGTTCTCGAACCAATAAAAATTACTTATGACGCTGTAAGTCAAATATGTTGATGAGAACATCGAAATAGTCAGTTCTAGTGTGAGCTGGATATGGGAATCGATTTTCAAAAAAAAAGAGAATCATGCTATTGGTTGAATGATAATGATAATTCTTTTCTAGCCAACAATCAATAAAATTGTTGAATGTTTCGATCCAAATAATGACAAACTTTCGTCAACATTACCCGAGTTTGTTGATCAAACATAGAGTTTCCAGCAAAAAACGTTTACTTTCATTTTTATTGCATAGAATCAAACGAAGAACAACAGAAGAAATGGAACAAGATTTTAGCGGTGAAAAAATCTTCGATATGACCATACAATTAAAAGGAATTTCGCTAATTCTACCAGAAAATGGTATACTACAAAAGTCAGTCAATACTATCTTAATTGTCCAAGACATATATTACGTATATCTACTTTCTTTTCTAGACAATCTAATGTGGCTCACATCGATTTGGATAGTTTAGTTTTAAAATCATGTTTAGATAATGACAAAGATGATGCTAATTCAGTATTCAAGGTATATTTAATACAAGTTTCGCTCTCTCTACTCTTTGATATATCGAATTTTATTCGTTTTAATAACTAATTAGCATATTGTATGCATAATGAAAGAGACCTAAATACCTAGTACGAGACGTAGACTCTAGTATTAAAGTGTTTTTGTACAGGAAGAAGCACAGCAATTACGATTCTATAGAAAATACAAATTGAGATTACACAATCTGCAGATTATTTACTCGCAATCAGGTATTTGAAATTCTCTTCTATACATGTGCAATTTAATTATCATAAATGCTCGCCATTTCCTAGATAGTGTACAATTCCATATATTACGAAAAATGTCATGGCTAGATATCAATTTTTACAAATGTATCTATTCCGATGATGCCTATTTAACAGAGTAAGTAGAAATTAGATTTCTTTATTACTCGAAGATCATTCGAATAAATTATGTTAACAGCTGGCGTATTTCCATAAGAACTGTAAAAATGACTCAGATTGAATTATCAAAAGCAATTCTAATTCAATTGATACATCATTTAAAATCAGTTCCATTACTTTCGTCAAACATGATGGAAACATTGCTTCGAATCAACCTTTATTGTAGATATTCTTTTGTACTCTGCTTTTCGCTCTATTTTTTCTATTTTTCAGTTATCATTTTTCCACCTTATACTACCTTCGAAATTGATATTCTCGTTGAAAAATGTTATCTTCTACTTGCACAACATCATGCATCGATTAACACAGGTAATCTCTCTTGTATTGTTATTTCAGTTTATTCTTCTCTTTTTTATTGTCTAGACATTCATTGTCATATATTGAAATTAAGAGATAACAATAACAACGAAAAAGATATTACAATTTCATTGAATAATTTATCAATGTCGCATCAAAATAATTCCGAAATAAAACAACAGTAATGCTTAGATCCGTTCACTTGTTATTATTTAATCTCTGTTTTCTTAGTTCATCATGGCGATTCTATCAAAATCCATGTATCGAACTAAGTTATAACAATGATCTGAGTAATAATTTGTGATTTTTTAAAGACAGCAAATTTAATTCTACTCTTGAATACTCATAAGAATGTTCAGACTAAATGACACGTTGAAGAACAATTCAAATGTTTTTCTGGTTTATTATTTATTTTTTGTTACTGCATTTCATTTATTTTTACACATAAAATACAGCGAGATAGTAAAAAGTTCACAGTCAATCTTATGATATATCATCTGTCCTAAATTAACAAGCGTGGAAACTGTGCCGAAAAAGTGAAGGTAGTGGTTTGTTACATGGATTGGTTACAATATACTATTAGCATTGTCGGTCATCAATAAAATAGAAGACTTCGGCTTTGGTTAACGCAGAAAAAAGTCTCATTAAGTCTTAGTGCTAATCGATTGCTTTATAATTTGGATTGAAAAACATTTAAAATAATTTATTCTTATAATCTTGAAGTTTCTTTTTCTCTATCATTGTGAGTCTCCTCAATGAACTGAATACGATTATAATGTCTTAATTTCGATAAATTCAAGGACATACAATAAACATCGAGTATAATAGAATACCAATACGTGATTTTTCGTCAACAAGATTGTCAAAAGCTGTTTTTAGATTAGTTATTTATGTTTAAAACATCAAGAAATTTTGATGCCCGATTTCACATAATAAAAAGGATTCGTTTTGCAAGGTTTCTTCAAAACGTAAAAGTTTCATTTACTTTGAATCTGCTGGTAATAATACTTTTCCATCGTGTAGTATAACTTTGAATCGTATATTTTTCGAAATAAAATTGTTTAGATAGTAAAGTAGGATATGAATATAGAATAGGGGCTCCGATTTATATCTTGTGACTCATTTCAATTAAAATTTACTCGTTAGCCGATGCTCTAATTAAATGTCACTGTTTACTTGAACATGCACGTGGGTTTTGCTTGGTTTTTCTTTTATTCAAAAATATGTTATTGGTAGATCAACTAGTAGAGTATGGGCTATATCAACGATTAACTCGCAATATACACATCAGTGAAAAAAAGCAAAATGCACAGAATCCCTCGTTTCGTTATTTATTTTTACCTTTCTCCAAACGTATATAAATTACACGAGGACAATGAAACCCAACTCGTTATTTATCATTCTTTCGTTGCTCAAGCTCAAACCAATTCAGGTTTTTTTTGATTTTGTTTTTTCTGTATTTCATTGTCAAAGTATGCTAGAGGGTTTTTTCCAAAAATAATTCGTAACGTTTCTTAGAAACTTTCTTTTCTTAATATTGTCATTGAACATGTTAGTTTTATGCTACAGGTATCTAATTAACTAGAAATCAAAAATTTCGAAATCATGAGGAATTTTCAATAAGCAATTTTTTTATTAAAAATAATTTTGGGAGTCGAATTTTATCGACTATCATAAAAAAATTTAAAACAATCGCAACTGTGTTGTCATTCCGAGCTTTTTCAGAGTTCAAGATTTTCAAATAAAAAAGGTCAAAAAGAAACTGATCACGCATTAAGACGTTTATTTAGTTTAAAAAAATTCTGTCTTTTTTTTGGCATATGTTACTCATAAAATTAGCATTGCCGCACTATCCTATATTTTTTTTCGGTTGTCTTGTAAAAGAAAACAAAATAAGGGATCTTGTTAAAAACTTTTAGCTTGTGACATGCTAAAAAACCAAATGGTACAGGTGAGATAAGCGCAAATTGAGAAATCTATACAGAAGTTAAGACAGTTATATCTGTAATCTGTACCCAGCTCGAACAGTTCGGCCTGGAAAGGCCGGTTCCGGATAGGTCCGTTGATTTTGTGGAAGCAGTATTCCGGTTGCACATTTTTCGGATTTTTTCCGGTGATTTCCGATCAATTCCTGTCGGAAAACTTCGGCCGTATTTTTGACCGGAATACTACTTCCATGTTTCAGCGACATCTCGTGTTTTCCTACAGGAGATGGTGACTTTCCCACATATTTCCTGGAGTATCCTACGGAACCCGGTGGTCGGAATGCTCAACCTGGGTAGTAACGTTTAAAAAAACGCATTTGATAGTTTAGATACTGGCAAATATGCTATTAGTTCTGAACAAATGAAATTTCTATTTGCAAATTTTGATGATATAATTCATAGAATTTTAACTACACTAATTTATTTAGAGTTCAGTCTCAAATAATTTTATATTAGTGAAGATCGATTTATTATGCAATTTTTTTTCAAATTACAATGGTTTGAAGCGTTTTAAGGCTACATTGAATGCCATTCAAAGATTACTACAACGAAGTATGTAGAACACATCATTGATTGCTTTAGAAAAAGAATCGACATCCAATAGCGTTCGTACAATACGAATCGAAAATAACAAATCTAAAAAAGTAGTTTTTATTCCAAACAGCACAACTGAAGTTTGAATTATAATCACTAAGGTCAAAAATGATTTTTACTATTTCAATAAGCAATATCATATTTTGTTGAAATCTACATACATGCCAATGAGTATTCTTTAAGTTGTACCAGTAGAACATACAAGACCAATGGTCTGATTTATTGTGTGTGATATAATTAAAATTCTTTTAGGAATCTCACAATCATGTAGCAAATAGACATTCTTCTGAAAGCTGAAAACATATTTAAATGATTTGCACTATCACATGCACTACGTGTTGTTGAAAATTTTAAGCCATCTAAAAATGTCAAAAGCCTATTTCCACATTTCAGTAGTTTGCCAACGGTCTCGATCAAAGGGACAGTCGATCCACTTGTCTTACTTATTCCTGAAGTAACATAAATGGTGTCCAAGGGAAAAGAAGTGTATGGTCAACCAAAAGACGACTTAACAGCTGATGAATCTATTTCTCTTATGCTCTATCCTCGGCAATGGGAGCCACGAGAAAAATTGCTCTATATCATTCTCAATAACACTTTGCGAGCTGAAGATGAAGAAAAATTAAAACTATGGCAGTTGTACTTAAAATTGTTTATTTCTTCACTCGAAAAACTGCCAACAGTTTCTAAAACTATTTATCGAGGAGTTAAAAGGAATTTAAGTACTGAATATCCAATAGGAAAAAAATTATCTTGGTGGAGTTTTTCATCATGTGCATCTTCGATAAAAGTAGTGCAATCTGAACAATTCTTGGAAAGACTGGCGCCAGAACTCTTTTCAATATTACATTTGACTCTGGGAAAGATATTAAACAGCATTCATTCTTTTCTACTGAAGACGAAGTATTACTTATTGCTGCTCAAAAATGTCAACTGGTCTCTGGTCTTGATTCCGGCAATGATCTTTTTATAATTCAAATGAAGGAAGTTGACTCAGATCAATCTCTGCTAGAATTTTCAAGTAGTCAACCTGAATCTAGTCGATTAGACCGTAAACTTTCATTCAGTCCTCGGGAAGATTCAACAACTACCACTACAGGGTCATCTGAACCATCTAAAACAACTTCTTCGAGAGAGCCAATGTTACTTCGATTATCTCGTGGATTTTTACCTCCAAGACCACATGATAAACGAGCTTAGTTATTTATCGAATGAATACGGAAAATTTGATTGTCTGACTGAGTGACTGACCGATTGCAAATTTCACCTTTCTTTCTTTTAACACTTATCAGATTGTATTCATTTTAGTCTTGATGCATTAGTAGTTTCTGCACTCACATTATTTTGATTACTCATATTTTCCTAAAAATAAAATAATCGTATAAACGTCACTATCAAATAGTATGATGCAGCATAATCATTAGACAAACAACTTAGACTATATAGTTAATTTTTGTTCATAAAAGTGAGCATTCAATCTGAAATATAAAATAAAGCAGACTTAAGGATTTTAAGTTGTCAAATAATATGCATACCACTACAACTGCCTATGCCGTGATAAATTTGGTGATGCGTGCATGTAAGTATACCAAAGAGCGACTTCTTCAAATGAAAAACAAAATTTGAAGACTCTGTCTATTGAAAACAAAATACTAATTCAGCTTCCCACAAGTTAATATTAGCGATTCTATCTGCCTGGAATTATCAACACGTTTTTATGAATTGTTTTGATAAAATGAATAGTACAATATCTCAGCATATTATATTGAAAAGAGTGTCGAAATTAATCCCATTCGTCTGTAAAACTCAGTCTAACGATAAAATATTCACATCTTGGGCGTTTCTGAAACATGATGTAGGTTACCAGTAGTATGACTAAAGCATTGCGAGTGGCTCATCAAGTTTAATTTAAAATAGAAATAGAAATTAGAAGAAAAAGGATTTTTAAAAGAATCGCTTTTATTATGATCAGAACTCATTTGTTCTATAGGAGTTCTTGTTTTTAAAGAGATGTATCCACTTTGAACACCTGACAAATATCAGGTAAAACCTGCATGAAAGGACTCATTAGAAGTTTTTATCGAAGTTTAAATACTGTTCGCCTTGTTACATCTACCCATTTGTATCTGTCGTGCCATGGTGTAGTTTGCGACGAGAATCATTTTTCTAGTTATATATTTAGTTGTTATGAGAACAAAAATACTGCACACACTCATTAATGATACATATGAATTACATGAAGTTTCACAGTATAATGAAATTAACGTCTGCAATGCGTAGAGGTTAAAACAATTTACAATACGGGTAGCTATATTCTATTACTTGAAGTATGAAAGAAATAGAAGAAAACAACATGCACTTTCGATGAAATTACATAGTCAAACACAAACAAAATTATTTCAAGAAAATTTCATTAACAAGAGCATCATTGAGCAATGTACCCACAAGTACGCAATCAGTTATTTCGTATGCCGCTCGTCATTCTTACGATAGATGTAAATAAATGTTATGATGGTTTCGAATGTATTAAATAACAAGATTTACAGCGGATTCTTTGCATTTCTCACAGTAGTACGAAAAATAGAATCGTTTTTCTTTCTACATTGCATATGTTTCGTTAGTCACAGCCTTCTGCCAGCTACAAACATTACCAGATAAAAGACATCCAGGTTGATGTTTATATAATGAAATGATGGTTTTTGAGCGCCATTGAGCTGTTAAAGTCTCATTTAGTGAAGTATTGTGTATATTAACTAAATTTGTTATTCCAGGATGTTATGTCAGATGAACAAATAAATTTTGTTTACTTCTCAAATAATTAGATAAATTGTGTTTTCAATTGTAGTTCCAGCAGTACATAAAACTGTAAAATTTTCCATGATCAAAGTCTCCAGTAAATAGCTGCTGATATATTAGAACTTCAGGATATCGAGAAAAAACAGTGTATATATTATAAGATAGCTGACTGATTATCGCTTTATTTCACTTATTTCAATTTCATTTAATTTATAATCTCCCAGTAGTTTATTCAGCTTAGACGAACTTCGTCGACTGCGACGCGTCCACTTTCACTACAACTGGAAGATCGTCTCGATATAATAGTTGCTACAGTAGGCACATATACTACTGGTTGGTACAGTTTTACCGTGTCAGATGTTGTTTCAACTGTCAGTAGAACAATATTATAAAACTGAAGATGAACATACATCTAACTATAGTTCAATGAAGTTTGAATACCGAATTGTGATTCATTCGTTGTATACTTTTTAGTGGCGTGATTTCTCTGCGACTTACGGTACTGTACTGTTTGCGAAACTAGAATATTGATTGTGATTGCATAGTTTCTTGTTATTTTTCATTCATATTTTTACTTTTTGTATGCCTTCTTGCAAATATTTTTGAAGAGTGAAATTTTAAAACAATAATTCATTGAATTTAGTTACTGCCACTTACATAGTTGTTTTACCAAAGTTTTAGCCTGCTCCTGCTATATAAACATAAAATTCTTTACATAAATTCCACCCACAAAAGCAATTGAGAAAAATATCAAGTATTCTCATGTATGATACTTATTCTTCAATCGCAGCAATCGGTAAAGTATGAATCATTCATGTAAAGTAGTGGAATCTTTCAAACATACCTTATTGAAGCTTTTCAATGTTGACGATTTTATAGTACCTGATATACGTATATCAATTTGTGAAAAAGAGATCTTCAATTTTTTATATTCTTCCGACCCACATCGATTCTAGTAGCAAAATTACAAGAATTTTGCTCGAAGATAGAAATCTAAAGGGAATTGGATAATTCTTATCAGAGATGTCCACCGGGTAATGGTTTGTGCCTGCTCCTGCCCTGTTGAAAAAAATGCAAAAATTTAAAATGTACCCTGATCCTGCCCTGCTGAGCTGGCATACGGAGAATATCTTTGAACTGGATCTGAGTATCTCCTGAATGAATTCGTTCCAAACAGCTTTCCAGAAAAGACAAAATACTTTTGAAGCCGAACATGACAGGATCTATTCAGCCCGTATATAAATTCTACTGAAAAGCTACCTGGCAGAAAGCTATAATCCCGAAAAACCATACGAAACTGAACCAATTTTGGTAAAATCCATAGTGATTCGCCCAGAAAAACGCTACAATGACTCATACTATTTTCCATGTAGATCTTGCCATACTTTCCTTTTGAGTTCGATTTAACATTCCCGGCCCATAGAAACTAGGCCCGAATTCCTAGGTTTTTTGCTAAATCCTTTCGCGATTGAGCAATAGCAACTTCCCGAGGTAGCCACGGTGGTTTCTAAACAGATTTTTACCCGCTCTATCGACTGGAAGCCACTGCGACTGTGTTGAAAAATTCTTTCTAACCAATTGCGACGGGATTTAGCAAAATTAGTTGAGTTTTGTATTGCTTTTTTATGGTTTTTGTGGCTTTCAGTTTTTTTAGGAAGATTTTGAGTACGATTGGTATCTGAGCTGAATAGAGCTCAGCGAGTTCTACTTGGAAAGTAGTTTGTCCTTGTTCGGTAGTCCTTTGGAGTAATCCATTCTGAAAATATTCGAAGTTCCCATTCTTACTTAAGATATCCTACGTCTTTTATCGTCACTATTTATAATTATCTTGATTCTACCGTGTTTGTACGGTGGTCAATATAAATCGGAAGTTCTGCTTACCAATTGCTGTCGCTCTCTAGAGTCTATTTCTTATTTATGATACTTCGAAACTAAAAGTATTTCTTCAAAATTGAAATTTAAACAACTGAATTTTTACCCTGCAGGGTACGACTCCCAACCTGCCCTGCCATGCAATTTGCCTTGGTCTACCCTGTTCTGCTTCAGGGCAGGGCAGAGTAGGGGTGTACCAAATCCAACTCCAGTCAAATCCAAATCTAATTCTAGAATTGGATTTGAGTGGATTTGACAGGAATTGGATTTGGATTTGACTTGGAGTTGGTTTTAGATAGGGGTGTCACAATACCAAAGCTGTATTGGAGTATTGATATTGATCCCGGTATTGGTGTTGGGGCTGATAGCAGGTTGATTGAAAAAATAATCCCTCTGCGTTGCCGAAAAACATGAAAGTTTTCAAAATCCGGCAATCCAGTTCGATTCCTTGTCCCCGAAAACCTTCGATCAAACTTTTAAAAAAATCGCTATTTTATCAAAATACCCCACATTGGCTATGATAGATCAAAATCAAAATTTCGAAAATGTTTCAGCTAAGGTAGATTATTTTGACAAAATATCGACTTTTTTAAAAGGTTGATCGAAGGTTTTCAGGGCCAAGGAATTGAACTGGATTATCAGATTTTGAAAATTTTCATGTTTTTCGGCAATCAGAAGTATGATTCTTTTTCAATCGACCTGCTATCAGCCCAATACCAATACCCGGTTCAATATCAATACCCTAATACCATATGGGTATGATGACATCCCTAACCAAATCCAGCCCCAAGTCAAATCCAGTCAAATTCAATTCTAGAATTGAATTCGGATTTGGCTGGAGTTGGATTTGGTGCACCGCTAATCAAGAGAAGATCGCGTGAATAAAGTTTTAAATGGTTTTGCTCTACGACGAATGTGTTTTCAGCATCGATCCGATTGTGGTGATAGTGATTTTTCAAGTTTTAAATGAAGCCATTAGAAAAAACATACTGTATAAATCAGTGAATAATACACGTGCATAATTGAAGCTTTAAAAATGAATCATTTAAGCCTACACAAAGCGTACATATGACAAAAATGTGAAAACAGTGTGAAGTGATTCCATTAGTTGAAGTGCACTACAAAGAAAGCACAAACATACTTTTTCGCTCAGTTTATAATCTTGAAAAATTTCAATGTAACGAAAAAAAAAAGAATTGATCGTCTAAAAAAATATTTCATTCGCACATATACCTGTGAGAAATGCCGACTAGCACCCAAGCTGTTGCTTCGTATGCTCCTCGTTTTTATCAAGGTCTAGCTCAAGAAACGGTATGATTATTAAGAATATCTTATAAACTGCTATGTGCATCTGATCCTTTTCGCCTCTAATACTTTCAATAAGGGTAGAATCTCTCAAGCTTCACAATCGAAATCAGTGAAGCTGATTTTCAAAAATATGACGAGATTATATTCGTACGGTCTCGCCCTTCAGACAAAAATTACTTATAAGGACGAAAAAAATTGAGTTACTGATCTAGTCTTCTGCTTCGATAGAATTCAAAAGAATTCTTACACTTTCGGAATGCCTGCTATACTTGCGATTAACTTACATTCTAACATCCGTTTGTAAACAAGTCATATTGTTAGCTTTCCTTGATCGGTATTTAACACATTGATAAACCTGTATATTATTATTATTACTTGTAACACTGAAAACTATGTCACCATGAACGATTTTAAATGTTCTAAGTGCTATATAGCACAGTATGATATACTACATAAAAAATCAGAAAAGCTACCAGTACTCTCCCTCTTTCTTTTAATCGATATTTTCTTTTGTTATAACTGATTTTCTAGAATGTCGTATCACATCAATCATCAGTACAAAACGTTCAATTGAATATGACAGATTTGCCGTCAGCTAGTAATTTGTGAGCTTTTTCTTATCAGTGCCTCTGATTCGATTAATAATTATGCTTTTGTAATTTTAGGGAAAGCGTCCCAACAAAGTCGTGGAAACCAATGATCATTGTTTTGACTGTGCTAGTTGTTGTTGTATGTGCTGCTGCTCTTTGTATTCCATTTCTAGTAGTATATTTAAATTCGGCAAGTGAGTTCAGCATAAAACTACCATGATATTTTAAAATCAGCGCCATCACTCAATTCTTAGTCCGGATTTTAAAAGGAAAATATTTCTTGATTTTACATTGATTTCTTTCACTATCATCCCACTAAATGTTGGACAATGAGTATTGAACCAGATCGATGTCATATTAATTTCTTAATTAACAAAATAATTAATTCAGTGGTACCTAAAATGAAGTAAATATCAGGACAGTGTGAAAAAATATCAGCCATGCATTCTTTTCTATATGTCTGTCCCTTGACTAAAACTAGCCGTAATCGTTTCTCAACTCGTGATTATCTTAGAAATTCGTTCCTATATCGTATATTTCTATACAAAAACATTGTCGAATCATTGAATCCAAAATATTATTGAGTGTTCTCTCTCTGTTGGTATTTTCTGTATTTCTTGAGAAAAAATCCAGATTCCAGAAAATCCGATCAATCTCTTTCTGAAGTTTCCACAATAATCACTTATTTTTGAACTCGGCTATCGTATACATGAAGTCAATTTCACATATAATCTTCCAACCTAATAATAAATGCGACGAATTGACTCCGTCGTAGGCCACTTTACAATGATCGAAATATATGTGTGAATAGAAACATTTTCCTCCAGTAATATTTTTAAAAAGACACACCCACTCATGATTTGATAAGGTATGGTAATTTTCCTTCCTTCCCTAGCTACTACAACATCAACAACAAGCACAACAACTACTGCTACAACAACAACGACGACAACCACCAGCACTACCACCACATCAACATCAACCACATCAACGACGACAACAACAACCACAACGACAACCACTACCACTACGACCACTGCAACCACAACTACTACGAGTACGTACTTCGATCAATAAGCCACACCAACAATCAGTTCGTTTTTTATTTCTTTTAGCAACGACAACTACAACAAGTAAGTGTGCCAATACTAATCGCAAGTGTGTTTCAGTTGAGTCTATGTAATTTCGCCAATTGTGAAGTTCGCCAATTGTATATTTGTCGTTGGCGAACTTCCTCACGAAATTCGCCAATTGGCAAATTACTAGTGTGACATTCGCCAATAAATAATATATTTTCACATTCTTGTGTTCACCAATTGGTGAATATCGTGGGGAATTTCGCCAAATTGGCGAGTTACTAGTGGGACATTCGCCTATTTGGCGAATTGCTAGTGTGACATTCGCCAATTGTAATCATTGAATGTGCGAATTAAGCTCAGTTTGCTGAAATTATTTTTATTTCAAATAAAGAAAAAAATGTGGTAGTTATATGAAAAAGCTTGTTAGCACAGTCCCTTCGGGGCAATTATGGAACTCACACAGATCCCTTAGACTTACTAAACTAATGCAAAATACCTAGTGAAAAGTCTATCTTAATTTCAAAACTCTATATTAGAGCATTACCTATTTACTTACACCAATAATGGAGGGTTACCTGTTACTTCGTGTCTCGAACGATGACCAAGATTACTTCTGCAATAGTACCCATACCTGGCTGCTATGGTCTGACATGGTAGCTCTTCTGTATTGCTAATATCTGTAATGGACAGGCCTTGCTTTTTTCGTATAATATGCAATAAAATAGAAGAACAAAACTAATTAGTCTAACTCAAGGGGGGGGGGGGTGTGCATCAGGNGTGACTCCTGGTGGCTCTTGGTGGATGCTATAATCCACCAAGATTCATAGAATCTGCTAGGATCCATAAAATCCATCAAGATCTATGAGCAGCCGTCAGAATCCAAGGATCCAGGAGTAGTTTCCTCCCCCCTTGGTCTAACTTCCAATTAGAACAATTTTAAACTCATTAATGTCTGTAATCAGAAGCAGGTAGCCTCAAAAATCGCGCTTTTAGACTAATTCAGTTTGTGCACTAGAAAGATCAAGTATTATACTTGAGTTCCGATTCAATTCATTCATATTGGCGAATTGCTAGTGTGACATTCTCCAATTTGGCGAATTACTAGTATGACATTCGCCGATTTGGCGAATTAATAGTGTGGCAATCGCTAATAAATAAAAGATTTTCGCATTCCTTGGTTCACCCATTGGCGAATTTCGTGAGGAATTTCGCCAATTGGCGAATTACTAGTAAATGTTCGCCAACTGGCGAAAACTACAATTGGCGAAACGATGAATTGGCGATAAGATATTACCCCGTTTCAGTAATTTCTAGCCACGATACTGATGTGCGTACACCCTGTATCATTCGAAAGTTTCATTTCGATTACCTATATAAAATCACAGTTCGTACTGTATTTGGTGTCTCAAGTATGAAGTGCATTAAAAAGTGTGATTATTGAAGTAGTAATAATTGCTTGCCATTGAGCTCAAAGTTATATGGGATCATTTTACTATATATTATCTTAATGTGAAGCTCAATTACCATTGTAAAAGATGATCTATACTATTGCATTCACTGCGCCAAAATGTTTCCTCTTCTATGTTATGAAAATGGGAAGATTTATTGACTCACTGAATTCCACTATCACAGGTATACTCTTGTTGTACCGAGTTTCTTACAAACTCATAGAAAACTCTCCTTCTTTCCGGGAGAAACAGATATCAAACAATGAAAATTAATAATTTTCGTGCTATCTTGAAGAGCGTAGTAGAAAACAAGTGCGAAAATATAAAGCACGAGAAATTACCGTTCAGGTTATTCATGCCTAATGGAGGGACGTTTAACAGAATCTATTATTTACTAATTTTTTAATGTTAATAGTATCATTTCTAGTTCGGATTCCTCACTAGTCTATATGATCATATGGAGTAGAAGAAGACGTTTTTGCAGGTTATTTGTATCTTTCAAACTGATTCATTGTGTTTCACATTTCACTAGCTTTAAGGATTATATTTTGAGCTTCTTCGTGGTAAAAAGAACGAGCGGCTCTCCGCTGCATTAGATCTTGATAAGCTGGAACTTAAAATTTCGCCATCTGGTTTGAGAAAATTGAAATGCTCAAGTTTTCTTTCTATTATTCCGTTTAGCGGCTAACCTACCAGCAGCTTGTTCGTCTTACACAACCATATCAGATGCAACAAGAAGCGTCACTTACACGACCTTCGTCGGATGCGACTCATCGAGTTTTAGCTCAAGTGGACAGTGGGTGCGATTTACTGGCTCGGGTGGTACCACTATACCTACTTATGCACCTGGCACCTCGGTATGTGGCACGAGCGCTACAGGATGGTATGCTAGTGCGCTGCCAAGTTCTGGTGCAACTGTTAGTGGAACATTATGTTACGACTGGAGTAATACATGTACATGGTCGACTTCAATTCAAGTAGCAAATTGCAATACATACTATGTTTATTTATTATATCCGTCACCTGTCTGCAACTTACGCGTTTGCACTGTTTAAGAAATAGAAGACTTCTAGCAGTTTGATTTTTTGTCATTTTTCATTAATGATAACACTCTTATATTCATATCCTTTTGAGAGTTCACGATTTTGAAAAAATGGCTCATAGCACACTGTCCACGTTTTTTAACTTCCTTTTTTTTTATTAATTTCATTTCTACTCTAATGCACAGAAAATAAATCGTCTGTATTTGATTCACAATACTTCAATCAAACATCAATTATCCATATGAAAATTAAGAATCATTCAATAATATTGATACATCCAATATGATTGTGATTTGTGTTATCCCTATACTCAATTATAAATGTAAAAGTATGAAGATCCCTAAAAACCAAATTTGAAGAAAATCTTATATTATAGGTCGTCCAAGAAATGTTTGAATAATATATGACCTGTGAATAACTGAATAATCAGCTGATTGTGTTTTTCGAACTGTTTTGCTCATATTAAAAATGATCGTATATTGCTAGTGGACCCATCTTTTGCATACTTCTATAAGTTCCCTATGAAGAGATATTTCTCATGAGGACAGTAATTGCTATGTTGATTGATTGGCTTAATAACAGGTTATGTAAAGGACAATTTAACACCATTGTCATCCGCCTAGAAAATCGTTCTGGTAGTAGTGATGCAAGAATCACCATTTTCTATGAATAATACGCAGCAATCTATGATGTGTCTGTATGAATTTACAAGCAGCTTGTTATAATTTACCAATCAATCTTTGTGTTTGATTGTCAATAAATCGGATGTAGAATAAATTTTTATTTCTTTTAACGACGACAGCTATACAAAGTTACCTTGTTGATACTCATCGCAATATTTTATGTTAGAATAAAGTTCACTCGACCTCTGTCTTGCCTTGACATACTTCAAAATAAACGCGTTTCAAACAACTAAAATTCATTTTTTGCGTGCAATCATGATTATGTTGTACGTTCTAACGAAACGCTCATTATCAGAATTTATTAATTGATTCTAATGTGAAATGGAAGTTTCTATTGAAGAAAGGCATACTAACCATTAAAAGTGGGCCTCCAGTTTTGATAGTGTCTGCATTGTCGCAACTTTCTAGTAAGTTTCCTGGCATATACTATACAAGGAAACATCTTATTACAACCTCTGAAACCCCTCCCCATCATACACTATTGTGCCGATGTGGTGACATGTAACCTACGTCAAGGATGTAGGTATTATGAGTTCTGAATTTTCATAAACTTTCACGGTCACATTCATAACCCTCTGGTGAGAACTTTCAAAGAAATTTCAGAAATTTATATCCTGCGCTGATTGTATTTTGACGTGATTCATGTTTTCATATCTTCAGCGTTGTAGCTTTGTTTGTTCCATTATTATCAATAACCTTGTAAATATTATTATTAACCATTTATTCAGGTTTTTCGCCGTTGCAGCGTTCTCAATACAGGTTTTATTAATTTTGTGGAACTCACATATATTTTCGAAGAAAATAGTGAGTGTAAGTTGAATTGTTAGGTTTTTCCGGCTCCCATGTACCCCACCTCGCCCCTCTCCATTGCAGACATAAAACATAAAAAACCTAACACTTCGGTGCACTAATTAGATAAAATTTTTATACAGATGGGTTGCCTTTGCTCCCCACTACTCACATCACTAATAAAAATCTAGTTTCACCAATTAGAAATCATTATAATTAGGATTTAGTCTCTAATTAATCATCAAAATCTGTCGTTTTTATTATTATAGTCCATAGTTACGATAATAGCGCATATTTTTATTATTATAGCCCATACTTACGGCAGCATTATATTTTTTTATTATTATAGACGTTCGCAATCAGTGTATGCTACCGCTACAGAAGCTAGTAACTAGTTTATGCTACTATTACATTCGTTACTTCTACCACCTACAATAAACAGATGAAGATTTTAATCTTTTTTTCTCACATAAATACCTTATTCTAGAGCTTGAGTCCACTTTACTATATTTACAATTCGGAACTTTTCCATCCACTGGGAAGCTTTTATCAAATTTACGTTTATGAAAAAATGTATCAATTTCTCACCTGGTAATACGAAAAAATATAAATTTCTCAACAATATTGACAGCTATATCATAAATACTGTTTCAACTATTATCATTCACAATATTTCTCAATGAAGCCACTAAACACTTCAGCATACTGACATATTTTAAACAAAAAGTTTTTCATACGTTCTCTCTAGTAATATTCCCTATTGATAGATCCAATAAACTTCAAATGTTAAAAAGATTTTACTATCTTATTTTTGAACAAAATATGATCTCACTACACTGAAAAAATAAAACTTCTATTTGATCAGTATCTAATTGATCGAAATATGTGAGTTCCACATTTTAGCCCCAACGGGGCTGCGCTGACAAGCTTTTTTCTTACACTCTGCGGATAAATGTTTTATTTCGATGTCATACTTATATAAAAACAAATTACGATGATGAAACAAATCGTTCCTCAAGTTCGTATCATGTATGTCACTGTTGTATCATCAGTTTTTAAATAAAATAAATCGAATGTAGTACAAAAATGCTGAACAAAATATAGTTCTCTGAGTATTTTACGAAAACATCCAACAGAGTACTCACGGCATTTTCTAGTCTGAGTACTTTCTGAGTACTCGCAGGACGAGTGCATTCACTAGGGTGTATACGATCTTACGTAGGAATTGTGTATGTTCATACAAGATCATACGAAAAATCATAAAAAAATGGTCGTTTTTGAAATGTGATGGAAATTTTCACAGCAAGTTTCATATATACTTCAAAAATACAATCTTGTATGATTATATAGAATCGTACAGTAAGATTTTAAGTGATTACCTTAGAAATATATATCTATATATATATTTACGTATTTTCCATCTTTCCGGGTAATTATTACTCAACTTAACTTGATATAACCAAGAGCAATAATTAATAAATGTAATGGAGAGGTATCTACATTATAATGGTCATCATTCAACAATAAAAAACATAGCATAATAATCACAAAAAGCTCATGCATAAAAATTGTTAGTCTCTATAATAATAATAATAAAGAAAACTAATATTTTCGATATCTTCAATATAGAAAAATGAACATAGAGAAATAAAAATTAAGATTTACTATTTAATCAATGCAGAATAATAAGAAATAAAACTGACTGTTTCGTTTAGTTTTAGCATAGAAAAAGAAGAAAATAACTTAGGAACATTGCTCGATCCTATTTTTTAAGTCCTGTTCTGCATAGTAATGTTAATTCAATTAGCTATTTCAGAACAAGAAAAAGAACAGAACAAACATATAGAATTAGAAAAGAACAGGTATGACAAACATTATGTACTATTCTATGGTTCCTTTTTTATGAATCTTATATGATCTATTAAAATCTAACAAGAACCATTTAGTCTGTCTGTATAAGTTTCTTGATGTTTAAATCTTGATAGGTTTTTCGCTGATATTTTACAGTCAGAATCAGGCGAAATCTGTAAAAAAAATAATACATAAAATATTGTCTGATCTTGTAACAAGATCATGGGGGAAATCTTATAAGTGTAAGATCTTATTTGATCTTACGGGATCTGAGGTCTGATTTTTTGACATGAGAGTGGAAGAATAAAGTGCTTATGCTTCCTGCCCATCGTTATGTTTAACCTCTAATCTGCTATCAGTATGTTCATCTCATACAATGATAATAATAATAATAATATCTCCCATAGGCTTATCGCCTGTTGGGGCCGGCGCTAAAGGGTCCACAAGCAGCCAGGTTCTATCGTGTTTTCTCTTTTACAGACGACGGTATCTGCACCCCATTCGTCCAACGCTTCCCCGTTAATGATTATGGGTTGGCGATCATCATAGGATCACGTGGCCGTGACATCTATATTGAAGTTATTGTTTTGACTCCACATACTGACTAATGATATAATCGATACGCTATCGGATGAGTCATCCGGAACAATTAGCCGTTAGTAACTTGTTCAGGGTTATTCCATGGTTGGTGATACTGTGGTTTGAACACAGTACGTTGTGAATATGTGTCGAATAACATATCCACTCAGCCATGGCGGCTTATACAATGATAACATATTCAATATGAAATAGGTACTTGACTATTGCCATTCGTTTGGTAATACAAACGATACGCATTTCGGATAATTGTTTATAAGTATTGAAAATAATACTAGGATTCACTGGCTTACAATAAAACACAGAACTTTGACAACTTTTATAAAGTAAAAATCATACGAAGATGCGTTGAAAGTTTTTATGTAGTGTGAAAGAAGGTGTGTTAAAATATTTCTACAACTATTGCACTTTCCACATCTAACTGGCGACGCTAATTGTGATTTTTTCAACTTGCAAATGAAGGTAATGCTGCAAAAACCATATTGCACAATTCACTGAATGCACGTGCATCAGTGAAGTGTTTCATTGTTATTGTATAAGCCTATATAACGAATATAGGTGACAGAAAAATAAAACAATTGTGAATTTGTTCCATTAGTTGAAGTGCACGACAAGAACAGCAGAAACATACTTTTTCGATCAATTTGCAATATTGAAACATTTCAATCCATCGAGTCAGAAAAGAATTGATCAACTTAAAAGTACTTTATTATCAGACAAACAAGAGAAAAATGCCAACTAGCACCCAAGCTGTTGCTCCGTATGCTCCTCGTTTTTGTCAAGTTCTAGCTCAAGAAACGGTATGATTATTTAAAACACCTAATGAAACGCGATTCATACGAGATCCTTTTCGCCTATCAGACCCCAAAGAAAAGTGTAATTCCTCGTTATTCAATACTTTGTCTGCCTGCCTCTCTACTGAATGGATCACTCAAGCTTCCTATTTTAGGTAGACTCTATCGGCTACCATCTAGCACAGTGAATTCTATAATAGTTTGTTATGATGAAATCATAGCTAGTGTATTTTGTAAAAGTTTGTCACTATCTTCCTTTATGATTTGTCGGAAGATTAAATGAAACGAAATAGCTCACTCATGCTAGTGTTCGAATGTTCCTTCGGAAACAAGTCATTTTGCTAACTTTCCTTTATCTATATTTATCACATTGAGAAAGCTCCCCAAGCAGACAAACTTTTTCAAAAACTCGTTTAAACACTCAATCGGGAACCGCGATTGTGGGTCATTAACGCTCATTAATGTAACGCAAGAAACACATTTTTTACGCAGAATTCTCACTTTCCGAACGTGAAAACGAATAAAAACTCCAATTCCGAGCGTTTAACCTCACAATTATTCGATAAATTAAAAACCAATTCGTTTAAACGCTCAGAATTGGAGTTTCTATGCGTTTTCGCGCTCGGAAAGTGAGAATTCTGCGTAAAAAACGCGTTTCTTGCGTTTCATTAATGAGCGTTAATGACCCACAATCGCGGTTCCCGATTGAGTGCTTAAACGCGTTTTTGAAAAAGTTTGTCTGCTTGGGTCTCGGCCATTCTTGATTCTTACACCAAAAACCATGTGGTGGTTTATTAGTTAAGATAAAGCAAGCCTTAGATAGCACAGTATGGTATGCTAGATAAAAAATCAGAAAACAAGTCATATTTTCCGTTATTTTTATTAATCAATATTTTCCTCTGTTAATAATTGATTGCTTAGAATGGCGTATCACACACACCAACTCAATCGACAGTGCGAGAAGTTCAATGGAATATGGCCGATGTGCCTTCAGCTAGTAGTTTGTGAGTTGCCTTTAGCATTGTATTTGATTCGATTAATATTCATGCTTTTGTAATTTTAGGGGAAGCGTCCCAACAACGTCGTGGAAACCATTGATCGTTGTTTTGACTGCAGTAATTCTTGTTGCTGCTGTTGCTGCTGTTGCTGCTCCGTTTCTGATTGCATATTTCAGGACGGAAAGTGAGTTAAACAAAAACCAATCATTATATTTTCAGATAGCATCTCAAAAGCTATTGTTCAATTAATTTAGAAGGGCTTTAAATATCGACAGGAACGAGCTCCTGCGTGCTATAGTTTGTTGACATAAGCATCATCAGTTCGTTTTAGTTCATAGTTTTATGAGGAATAGTTTCCTTCATTTTACTCTGAATTCATCTACAGAAATGCTAAATTTAGTGAAATCTGTCGAGAATGTTATTTGATGATTGATTTCTTTTGCTAAAATCCCAATACGTGTTGACTCATGACTATTTAATCTGATTCATATCATATTTATCTCTAAAGTAGCAAAATATGTAATTGATTCAGTATAACCTGAAATGAAGTGAATATCAGAGCAGTGGGAGAGAAAATAAGCCGTACGTTCTTTTGTATGTCTTTCCCTAAACAAAAACTGAGCGTAATCGTTTTTGAATTCGTGGCTATCTTAGCAAGTTATTCCTGTTTCATATATTTCTATACAAGAAACTAAAGAATCGTTGGATCTGAAATGTGATCAAGTTCTATCTCGCTCTCTGTTGGTATTTTCGGCATTTATTAACAAAAAAAAAGTCCAGATTCTTCACAAACCGCATTAAAGGTATTCGAATTTTCAAAGGTTACATACTTTCTAAACTATTGGGGTCAATATGGTTGAATGGCTAAGATGTTCGACATATATACACAAGATACTATGCTCGAAATTCGACGCCATCATTCATAGAGTGGCATTGGACAAATCACTAAGGGCTACTTCTCTCAGACTACCCGTTCAATAGTACACTAAGCATGTTTTTGATATAGACTAAAGAGCCCTTGGGACTTAGTCAGTATGCATGTAGAATTTAATTGACAAAGCGAGAGGAACTCTGAGTTATGCCAGTCTCCTGTCCAGAACTACAACTAGTAATAGTTGCATGGAAATAACGGGCTAATTAAACTATCGTTGAATAGCACCCTATACTGAAACGTAGACGAAAGGCAAGATCATCCTTTTTCTTTTGCACTATTCGATATCCTAGCTTTTCTTGTTAATATACATTGAATTATGTTTCCTGTACAATCTTCAAGCTCGAATTCAAATGGTCAATTCTAAAAAAAAAAAAATTGAGCGTTCGCCTGATTTAGACACGCCCACGATATTGTAATCTCCTCTTCATGATCATTTTCTACTTTACACAGGAGGCGCAACTAGAAACTAATAGTCTACGTAACCTCGAGGCGCACCAACCTTAAAAGTCACATTAATATGAATTTAATGTATAAGGCACTGTATAGCCTCAATCTCAATATTATCTGTTCCGGATTTTATTTAAAAAGTTGTGTTTCTCCGACACCCTATGCTAAACCGGTTCTTTCGGAGACTGAGGCACTGAAAAAATGTTTTACAGATGCGCCCAATAATTTTACTCTCAAGGAAAAGTATCAACGAACGAAAGTTTGGCTAAATATGGTAATAGGAGTATCTTTCGAATATTCGTCGCTTTCGATCATTTTGTGAACATCATCAAGCACGATCCATGTTTTCTTAAAAATTTGCACAAAATTAGTTAAATAATCGCTTCTTCTTGAACTCTGCTATCGTATACATGAAGTCAATTTCACATAGAACCTCCCAATCTAATAATAAATGCGACGAATTGACTCCGTCGTAGGCCACTTTACAATGATCGAAATATATGTGGGAATAGAAACATTTTCCTCCAGTAATATTTTTAAAAAGACACACCCACTCATGATATGATATGGTATGGTAATTTTCCTTTCTTCCCTAGCTACTACAACATCAACAACAAGCACAACAACTACTGCTACAACAACAACGACGACAACAACAACGACGACTGCGACCACAAGCACTACGAGTACGTACTTCAATCAATAAGCCACACCAACAATCAGTTCGTTTTTTTATTTCTTTTAGCAACGACAACTACAACAAGTAAGTGTGTCAATACTAATCACAAGTGTGTTTCAGTTATTTCTAGCCACGATACTGATGTGCGTACACCCTGTATCATTCGAAAGTTTCATTTCGATTACCTATATAAAATCACAGTTCGTACTGTATTTGGTGTCTCAAGTATGACGTGCATTAAAAAGTGTGATTATTGAAGTAGTAATAATTACTTGCCATTGAGCTCAAAGTTATATGGGATCATTTTACTATATTTTTGTCTTAATGTGAAGCTCAATTACCATGGTAAAAGATGATCTATAGGTAAACTTAACTTTGGTCGACAGTAAAAATGTCGAGAGTAAAATGTCGAAAGTAAAAATGTCGACAGCAAAAATATTGAAAGTGCAAAATCTCGAAAGAAATTTATAAAAATAAAATTAAAAAATCTAAAAGAAGGGGTGTTTTGAAAGATATTCGATGAATATGTTATTATTGTTGGCAATGGCGGATCTACCAGTTAGGCTACCCGGCCATCGCCACGCCCTTAAGAAACTTTTTCGATTTTCTCAAGCAAAAATGAAACAGAAAGTAGTCGTTCTGTCTCAACTAGACTTGAAAAACCGTTTTTTGGCCACGAGCGCCACCCCCTAACAGATTTTCTCGATCCGCCACTACTTGTAGGATCGATGGCGACTTATGTTCGTTTAAATCTATCATTGGTCTATCAGACATAGGGCACTTAGTACAATGTAATAGAAAAGAATAAGAAAATTATTCTTCAATTATTCATTACTCGAGTGATAAATATACATATGGAAGCCGCCATGGAATCGACACGCAACATCAACAGTGATTTAAATTGCATTACGTCGAATAAGGGACAACCTCTTTTAATAATGAATCAATTTTGAACACGACATTTTTCATGAATACCTACTCAGTTTTCGATATTTTTACTTTTTCGTTTTTTCGACGTTTTACTGTCGACATTTTTACTGTCGACCAAAGTTCAGAGATTCAGCTATTTCTGGTAAAAGTCAGACTGACAAAAAAAGGACTGAACTAATCTACTTGCCTTTTTCTCCTGCTTTAATTTTATTCATTTTTTCTTCTGCTCTGTTTTCTTTGTTTCTCTACTTCTTGACTATTTCGCCTCTCTGTCTATTCTGTTCTTCTTCTCATTTTTCGTGTTATCTCTTATTACATTTCTCACCTTCATTGCATTTTACTTCATTCATGCTATCGGCTTATAAGCTTATAAATTCTGCAACATGATTGCTCCTTTAAGATTGACACGTTTGCAGGCCTCAATAAGGCAAATACGCAAATCAGGATTATTTCCCGTCTAAAGAACTATTTTGAATGTGCGTTCAAATCTAAACTTAGCAAAACAGACAATTCTAAGTAAAGTTTTAATTTAGTCTTTTTCAAATAGATATGAAAAAGATCCACTGCTAAAGTTAAAGCTTTCAAGTAGAGAAAAATAAAAACAAATAAGTAAGTCATTTCTCACAATTCAAAGAAAAAGAGATTCCGAAAGAAGAAAACTAAAAGTTCTATGTTTACAGAATATGTCTTGACAAAAAGAATTTTAAAATTATTTAATTGACAATGGAGAATACAATATGAAAATATTGTCTCATGATTGTTTAGTATCAATGAATAAACACATCAGAAAGTGCTGTCAATTATTTTTAATGGCTTCCTATTTTTTATTTTCGCAAGAATAAAAGTTCTCCTGATGAGATAGATATTGTTGTCACCTGCAGCTCATCTCACTGCTCTCTCTCCTCATTATTTTACACTACTATGGAAATTTTTTGCGTTACTCTATTTATTTTTCTCTCTCACTATATATGCTTGTGCTACATATGAAGTTACTACATTCTGAAGTTGTGAATCCGCTCAAGAAACACCATAATTAATAGCGACGGTAAGCTACTTATCAAATATGTTGTTCCAAGGAACTAATTATGTTTTTCGAAATTTAATTTTGAAAATCATACAGAACATTTTCTTATTTCTAAGAATTATTCTCAATAGTCACGGATGTATGCATAGCTTCGAAGAGTCTATTATTATGTATTTTTTTCTAGAGAGCATTACATAGATTGACCTACTTTGAACGGAATTCTATTATGACCATGCCAAAATAAAAGGCATGCATTTAATGTAATATCTAAAAATATAGTAATCCATATCTAAATTATATCAATATTGCCTAACTTAATACAGTAGTATCTATTCTGGTGAAAGGATGCCTTTAAAAAAAGTGTTTTGTTCTATTTTTGTAATTCAACAACTTTTAAATCAATTAAATATCTGAATTAAAAAATGTTCTGTCTTGTAATTCAATATATTATCACTTTTAACAAATACCCAGGTCGAACATTCCGACCACCGAATTCCGGTGGCCGGATCCCGTAGGATACTCCAGGGAATATGCGGGAAAGTCACAATATCCTGCAGGAAAACACGGGAAATCGCTGAAACATGGAAGCAGTATTCCGGTCAAGAATACGGCCGGCCTTTTCCGGCGAATTCCTGCCAAGTTCCGGTGCTTTCCGGCATGAATTGATCGGAAATCACTGGAAAAAATCCGAAAAATTTCTAACCGGAATACTGCTTCCACAAAATCAACGGCACTACCCGGAACCGGCCGTTTCCAGGCCGGACTGTTCGACCTGGGTAACTATCAATGAATTTATCGACTTCTCTAATTAATTTGAACGTAATCTATAATTAATAAGTACTTATGAATTGAGGGTGTGGGTGTGGGTGTGAAGAGAGATAAGAACATCCCCACTCCACACCGTCAAGATTTTTTTCTATTACTTTAATAATTAACTGTATATAACTTTGTGTTGTTAGACAGTGTTACTTAATAAATTAGATATAGATTGCTATATTTTTAGGTATTGGTTTATATTTACCCCAAAATAAAATAATAAAAGAAAAATTATTCATAAGAAGAATGGGGATGAGCTGTCTTGGAAGATATACCATTGAATGAAATGCTTTCCTACAGATGCACAATATATTTTTTTAGCGATTTAGAACGTATTCATCAAACTATATAATGAAATAATTGAATGCAAGATAGCATTTCTAATATTTTTGTCAATGAGTTCACATACGTTTTTGCTCGTACAATGTTTCAATTAGTGTGCTAAATTAACAGTTGTTCATCTCATGAAGGTATCAGTGTGTGTAAATATTTTTTTTGTGAAACACGACCTGAAAGGAGTGTTGAAGTGTTTAGGGTAGAAATTTTGCACCCATACCCCTTCCCCTGCCACAGACTGCTCCCGACAGACTACCAGATCGTTGGAAACTGTGTCAGACGCCTCAATTGCTTATTTAATTAACTAATTACTATGCAATTACTTAATTGGCCATCACAGACTGTCACAGGCAGCCATCACAGATTGCCACAGGCAGCCTGCCACAAGCGGTCTTCAGAAATGATTATAGATCGTGACATACGCTTTAATTAATTGACTAATTAGTACCATTTGAATTGAGTGTCCATCACAGACTGTTACACAAAATCTTCAGAGGCCTTCGCACAGCGTGACAGACAATTTTCAGACCTAGCACAGCCCATTACAGACACTGTTTCAGCCTAGTGTAGATCATCACTGATAGCGGCAAACGAACTGTCTCACCAAATCAAGAAAGAACTTCCTTGAATTCGCCATCTCTATGTGATTTCCTCCAGTGATTATGTCATGTTTCACATTTTTAATTCCAGAGGCATTGCGCTAACAGCTTTTTAACTATAATGTATCTCGTATTGAATGATATTCCTCCCATCAGTAATGATTTATATTACTCGTAAATTTTAATTACATGCTAATAGATTAGCTTTTCGAAACAAATTTTTAATTTAAACTCTATAAAGTGTTGTATATACTAGTTCAATATGTGGAGATAAGATGATAAGCGATCAGAACTTTGAAATTTCCTTCGATTTCCCGTAGTCAGATCCGAAATTTATTTCTAGCTCCCATATTTTGCTATGCCCGGTACCAGAATATTGCAGTTGCAGAAATACTTTCATTTCTCGAATTCATTTGTTACTGAGTAGGAGTAGGATAAGTTTTCTCAGCTTGGACATGAACACTAGAATAATGAATATGAGCTCTAAAAGTAGTGATGATTAAAAGAAGCAATGAATGTTTTTCACGCCTTTTTTTACCGATATGTATTACATTCTAACTTTCGACAAGCGCTTTTATTGCCAAAATGGTTCGGTGTGCTATTTGTCAAGTTTCGCGAGCTGTTGATCAACGCGAAAACAACAACTAATAATTTTCTCAAAGTAAATGATAGTCAAAAGCGAATCGAAGCGTTTTAGTCATGGTGCCACTAAATACAGAGGTGTCACTTCCCTATTTCTTTAAAATAAATATAAATTCTCATCAACTGTACTTCTTTTTAAACATAAACAATGCGAATTTATATTTATTTTTAAATAGCAACTATCACAAATTATATTTTTTATTAATAGAAATTCAATCATAAGTTAAAGTATTATTGTATTGCGTTTCACTATTTCGCTTTGATCACACGAGCAAAGGAGAAAAATGTGGTGAACCATTGAAATAAATATATATCGTTCTAAATTTACGTTCTTCGTAAACACATTTACATATAGCTATTATTTTACGAGTTTATTTTTGTTACAATTTTAACATGCTCTTTCTCTATCGTTTATACGATCACGACAAAATATGGCTAAGAAATAAAACAACTTGCTGTAGCTTATTATTTAGTTTATAGTTATATAAAGAACCAGATGTTATCCGAGTTGCACCCGTATACAAAATACGATGTGAATTAATAATTTGGATCTTCACGAAAAATCTTCAATTCAGAGAAATCTTGAATACTTTTTTATGTCGACATGATGAAATTCATCACTGAGAAAACTCTATTCTTACTTAGCGATACATTCCTAAGGGTCGATTTCGATTGATCGATTAATTATCTCCATGATTCATTATCTTAGATCAGCTGTAAATGAATAGACTATAGTGGCTAACATATACTCATGACGTCACTTTAATTATCTCGCAACAAATTTCTTTCATTTTTGTCATTTTGGAATGATATTTGTGAGTGAATGGAATATCAGATTAAAGAATAGAAAAAATATGTCAGAAGTTCAATCTCGATACTTTCATCTTCCGTTTCAATGAGTTTTCTATGATTTTCTGTTCACGAGATCATTCGTTGGCAGAATAATGAAAAAGATGCGTACGATCTCAAGTAAAAAAGAAAAAAAACATTCGCGAAGGAATACAGAAATGCTTCCGCATCGCATCGCATCGCATTAAAAACTGGAGTGAAGATAATCTATACTTATTTTTATATATAAATTAATTCAAAAAGTATTTATATTGATTTAGTAGATAAATCAGTAATCATTAACTTTACTCGTAAATTAAATTGAAAATAAATATCAATTGGCGTCCCTATGCATATCTTCAAATAGTGTGGGTGTCATTTGATAGTGCGAAGTAAAAAAATGATATAATAAGAGTAATTAGACTGTGAATCATTTTATTGATTAAAAGAAAAAGACAGTGTCACGCTTCCATCCTTATGCTAAGAACATCTTGCGAGACAATTAAATGAAAATGATATAATTCATAGAAAATACAAAGATCAATAGTATAGTCGAAAATAATTATTTTGTTTTTCATTCTATTAAGAGCAGTCATCCTATTCCGCAATGTTGAACATTCCGGAACCAGTTCTGTTGATTCCTTAGTGGAGGAACACTGTGCGATTTTGGAATTAGTTTGTCAAATTCTAGGAATTGCACGGAATTCCGGAATTAGGTCAATAAGGAATCGGTGGGAATTAAACGGAATTCCTGTACGACCTAATTCCCGGAATTTCTGGAATCTGATGCAATTGGTACGCAGTGTTTCCGGGAATTCCTGAATTGTGTTGGAGTGATCAACGGAATCGCCGAAATTATATGGAATTGGTTCCGCGGGCGGAACTGGTTCCGGAATGTTCAACATTACGGAATAGGATGTATTCTCTCTATTAAACATTCAAAGGCAGATGACTCTTTCTCCTTCTTGTATTGGCATTTTTGACGATTCATTCTTTGACACTGCATAAAACCCAGGTATATTAAATAATTCTCATTGTGTATTACAGAAAATTCTATAAAATGTCGTCGGCTCAAGTTAATCCACTCGAACAAAATCTCGCAAACACGGTACAAGTTAACGATCGAGCATTAAATGGCTTTATCAAAGCACCATCACTACCTGTTCGTCTGATTTGTGAAGCAATTGGTACATGTTGCTTTGTCTTTTTCGGCGCTGGTTGTGCAACGAAATCAGGATCTGGTCTACTAGCAATATCAACAGCCCATGGTATTGTCACTGTCTGGCTTGTGTACGTGTTTGGGTCGATTTCCGGTGCACACTTCAATGCTGCAGCTACCATTGCTTTTACAATCAATCGTCAAATGAAAATAGTTGATGCCTTGCTATATATTATTGCTCAGGCATTGGGTGCCCTGCTTGCTGGAGCTCTGTTACTATTACTATACTATGGTAATGATACCAACCTAGGCACACCAGAATTGGCATTGCTACCCTATCCAGTTACGGTTTTGCAAGGCTTTTGCTTAGAATTTATCTGTACAGTCATTCTCTCGTTTGTCATTTTCTTTACAACATCGTACAACACGCACAAGGAAGCAGCCCTTCCAGTTGGACTGGTTGTGTTCTCGTCATTTTTGCTTGCTTCGGATCGAGATGGAGCAGCTCTGAATCCGTGGAGATGGCTAGGACCAGCAGTTGCTTCAAATACGTATAGCAGCTATGCATGGATCTATATCGTTGGGCCTATTAGCGGGTTCATTGTTGGATTAATATTTTTTCGAATATATAAACTCATTTGGAATTTATAATCTGAAGACAATCTATATATTTGAATATGGCAAGATTTTTATTAAGTTAAAGAGATGAGAAAATAACTACGCATGTAGAAGATTTTCCTATAAGACTGTCTACTGGACAAAAGATCAAACATTTTATGTGTTTCGCTTGCATTTTTGTGTTGTCATGTATCTGTCATTATTATGTATAAAAGCAACTCATTGAGCAGCCAAATTTGCTCCTATGAGGAATATCAATTCAAATGATTCTTAAAAAAAAGGAATACTGAAGGATGGGGATAGGGGAAGGCAAGCAAGGACAACTGATACTCTTATTTTACATCAATACAAATCCCCTAGTCTACACAAACCTCCAACTTATTTAGCACCATGCCAAATTCTTTCACCTGAAACCTGGCTACATTATCAGGGCCACTTTTCTCTTGTCAAACTTCTATTTACAACAGCACAATATTATCCATCTGATCACAAATATAGTTCTATGCCGAACAGCCGTACTTGCAAGATTCATATACAGTGTATAGTGAGGTACAGAATACTATGAAATTGTGCTCAAAACTTTACTGCACTCTAGGTTATCGGTAGAGTTAGTCGAGAGTAAAAACAGAAACACAATGTATAGGAAAGTAAATTATGTTTCTCATCAATCTATAGAAAGTATCAATTTCAAACATCAAGGAATTAGCATCATGCAGGTCAACTCTAGAGAAAGTCGCTGTGGGTATTGATCTATCTTGTGTGTGCATCCATAACTTTACTGGTTTTCTGTTGTACGATATATTATACAAATGAAAGTGAAAATTGATATTTTCAAAATAACAAAAGTTGACAAATACAATTGATAAAACTCTTGATCGAAATCTGTGAAGTCTTTCAATCTATACTGAAACTTTTCCGTTGTTATTCAAACATTGTTAAAGATTTAATCAGATCATTGATGGTTAGGTCGGTTTTGTTTCTGGAGCAACACGTAAGATGGATCTATTTTCTCTGGTGGATCGGTGACGGTGACTGGACAATTCGTCGCATACATGCTTATTTTAATTTAATTAAGGGAGACTAATGAGAATGTAGAATAAATGATACAATATAGCAGTTTAAATTGAAACATAAAATAGAGGCATTTAATAGAGGGAGAAATTTTATTAAGAGAAAAATTTATTGAAAAAATATTTTGACACAAAAAAATACACAATTACAAGACAACAAATACAAAAATATTTACAGCTAGTCCTTTCAAATACTCACCAAGATCAACATTTGCATAGTCATCGACCAGTCGTTTGATTCTTTCGTCAAGTTTTCGATATTTGAGTTTCTGCGGCTTTGATTCTTGTCCTTGACGAGTTTGTGCGATGTCGCCTTCGAATTTGGATTGTTCACGGCGAATCTTCTCGATTAATTTTGTAATAGTTGGATGTACTATTGCCACACATTTCGTGAATGCATTGTGCCATCCTTTAATTGAATTATTAGAGCGGGGAAGATTGGCAATTGTTCGATCATAAACATTCCATATTTCTATTGGAAATAGCGGCTTTTTTTCGGCCAGTACCTAAAATCGAAATTGAATATTAAAAAATTATTAATCAATCAATTTACCTCTCTTCTTTGGCTCTCCTGCCCATGTTTTTTTTTAAATAATCAAGATAATCGTCGGCTTCTTCCTCGAAATCGTTGACAATCAGATTAAACGCTTTGATGACATCTAAAACAGGAACAAAAGTTAAAGCAATTATTTGTTTAATGTTCAAATGGAACGACTCATCCTCTTGGTATTTCTTTTTTAATCCAAGGCTTTGAATTTGACGCCAAATACACTGACCAAAATGAAGCAAATAGCCTAAAAAAATCAATTAACACATAATTAGATGATAATTGTGAAGCAATTAGTCACACCACCTTTGTGAAGAATGTTTGGAAACAATGAATTGATCGATTTTATTGTCGCCGCTTCGAAATCACTAAGTATTGTTTCTAGATTGAAATCATCGTCGTCCATGATACATTAAAAAAAATGATCGTAGTCCGTTGTTGTCTTTCCTACGACTAAGCCCTAAAACAATGGAATAATTTCTGATTTGAACAATCCATGTAACGGAAGTACTTGATAGAAATATTCTGTACGCATCTAAAATAGATGTTTAATGCGTAAATTGAAAGTCTTTGCTTTTATTTTACCTTAAATGTTCCATCGACAAACCAATGTTTACACGTTTTCAATACTGAAAGATTCGCTGCGGTGGTAAAAATGATCAGACAGTTGATTGTTGGAATGCGTCGAAAGCCCTTGATGTTATCGACGAATAGTTCTCAAAAATGTTTCACTTTGAGGTAGTTGACCGGCGGCATCTAAAGGAAAAGATCTCATTGCAGAATGTAAAATTGTGCTTGATGATTCTTCGGTTTCAGCAGCTCGTGCTTTTATTTTATTTTTGAGTTCCAGTACTGGAACCAGATTTGTTTTTGACGCGTGGCAGTGCTCAGTAGGCGCAAAAACAATTACATCCATAGTTTGATTGGTATGATAACGACCTAAAAGAAGATAAAAATAAAGTACAAATAATTAATTAGAGTTTTTTACCTTTGCAATCTCTATTTTGACAACGAAAAATAAATTTAACATCATTTTTTCATTCTAAAGTATAAATATAACCTTCATAATCAAGCATATAGCTTTCCTCTTTTCACTTGTAAATTTTTTAATTGTGTGTACTCATCACTTTTTTATGAACAAATAATTGTATGAATATTGACAAGAAATATATTCTGTCACTGAGGAGAATTATCTTATATTTAGTTTTAAAATTAATGGGTTTTTTCTGATTTTTCCAAAATCCTATTAGATTATTTATTTTTTCCTTGAGATTCATAACTCAGTCTATGAAATTCGTAGGCTTGTTCAATTAATTAAACATAGTCTATTTGATTCAATTACATCAAGCAACATGTCATATTCGCTTTCATTAGTTTACATTGCGACCAATTGACCTAGTATCATAGATAACACCAGTGTTGGAAATTACCATCAATACAAATGGTATTATATTGTACAAGAATAAGTTCACATTACCCCATAAAGGATAGATCTTGTATAAATAAGCATCAGTGTATAATACACCATCATTGCCTATATAACAAGCAAACGGGGAAAAGTGAAAATTGATGAGTGCAAATATTCCAAGGCAAATTCCAATGAGAGTGAGAACACTTTTGGGACGACTGAGCCAAGTGCGATATGTAATCAACTTACTGCCATGTATCGATCGATGCACACACATACTCGAATCCAAGCCGATGATTGGGGTACAAAATAATTAATAAAGGATATGAACTTACAAAAAACAACTGATGAACGTACAATGGTGAAAGCATATATGGTATTACGGTAATGATCTAAGTTCCAGTCATAAAGCATCAAGATATCCAAAATAGCAATGACGCGCATATAGTATAAGACTGGCATTTTCTTTGCATCATTGAATGTTGCTCGACATAGCATGAAGAGTGTTAGAAGATTGAATGCTGTACCTATGATTGCCAGTGTTAAAGTATTGTAAGAAAATATGATCGCTGCTATTTCATATGCGTTCGAAGCCTTATTTGTAGTTAACATATTTTGTCGTAGTCTGACTGATGACAGGTCTAAATGAAAAGTTACAGTTCACTTTCTAGATGAAACTTGTTGATTATTGCAAGAGAACATCCAGTTTTTACTGACAGAGAAACTATCGAAAGTGGCTAATCATTTTCAAAGATGATATTTGACTCATAGATAGTTAGAAACGAACTACATCCCCAAAGGCTCCATGTTTACAATTACTTAGAAGTCTATTATAACTCTTCTCTGTTAATAGAGATGTACCAAAACTTTCGAATTAAAACGTTTTAACATCAAATTTGACCCGAATATAAACCTTATAATCATTATCGAATATCCTCAAAATCTCACCAAATATGGGTCAATCGTATTTTTGCAGATCACGAAATCGTATCAAAACTCTATCTTTCTGGCGTTGTTATGGGATACAAGTAGCTAACTATTACGACTTTGTCATCTGAAACAGGAATCCTACATATCTAGTGAAAGTTTTCTATGAGAGCGAAAGTTCAAGTCGAAATATTAAGATTGGATCTTTTCTTAGAACTCTACTTATGTACAGAAATAAATTCAAATAAAAATATTTTGACACTATAATGGATTTCTAAAAAACTGCAGTTTTGCAAAATTGTAGTGATCTCATATGTAAAAGATATCAATTGAAAAGCGATTGACTATTTCGAAGAGTACACTAGAATGAGAAACATTAACGTAACACATTCTGATTCATGTTTTGAGAAAGACTCATGCAAAAAATATTCATGCTTCTGATGGTACAACAAAAACTTGTTCGATTTTTTTATATTGGCTCAACAAAGTCATGCCATTGATTTGATTCGCCCATAAATCTTGACGGCGACGATTAATTCAATAAATCAGATGTATTCAAAAAACTTTAAAAGTCTGACAGACTCTGCATACTGTTAGCTTTCTTGAGCGTTCAGATATTCTACGCATCCGAAAATCTTCCTGAGACCATCGTCGACGATTAGATCTGTCAATCATATAGATTTTATAGAATTAACTGATTTTCTGGATTTTTCAGATGCTACCATATATCCTCTGACTGTACATATAATGCACTAAGAGTAAATAGAAAAGAAAATAGTTTTCTCTGTGGTTGCTATCACTCAACTTTCATAGCATGCTATAATTAGTTTGCAAGCAACGTAGAGAATTTTAAAATAAAAAACGGACAAAAAATAGCAGTTTACTGTGTTTAGACAGCTAACAACGAAATACTGACAAGACGTCAACTTAATCTTGTAACATTAGCTACAGTAATCGAACAATTGAAAAACAACAATAATCGATTGTTTGTTTTTCCTGCAAACAAAAAAATCGTCAATTATAGTATATATTAGGTCATACTCAAATATTCACGAAGAAAATAAGGAGCTGATATTTATTTCTAAAAAGCCCCGTACTAAACTAAATTAACATGCAATTGGTGCATTCTAAGAGTAGCTACTTTTTTCTCGTCTCCTTTTCTTCTATCTCTTTATCTGTTTCCCGGTGTTTTTCTGGTATACAGCAATCCTTCATCTGTACTTTAAAATATAGAATATTCACTTGCTAAAGCTAACATATATTTTTGGCAATCTTGTAAATATTGCAATCAATTTAATGTTTAACAAGCGTTTCATTTTGTGAAAATAAACGCTCACTCTATAGGAAATGAAAAGCAGCATGTTGAAATAGAATTATGAATTGTATTAGATAAACTCTCCAATAATCTCAACAACGCTGCCATTCATTAAATTATCCTGTTTAAATCACGGACGAATGTTTATCTTCATTGATGTTCAGAATAGTAAATTGACCACTTAGCGCCGTAAAAAACTAGTGTTGCATAATGAGTTTATAATGATTCAATGGATGCAGAATAGTGGCTTTTCACTGGTCTGAAGTAAAAGCGTTCAATATTGACTGAATTCGATTGAGTTTCATCGCTACATAGATAATAAAATGTTTGTAACTGATCAGAATCTGAATTACTCTTCACACTTAGAGAACATGGTCGTCTTCAATTAGATTTTTTCATAAAAGTATTTATTTGTTCTTTGAATATAGTACGTACTAATGAGCCCATGGAATAAAAATGAAATATATTCCTTTTATAAATAGATATCTCCGTGAAACGTTATCCTCGTATTCTCATTAGAAATACGTTAAAACATGCTTATTAAAGAATAAACTCATTTTTACGGGTTCACTCTTTTGATTTAAGATAACAATTAGTTCTAATAAGATTGTGCCTCTATTTTTAAATCATGCCATACTGAAACTTCATTTTCGCATTTTTCTGTCTGCATTAAAAGATACAATACGTCATTGCTTCAATGTTGATTAAATCTTCATAGTAGCTTTCAGAGATTGCTAAAAGTACAGAAATAGAAAGATTCCGTGCTATTCAGATGACTGCTGATCTTTTTGAATTGAATCCATATAAAAGTGAAGCCATTGATGATGAAGTAATATACTCTAAAATTATAACTATTTACTAATTTAAAATGTGTAATAAATTTGTTTCTTCATACAATTTTATTTCACATTTAAAAAAATAATAACTTGATAATCATTATTGAGAAGTTTCAATAGACAGTCGTTGAAGTCACCTCGCTCTTCAATAAACAGATAAATGTGTATCATAAGCGAATTATCGTCGGCTCTCCTAATTAAAATCTCATTTTAAGAGTATTTTCCCAATGTTCATTGTATGCACCGAAGCCGGAATGGTGACGTTAATTGTGTCTCTATAGATTCTTGTTACGACAGGCATTGGTGACTTTTGATTTTAACCTGAATTATAGTCGTTCTGGGTCGCACTCTGTGCTCGACTATAATTTCAAAGTCACATTATCTCATGAATATCGAGAAAGCGTTTCGCATTTCCTTTATTTTCATAGTGATTCGTTTTACAATTGAATTTTATTTTAATGAATAAATTGTGAAGATAAAATCAGATTTGATTTCCATAAAAAACAATCGATGTGAAATAAGATTAATAGGCTTATTAATTTTATTCTCGTTATCGATAGCACTCTCTCCAAGCATATGAATTATGCAAAAGAAATAGATCCACATTCATAGAGTAAAAATTTATAAGATTGCACCATATTATATCACAGTTGAAAACAGAATAGTTTCTTTAAATAGCACCTTATTCTAAGCAGAGAAAAACGGCATCCGAGAAATTGAAAACAATAAAAAATAGCTAATCATTACCATAACTTAAAATAAAACCGCAGAATGAAAAAAAAGTAACCGAAGAAAGAAAAAACAAGAATTTACAGTTTAGATCGTAAATGATATTGTTCAATTTGTTGAGCTGTTTTACTAACAATATTGATCAATTTTTTCAAGACTTGCTTTGGTACATGGCAATGCACAGGTAAATAAATAACGTGCTCAATTAAATATTCAGCATTTGGACATTTGTGACAATTATCTATGCTATCGGTAGTATCAGCTAATACCGTTGTTATCACATTTAATTGAGTTGTACCACGATATGCATCGATATGATTTTTTGATAAAATTTGAACAAATAAATCTGGTTTTGCAACAACTAATGGGAATAGCCAAAAATTTTTTAATTTACAATTCATCCCAATTAACTGGATAGTTGATATTTTTACTAAATTATTTAAAACATAGAAAGCTCGTTCTCTTTGAATATCTAACTGTGTATAGTCATATGCTTGAAATCGTTGATAAAGAAAAGCAAGTAATGGGCGACATGGTTGACGACGTAATGAAAGAAATAATTCTTCTTTGCTTGGAACTTTCGAGAAGGCACGCAAATTATTAACAACATAACCCATATGATCTAATTTGAATAAACGTATGATATACATTAATGGTTTAATCACATATGGAACATTTAATATCCAATATAAATAAAAATATTTTTTTACATTTGATAAATATTGGTCAGTATTCTGAATAGGATCACTACGATAAATTTCAGACATTTTTCTGTGTAAGTTATGATCCGATATTTTAACGAGGCCACCGCCGAGTGCTGTACAGAATTTTAAAACGCCAAAACTATATAAAATTAAATGAGAACGTGGATGACCCATATAACATGATGGTTCATTTTCACTGTGTATTCTTGTTGGACAATACATGTCGAAACCAGACTGATTAGAGCTAGAACAAAATGAAACATATTCATGATTTTTCAAATAACAAATCAAAGGTGAAAATGTTGACGAAAAATTGAATCGTTATACTTCTTTTTTTGTTTTCTAATGTTGGCAATTTGCGTGTTGTATTACTGATATTGGAAATTTAAATTCAATGCAAAAAGAAACTGCAAATCAGCAGTTCTCTAGTCACTCAAGTTGTGTATTAAATTACATTGTGCAGTGGACGAAAAATTATTTTGATGGAGCAAATAACAAAATAAACTCTACATTCGAATTATTAATTACAGCAGAATACGTTTTCATTCATACGATCACAGTCCATGTCAGATATGAAAGAAACTACTATAAAATGATTGTCTAAAAGCAAAACTACCATAATTTGTCTACGTGGAAGAGATACGAAGTAAAACATTATCATCATTTTGTCTTGCTCAAGAATCAGAAGGATTTTATAGCAGTTTTTGACCACGAGAAAATATATCCAGGTTTGAGAAATTCTGCGGATGATTGCAAACTGATCGAACGCTTTTTAGTACAGCTCGCCAAATATCAGGAATTTAGAAGATACTGAAACATTCGTTTATCGCCACTATGAAGCCCTTTCTTAAAAGGATATTTTTCATCAAATAGGATTTCAAATTATTCTAGGGTGGTTGATCAAAGAAAATGTCCTAACGGGTATTCTTTTTTTGTGTCGCTTGAACCTTCAGTTTCAAGGAGTAAACTATAAAGCAACGACACAATGTGTGTATTGAAGCGGTAACGAGGCAACAAAGATAAGTGCCAGATGCCTCTTTGCAACCGTTATGCGAACTGTATCATTGCTTTATAGTTTAGTGTTTGAAACTCAAGGTTTCCATGGTCCGAATAAAATGCTTCTGAAGAAATCTTGTCGGATGATGCGCACAAAATTGGTTGCAAATAGACTATAATGAAAATATCCTTATCAAAATGAATTTAGTAATTGTGAACGAAAATGAAAGAAAACATTAGCTAGTCACTCATATTGGAAAGCAACATCATCGGCTGCAGAGGCCTAAGAAAAAGCAATTGATCACTGCAAACAGTCTTTCTCCTTATATACTTTTTATAATGATGTGAGCATGGATTTCTGTGTCCAGATCTAGTTTTCTCTTGCGGAAGAATAATTCAAAATATTATCAGCGTCAATGTGTACCTCTAACGCAGAGTAAATTGAACAGCTGAAAATCTGATATACATTCATTTCTTACACGCTAATCATGTCCTTGTAATATTAGACATGCCAATAATAATTAGTGTTATTTTTCTTTTCTCCTACCTTTTATCTTCCGATACGCATGAACAAAAACCAAAAAAGCTTTCAGCACAATCTTCAATAAAATAAAGTTGTTTTTCATACGCTAGATCAACTAATTCAGACACATCAGCACATCTTCCATAAATATGCGCATAAACAATAGCAACTGTTTTTGACGTTATTAAACATTTAACACGATTTATATTCATTTCGAACGTATCTAAATCAATATCACATGGTATGACATTTAATTGATGAAATTGCACGACTGTTATCATAGATGGAATATTTATTGCAGACATAATAATTTCACTGTCCACTGGAAATTGATTAGCACGCAAAAATAAATCAAAACCTGTGCGAACACATAACACTGGTAAATAATAGTGATTTGTGTAATGATTTTTTTTCGACCAATATTGAATCAAATTATCACTTAAGATGTGATGAGATGAAAGTCGTTTTTCATCTTGTATTAAAGAGAATATAGTCCAAAAGTCTCGTAGTTTTATATCGAGAAATATACTTTTATAACTGTCTAAATAATTCGTCATGATTTCAAATACTCGCAATGGTAGTCTCGTTTATGCTTCATTTTTTCGTTTCTATTTATTTCTCTTCGATGATATTTGCCTATGATTCACGTGTGTCAGCTTGTTATCCGTATCTGATTGGAAAGTCGATTCATCCATTAAGCAAATATTTGTTGGAGCTTATGTAATTCGCGAATTACCATCGAAAGATGGCGTTATGCAGCTAGCACGAAAGAAAAAAGAAACTATTTTTAAAATTGTATGTATGCTCGTTTTTAATAGAAATGACTAATTTTTTTATCACCGCTTACATTACGCTAGAATTCATATATTAAAAGAAATGTCCACAGTTTAGAACTTTCTGTTCATTTAAATGTCGAGTATTGAAAAAGTTGAATCTAATCGCATATACGCTCACACTGCAGACCCTTGTTTTCTCACATGGAATCGATTGAAATTTACTGTAAACGTTATTATGTATCGTGGTGTTGAAATGTCATGGATGTGAATTCCTTGCTTTGTTTTAACAATATGATCTTCAATTACAAATTAGTTCTCAATAAATCGATCAGTAGCCATCAAATTTCTTATGAGCCATTGAATTTATGATTGAGTTATAAAATCAGGCAAACATTTAGCCTTTAGCTATTTGATCAGTATCTACATCAATTTTTCTTACTTCGCACCAAATTTATTTTAAATTATTCAATTTTCTAGAGAAGTGTATAAAAACTATGAACTATACTTTGGACTTAATAGTGCTGAAATAATGGACTCGGCAATCGTATTTTTCTTCTTTCTCAGATTTGATCTGCACCTATTCAAATGCATTTTAGTAGTCTGATCCTGGTCAATCTATACTTTCTTGTCATTACTAAACTTGACTCTTTGTAACGTATTAATGTAGCACTCATGCGTAGGGTATTTTCATATTGATACGCAACGATTCTAATACGTATTCTTATTTCTTGGATGTTTTCCATAAAACTTAAACACCTAAATAAATTTTTTGCAAAAGTTTGTATTAACCCCC